ACATAAAGTATTATTTCATACAAAACAAATACATTTTACTCATCTTTAATTTAAAGACTTAGTAAAGTATTTAACTATTAAATTTTAAGCAAATTGCGATAAAATTAAATGAATATGGTTTTAAATTTTTTTTGTTCTTCTTATTTCAATTGTACAATTTTATGCTGTTTGCAAAATTGATATGTTGGTTTGTTAGTTGTTAAGTCAATTAAAATTGTCCATCTCAGAATTTTCCGATACAATACTACGCTGCTGGGAAGTTAGCGTCAAAATGTGCATGGCATGTTTTAAGATAAAATCTTACAGTAATGCGATTCGCACCTAATCGTCTCCATTGCCTCATCGTCTCCATGCATCTTCCCATCCATCTTCCCCATTCATCTTCTCAGTGGGGACGATGGGGAGCGAATCGCATTATTATATGATTTCAGCGCTGCACATTTTGACGCTATAGCTTTTGACGCTAATTTTTGCGCAGCACTTTATTACTCGTTATTATGATGGTTACATTCTCGTTACATTCTCGAAATAAATTTCTTGAAATAATTTGCAATAAAGAACGCATATATATTTTCATATTTTTTCTAAAGCTTTGTCAATAAAATTTGTTAATATTTATTTTCTGTTTATTTAGTTGAAGAGCAAAAAGCCGAGCCTGGGAAAAAACTCAAGAAGAAAATCAAAAAACCAAAAGATGATTTTGATGAAATAACTAAAAAATTATTGGAGCTTGAAGTTTCTAAAACAGAATTAGAAAAACCTGAAGTTTTTGAATTCGAGGAGAAAGTGAAAGAAGCTCCGTCCTTAGCTGAGTTTTCAGAAGTGAAGCCTCAAAAAGTTGAACGAAAGAAGAAAAAGCCTTCCCAGGTTGTTGCAATGGAAGCTGAAAAAATTGAGGTCGAAGATTTAAGAAAGATTATTGTGGAACCTAAAATTTCTGAAGAATCAAGTAAACTACCCACTGTTTTGCTGAAGAGTCGCATTTCTAAAATAGATTATCCACCAGAAGTTTTGAAACCAGAAATAACAGAAATTGATGCAGTAAAACACAATAGTAGTTTATCTCGATCATTAGAAGAAGAAAAAGAAATTCGAAAAACGAAACATAAAAAATTCAAACATCCAAAGAAGGAAGATGTCGAATATGAACAACTTGAAGAATTTGAAAACATTGCATCTTCCTCAGATTCTGAAAAAGAACCAGAAGACACAAAATCTCCATATAGAAGAAAAATTAAAAAACCATCTGAGAAAGAAGAGAAACTTGAGAAAAAAATGAAAATAGGAAAAGGAAAAATTCCTGTTGAGGAATCACCTGAAGAAGTTGTTCATCTCAAGAAGATTCCAGACAAAGAAACGCCTGAAGAAATTGTTGAGGAAGAGCCCAAGCCTCAAGAGAAACATGAAGAAGTTCCAAAGGATAAGAAGGTGAAAAAGAAGCCTAAACAAAAGTTGGAACCTCTTGAACCTTTTGAAGCTCCTGAGCATGAACCAATAGAAAAAGAAGTTTATGAAAAAGAACCTGAAGAGAAACCTCAAGAAGAAGTTCCTGAAGTTAAAGGTGTTTACAAACGAAAGACTAAACCAAAGCCACAAGCTGAGGAACCTGAACAGAAGATTATTCTTGGAAAGCCTAAGCCACAAGAAGAAGTCGAAGAACCTGAAGTTAAATTTAGAATTCCTGAATCAGAGAAACCAGAAGAAGTTGAAGAACCTATAAAACTTAAGCCTTGGACTAAACCTGAAGAAAAACCAGAAGAAGAAGTTGCTGATGTCAAAGAGAAACCGAAGACAAGAAAGAAGGTGAAGAAACCAAAGGATGATGATACTGAGCTTGAAAGACTTCTTAATTTAGAAGTTGAGAAAACAGATCTCGAAACTTACGAGAAGGTTGAATTGGAACCAATCGAGAAAGAAGCTCCTGAAGAAGTTGAAGTGAAACCAAGAAGACCTAAGAGTAAAGAAAAGACTGTGCAACCAGAAGAAACACAGAAAACGCTCAAACTTGGAAAAGGAAAAATTCCTGTTGAGGAATCACCTGAAGAAGTTGTCCATCTCAAGAAGATTCCAGAGAAAGAAACACCTGAAGAAGTTGTTGAGGAAGAGCCCAAGCCTCAAAAGGAAGAAGAAGAGGAAGTTCCAAAGGATAAGAAAGTGAAAAAGAAGCCTAAACAAAAGTTGGAACCTCTTGAACCTTTTGAAGCTCCTGAGCATGAACCAATAGAAAAAGAAGTTTATGAAAAAGAACCTGAAGAGAAACCTCAAGAAGAAGTTCCTGAAGTTAAAGGTGTTTACAAACGAAAGACTAAGTCGAAGCCACAGGCTGAAGAACCTGAACAGAAGATTATTCTTGGAAAGCCTAAGCCACAAGAAGACGTCGAAGAACCTGAAGTTAAATTTAGAATTCCTGAATCAGAGAAACCAGAAGAAGTTGAAGAACCTATAAAACTTAAGCCTTGGACTAAACCTGAAGAAAAACCAGAAGAAGAAGTTGCTGATGTCAAAGAGAAACCGAAGACAAGAAAGAAGGTGAAGAAACCAAAGGATGATGATACTGAGCTTGAAAGACTTCTTAATTTAGAAGTTGAGAAAACAGATCTCGAAACTTACGAGAAGGTTGAATTGGAACCAGTCGAGAAAGAAGCTCCGGAAGAAGTTGAAGTGAAACCAAGAAGACCTAAGAGTAAAGAAAAGACTGTGCAACCAGAAGAAACACAAAAAACGCTCAATCTTGGAAAAGGAAAAATTCCTGTTGAGGAATCACCTGAAGAAGTTGTTCATCTCAAGAAGATTCCAGACAAAGAAACGCCTGAAGAAATTGTTGAGGAAGAGCCCAAGCCTCAAGAGAAACATGAAGAAGTTCCAAAGGATAAAAAGGTGAAAAAGAAGCCTAAACAAAAGTTGGAACCTCTTGAACCTTTTGAAGCTCCTGAGCATGAACCAATAGAAAAAGAAGTTTATGAAAAAGAACTTGAAGAGAAACCTAAAGAAGAAGTTCCTGAAGCTAAAGGTGTTTACAAACGAAAGACCAAACCAAAGCCACAAGCTGAAGAACCTACACAGAAGGTTATTCTTGGAAAGCCTAAGCCACAAGAAGACGTCGAAGAACCTGAAGTTAAATTTAGAATTCCTGAATCAGAGAAACCAGAAGAAGTTGAAGAACCTATAAAACTTAAGCCTTGGACTAAACCTGAAGAAAAACCAGAAGAAGAAGTTGCTGATGTCAAAGAGAAACCGAAGACAAGAAAGAAGGTAAAGAAACCAAAGGATGATGATACTGAGCTTGAAAGACTTCTTAATTTGGAAGTTGAGAAAACAGATCTCGAAACTTACGAGAAAGTTGAATTGGAACCAGTCGAGAAAGAAGCTCCTGAAGAAGTTGAAGTGAAACCAAGAAAACCTGAAGTTACTGAAACGCCTCAGAATGAACCAACAGAAAAGAAACCTGAAGAGAAGCCTCAAGAAGAAATTCCTGAAGTTAAAGGCGTTTACAAACGAAAGACTAAACCAAAGCCACAAGCTGAGGAACCTGAACAGAAGATTATTCTTGGAAAGCCTAAGCCACAAGAAGAGGTCGAAGAACCTGAAGTTAAATTTAGAATTCCTGAATCAGAGAAACCAGAAGAAGTTGAAGAATCTATAAAACTTAAACCTGTGACTAAACCTGAAGAAAAACCAGAAGAAGAAGTTGCTGATGTCAAAGAAAAACCAAAAACAAGAAAGAAGGTAAAGAAACCAAAGGATGATGATACTGAGCTTGAAAGACTTCTTAATTTGGAAGTTGAGAAAACAGATCTCGAAACTTACGAGAAAGTTGAATTGGAACCTGTTGAGAAAGAAGCTCCTGAAGAAGTTGAAGTGAAAGCAAGAAGACCTAAGAGCAAAGAAAAGACTGTACAACCAGAAGAAACACAAAAAACGCTCAAACTTGGAAAAGGAAAAATTCCTGTTGAGGAATCACCAGAAGAAGTTGTTCATCTCAAGAAGATTCCAGACAAAGAAACGCCTGAAGAAATTGTTGAGGAAGAGCCCAAGCCTCAAGAGAAACATGAAGAAGTTCCAAAGGATAAGAAGGTGAAAAAGAAGCCTAAACAAAAGTTGGAACCTCTTGAACCTTTTGAAGCTCCTGAGCATGAACCAATAGAAAAAGAAGTTTATGAAAAAGAACCTGAAGAGAAACCTCAAGAAGAAGTTCCTGAAGTTAAAGGTGTTTACAAACGAAAGACTAAACCAAAGCCACAAACTGAGGAACCTGAACAGAAGATTATTCTTGGAAAGCCTAAGCCACAAGAAGAAGTCGAAGAACCTGAAGTTAAATTTAGAATTCCTGAATCAGAGAAACCAGAAGAAGTTGAAGAACAAATAAAACTTAAACCTGTGACTAAACCTGAAGAAAAACCAGAAGAAGAAGTTGCTGATGTCAAAGAAAAACCAAAAACAAGAAAGAAGGTAAAGAAACCAAAGGATGATGATACTGAGCTTGAAAGACTTCTTAATTTAGAAGTTGAGAAAACAGATCTCGAAACTTACGAGAAAGTTGAATTGGCACCAGTCGAGAAAGAAGCTCCTGAAGAAGTTGAAGTGAAACCAAGAAGACCTAAGAGTAAAGAAAAGACTGTGCAACCAGAAGAAACACAAAAAACGCTCAATCTTGGAAAAGGAAAAATTCCTGTTGAGGAATCACCTGAAGAAGTTGTTCATCTCAAGAAGATTCCAGACAAAGAAACGCCTGAAGAAATTGTTGAGGAAGAGCCCAAGCCTCAAGAGAAACATGAAGAAGTTCCAAAGGATAAGAAGGTGAAAAAGAAGCCTAAACAAAAGTTGGAACCTCTTGAACCTTTTGAAGCTCCTGAGCATGAACCAATAGAAAAAGAAGTTTATGAAAAAGAACCTGAAGAGAAACCTCAAGAAGAAGTTCCTGAAGTTAAAGGTGTTTACAAACGAAAGACCAAACCAAAGCGACAAGCTGAAGAACCTGAACAGAAGATTATTCTTGGAAAGCCTATGCCACAAGAAGACGTCGAAGAACCTGAAGTTAAATTTAGAATTCCTGAATCAGAGAAACCAGAAGAAGTTGAAGAACCTATAAAACTTAAGCCTTGGACTAAACCTGAAGAAAAACCAGAAGAAGAAGTTGCTGATGTCAAAGAGAAACCGAAGACAAGAAAGAAGGTGAAGAAACCAAAGGATGATGATACTGAGCTTGAAAGACTTCTTAATTTAGAAGTTGAGAAAACAGATCTCGAAACTTACGAGAAGGTTGAATTGGAACCAGTCGAGAAAGAAGCTCCTGAAGAAGTTGAAGTGAAACCAAGAAGACCTAAGAGTAAAGAAAAGACTGTGCAACCAGAAGAAACACAGGAAACACTCAAACTTGGAAAAGGAAAGATTCCTGTTGAGGAAGTGCCAGAAGAAGTTGTGCGCCTTAAGAAAATTCCGGAGAAAGAAGTTCCTCCTGAGGAGTCTGAAGCTACTGTTACTTTGAAAAGAGTTCCGGAAACTATTAAGTTGGTTTCGCAAGAGCCACAACATGCTAAGTTAACAGATGCTCAGTCAGCATACGAGGCTGAACTTGAAAATATCCGAAGAAAGCTTTCAAAAGTGGATTCGAATGTGGATTCTGCTGAAAGTGAAGTTTCAGAAGCTTCCAGTAAACCAGAGAAGAGAAAGAAGAGAGTTCATAAAAAGAAAAATACTGCCGATATGGATGCTGAATTAGAAAGACTTTTGGGTCTTGAAATTGAAAAAACTGAGCTGGAAACATACGAAAAAGTTGATGTTGATTTACCAAAACGAGAAAAATCAGAAGAGGTTCAAATTGTACAACCATTCAAGAGACTTGAAAAGGATGTAATAGAAGAAGAACCTGAGAAAAGTATTACTTTACAAATAAGTAGGAAGGAAAAATCAGATTCCCCTGAAGTCCAGGAAGATATTGTATTCAGAAGACCGAGACAACGGGAGAAATCGGAGGAGCCTGAAGAAGCAACAATTTCTCTTAGAAAAGTACCAGAAGAAATACCAGAAGAAAACGTTGAGGAAACCATAAAGAGACCAATACAGAAACCTACAACTACAGAAGAAGAAAAGGTTGAATTTACTGCCAAAAAAGTTAAAAAACCAAAACTTCCTGAAGCTGAAGCTGAAGAAAGTATTACAAAAACTATTTCTTTGCCTGAAAAACCAAAAGAAGAAGAGCCTGATGAAGAGCCACATTCAGAAGTAACATTTGGTTTGAAGAAGAAACCAAAACCAAAGCAAACAGTGTCTGAGGAAATAGAAGTTACGGAAACTCTTAAAAAGAAGAAACCAAAGCTTGAAGATGAAGCTCAATTAGATATTACTGAAAGTGTCACAATTGGATTGAAGAAAAAGCCTGAACCGACTGTTTCTGAAGATATTGAAGTTGAAGAAACTATAAGAAAAATAAGAAAACCCAAAGTTTCCGAGGAAGTCGAAATTGAATTTTCTTCTAAAAAGCCTAGGAAACCTAAAAAGGAAGATTTTGAGGCAGAAAAAACAATTACTAAAACACTTGAAGTATCAGATGAAGAAGTCGAGCCTGAAGAACCTGTTCAAGAAATTACTTTTGGTCTTAAAAAACCAAAAACGAAATCAGTTGTAACTGAAGAAGAAGAAGTAACGCAAACCATCAAAAAGAAAAAACCGAAAGCACCAAAAGAAGAACAAGTTGAAATAACGGAAGATGTTACAATAGGTTTGAGGAAGAAACCAGAACCATTGATAACAGAAGACGTTGAAGTTTCGGAAACAATTAGTAGAAAGAAAAAACCAAAACCTACTGAAGAAGCAGAAACTGAATTCTCAGTCACAAGACCTAGAAAACTTAAGGTTCAAAGCGAAGATGCTGAAGTGACTATGACTAAATATGAAGAAGAAGAAGAACCATTTGAAGAAGAAATTGTAGAAGATACACCTGAAGAGTTTCTCATACGTAGAAAGAAGAAGCCAACACCACTTCAGTATGAAGAGCACGAAGACGAATTTACTATCAAAAAATTGAAAAAGCCTAGAAAAGCTTCAAAACCAGATTTCCCAGAAATTACTGAGCCAGAAAACGTAACATTTAGGCCAAAACGAACAACTCACAAAGAAGATGTTGATCAAGAATTTAAAATACAATTGGATTCTTATGCTGAAGAAGAAATTTCCGTTTCGGGAAAGGTTAAACTTAAAAAACCAAAGCCGGTGTATCATGAAGATTCAGAAGAACATCGCATTAGAATAATTCAAGAAATTGATGATGATGGACCGATTATTGAAGAAATAATTGATGACGACAGCGAACATGAAGACACAATGTATGATGTCGATGAACCTGATGAATTTTCAGACAAAGAAACTATACCAGAAGATTTACCAGAACATGTTCTCTTTAAACTTAAGAAGAAAAAGAAGGAGAAAGCACCATACAAAATCGAAGATTATGAAGAAGAATCATTTTCACTGGAATTCCCTAGCAAACCTAAGAAGAAAGTTTCAACCTTTGATGAAGATTCTCTGAAATTGAAACTTAAGCGAAGATCAGCTCCTAAATACATTGAAGGTGAATTTTGGTTTTTAATGAAATTTCTGTAAACATTATTAATGATTACTTATTTCAAATTTCAGAAGAGAATTCTTTAAGCATAACCCGAGAAGTACGTGAAGAAGATTTAATGGTTGTCATTTGCTCTGTCACATCAGACAATGATGACACTTTGAATTTAGTTGAAGGTGAAAAGGTTTATGTAATCGAACGTTATAACGCTGACTGGTGGTTTGTTAGAAAACAACTTAGCAATGAAAAAGGTTGGACAGAATCTCACAATTTAATGGACACAATTAGTTACACTCATTACGTTCAGAAAAAACTTAATGAGAAAATTGATAAACTTCCTGTTTTCGAAAGTAAGTTTTTATTAATGCTTATCATTTAACAACAATAATTTCTTATCAAATAAAATTCCAGAACCAGGACCAAATGAAAAGGCATCAGCACCACGGTTTATTGAGAAATTGCAGCCAATCAACACACCTGATCATTACACCATTCAATTCGAATGCAAAGTTGAAGGATCTCCACGCCCTCAAATTACTTGGTTCCGTCAAACTCAAATCATTTTACCATCACAAGATTTCCAAATGTTCTATGATGAAGATAATGTTGCAACATTGATCATTCGTGAAGTCTTCCCTGAAGATGCAGGAACATTTACTTGTGTCGCTAAGAATGCTGCTGGATTTGCATCAAGTACAACAGAACTTACAGTTGACAATATCTCTGATCATGGTTCAGAAATGAACTCACGAAGGAGTATGTCAAGAGAATCTTCATTAGCTGATATATTGGATGGAATTCCACCAATTTTCTCTAAGAAACCAAAGGTCAAATGTGTTGAAGAAGGTTCCAATGTTATTCTAGACTGTGGTTTAGTTGCTGTTCCTGAACCAGACATTAAATGGTTGTTTAATGGTAGAGACGTTTCAACTATTGAAAACATAAAAGTGGTTACAAAGTCTGACAATCACATGTACTGCACTGTTTTGCAAATTACTAAAGTTGCGAAGAAACAAGAAGGCATTTATGAAGTCGTCGCTAAAAACCGAGAAGGTGAATCAGTTTTACCTATGAAATTAAAAGTATCAACAGGTGAAAAAGAAAAGCCCGAGATTTTAGAACCATTGAAAAATCTTGTCGTAAAAGAAGGTGAACCGATAACATTTACAACACAAGTTACAGGAAATCCTACACCTAAAGTTCAATGGTTCAAGAATGGCGAAGAAGTGAAAGAGAATAAGAAGCATGACAAGGAGAAAAGCATTTACACTTTCACAATTACAACAGCCACAGAAATTGATAGCGGTGATTACACAATAAAAGCAACAAACTCAGCTGGAACAGCATTCTCAGGATGCACAGTTACTGTAGAAGACAGTGGCATTCGCTTTGAATCACCTCACTTTACAAAGCGTTTCGAAGAAGTAACAGTTAGACAAAAGGAAACAATTGTCTTGACTGCTAAAGTCACTGGCAACCCTGTACCAGAAATAATTTGGCTGAGAAATAACAAACCACTGCAACCTTCTGATAGAATCATCCCTGAATTTGATGGAGAAAATGTTAGTTTAACTATAAAGAATGCAGATTCAGAAGTAGATTCTGGTGATTATAAATGTATTGCAAGTAACATTGTAGGAAAGGAATCACATGGTGCTAAAGTTACTATTGATGTTGAGAAAGTTAAATTCACCAAATTGCTTCACAAAACTTATACAGTTGAAGAGAACAAAACCGCAACATTAGAATGTGAAACTTCACATTCCGTTCCAACAAAATGGTTCCACAAAGATAAGGAATTAAGTGGAATGGATCACAGAGTGATTGTCCACGAAGCAAGAATTCATAAACTTATAATAAAGAATTCTTCTTATGACGATGTTGGATCATATAAATGTATTGTGAAAGATCAAATCACAGATACCGAGCTTAAAGTGACTGAAGCAAAACCAGAATTCGTCAGAAAGCTTGAAGATATTGAAACAAATGAACTTGAAGATTTAATTCTCGAAGTGGAAATCACATCAGAAACAGCAACAGTTTCATGGTACAAAGATGGCGAAGAAATCAAACCGAAAGATGATAAATTTGAAACTGTTAAGAAAGGAAAGGTTCATAAGTTGATAGTTAAGAACGCAACCGTTTACGATGAAGGTGAATACACTTGCGTTTTGGCTGATCAAGAATGTTCTGGTGATGTCACAGTCATCGAACTTCCACCAAGAATTTTGTATGATCTTGAACATATTACAATCGCTAAAGGAGAAAAGGCGACATTTGAAGTTGAACTTACAAAAGGTGATGCCTTGGTACGATGGTTTAAGAACGGTGAAGAGATTCAATTCTCTGATCATGTTCAGTTACGTATTGATGGTAAGAAACAGAAATTGAAGATTTATGACGCTGAAATTGAAGACACTGGCGAGTATTCATGCATAGTAGCTGACCAAGTATCAACTGGATCATTGACTGTTGAGATGCCTTTAGTTGAATTTATCAAACGACTACCTGACATAACTTTAGTCACAAAAGAGAACAATGCTGCATTCACAGTTGAGTTGTCTTTACCAGACATAGAAGTTGAATGGTTCCAAGATGGAGAACCAATAAAACCAAATGACAAATTCAAAATTTTGGATGGCAGAACAGTGAAAAAATTAATCTTGAAAAATGCACAAGAAGCAGATGCACATCAATACACATGCGTCGCTTCGAATGTTAAGTCATCAACAAAATTAAAGGTTGAAAACATAAAATCAGCGCCAGTTATATCCTTGGAAGATTTGAATAAAACTTACAAAGTTCGAAAGGACGAAGATCTTACAGTTACTATCAAATTTATGGGATCGCCAAAACCAGACGTTGAATGGTCGGTTTCAGAAAACATCATTAAAAAATCAAAGAGAATTGAACCAACAGTTTCTGAGCAATCTGCAAGTTTGACGATTCAAAAGATCGTTGAAACTGATGCTGGTGATTACACAATCAAACTGAAAAATGTTTGCGGAGATGCTGAAACGTCAATGAAAATTATTTACATGAGTAAGTTGAGAATAAATGTACAAATGTTTGGAAAAATGTTAAGGAAAAAAAATATTTTTTGCAGAACCACCATCAAAACCAGGATCACCTGAACCAGTTGAAGTCACAGATGATTCAATCACATTATTCTGGAAATCACCTGATGATATTGGCAACTGTGAAATCATTGAATACATTTTGGAATACAAACAAACAAAGGAAAAGACGTAAGAAAAGTTTGATGAATATTTTTTGAATTTTAAATGAATTAAAAAAATTCCTTTCAGATGGAAGAAAATCACAAAAATTGTTGAAACCACTTACACATTAACAAATCTTAAAAAAGACACAGAATTGAATTTCCGAGTAACGGCTGTTAATGAAATTGGAGAAAGTGAACCATCAGATCAATCGACTGCTAAGATCATGAAGCCGATTGTTAAGGAGAAAGCTATCTTCACAGAACCACTTAAAGACATCTCAATTGGCCTCAACAAACCATTAACATTGTCATGTGTTGTCGGAGGTTTTCCAATTCCAGAAATCACTTGGTATAAGAACGATCAAGCATTTGCAACACGTACAATTACTTATGAGAATCGTACTGCAAAATATACTGTTGAAAGCACAACAGAAAGTACCGCTGGAACTTACAAATGTCATGCTAAAAATGAAATCGGTGAAAGTTACACAACTTGCACTGTGGTAATAGAAGAAAAGCCACTCATTACAGTGGAAGAAACTCTGATAACTCAGAACTTGAAGGTAGGATCACATTACGAAGTGATTGCAAATGTCACTGGCTATCCACTTCCAAAAGTTTCGTGGGTCAAAGATAGTCTTAAGATAGAAACCAATGAAGTGTATAACGTAGAAATTACTGAAACAACAAAAACATCCCTTACAACTAAGTTCGTCATTAAATCCATCGAGAGACATCACAGTGGTAAAGTAACAGTGAAAGCAAAGAGTTCAGCTGGATCATCATTAGTTGATTTCTCAGTAACTGTTATTGATAAGCCAAGCAAACCTGAAGGTCCATTATTATTCCGTGAGATAAGTGAAGAAGCTGTTGTGTTGGAATGGAAGCCACCAGGAGATGATGGTGGTTTGGAAATTCAACAATATTCCATTGAAAAGATGGAACCTCATCAAAAAGCTTGGATTAAAATTGCCGATGTTGATAAGAATATTGAATCTTATTGTATTCAGAATCTCATAGAAAATGCCCAGTATTTGTTCCGTGTCATTGCCAAAAATCCAATTGGAAGTTCAGAACCTTTGGAAGGAGAACCAGTTACTATTAAAAAGGTTTGTGAGCCTCCATCACCTCCAAGAGGTCCAATTGAAATTTCTGGTATGACTGACACATCATTTACACTCACATGGAAACCATCTGAGAAAGACGGCGGATCAAGACTCATCGAGTACATTGTTGAGATTCGTGAAAGTAACAAGAAAGTGTGGAAAATGTTGAACATTACATCGTTCGACCAAACAAGCATATTTGTTCAAAAATTAGTCAAGGATCAAGGATACCACTTCCGCATTACAGCTCGCAACAAGATTGGTACAAGCGATCCATTAATCACTGACGAGAAGATTATTGCCGGACGGCAGATAAGTAAGTGTCAATCATTATCAAAATTAAATTTATATTCTCAGAATATCATTTTAACTGTCAATATTGGGTTTGTGGATGTTGCAAGTGATTTATGTTTGTTTCATATTATTGTAAATGAATTCATGGAATCCCTCCCAATCAAGTATTTTATCTACCAGTTCTGTGATAATGATAACATTCCTTATATTTATGTTGTAATTATTAGTCAATAATATTCAATGTTTATAATACCCGAAATTTTTTGTAAAGCTCCCCCATCGCCACCTCAAAACCTACATGTCACTAACGTTACAAGCAAGAGTGTAACAATTGAATGGGAAACACCAAGTAGTAATGGAGGAACTGAGATAACAACTTACATCATTGAAAAGCTTTTAACAAAATCGTCACAATGGAGTCGAGTAGCGACTTTGGACGCATTTTGTCTTAGCTATTGTATCGATAACCTGAAAGAGACTACTGAATTAAGCTTTAGAGTATCAGCTGAGAATGCAATCGGTGTTAGTGCACCAGCATATACAGAACCTGTTATTCTTAAAACGCATGCAAGTACGTTCAAAGTTGTATATAATTATTTATTTTTTCCTTATCCGTTTCTTTCGTTTTATTACTTACAAATTCTTTTAATTGACAATAAATAAAATAATCAATAAATCCTTCATAGCCGTTCCAACTCCACCAACTGGCCCACTTGAAATTCGTTTGATCGGTTCAAGTACCAACGTTGTTGAATGGGGTGTGCCTGAATCAGATGGCGGTGCTCCATTATTAGGATATAACATTGCAATTCGTGACATTAAAAAGACAATGTGGATTGAAGTTGGAAGATGCAAAGCAGATGTACAGAAGTTCAGTATAAGAGATTTACAAGAAGGTCACAAATATATGATTCGTATTTATGCTCGTAACGAGATTGGAAACAGCGATCCGTTGGAGTCAGAAGAACCTTATGAAGTTCTTCATGGCATGGGTAAATATTTTCTTTCGTTTATAAACATTTTTCCTAAAACTTTTTATGTCATGTAAGGTCACGATGCCCAAGATGAACCACAAATGACTGAAGCAACGGGATGGAGTACTGAAAATACTTCATCTTGGATGCGTGAACATAATATGGATGCCGATATTAGCACATATGCTAAAGCTAAGCTGTTAAGAAGAGATGAATACTTCTTCAAGATTTGGCATCACGCCAAAAAACTGTTTAAAAAATAATTTCGAGCTTGTAAACGAAAATATTTTGTATAAAATATTTTATTAAGTAATGGTTTTAATTTTTCTTTTAATATATTTCAATTCTTTAATGATCATGAAAGTTTGAAGATTTCATTTTGAGAAATGATTTTCAATTTAACATCAAAAAACATAGAGTAAGCGAAGAGTAGCAAATCAATATGAAAATCAGTTATCAGAATAAATCTTCAAACTTGAATGTTTCATTTTACATAAACGATGATTTTTTGTTTTATTAGTAAGAAAAATGTAAACGTAAATAGTGAGAAATCAATATCATTTCATAAAGCGGACAATCTTTTTTCGGGAGACATAAATATAGATGCGACCGCTACTTCACTTTGACGTTTCCATTTTTCTTAATTTTATACTTCAATATTATAATACGCAATCAATAAAGAAAATTCTTTTTTTATCCCAATAATTTTTAATGCTTTTCAATTTCATTTTCATAATGTTTGCAGTGAACATTAGAAAGATTTCAATGCGAGGTAAAGTAGGTTTGAAGAAATTGTTGGTTTGATGAAATTGTTGGACAATGAAAAATTCAATTTTATTGTTACAAATTTTTATTGAATCATTTTTATTTGGTACGTAAATATTTCCTCAAAGAGAATTTTTGAGTAAATAAATCTTAAAAATATTTCAAATCTTCGCAATATGATTATGGAGAATTTAAATTTATGGTAATCGTAAGAAAAAGTTTATTTTCTCTCAAGGAAAACTTCTTCGCAACCTGGAACATTGTCAGAAGAATCGCATCGCTTTGTTTCATCATTGAATGATTCTCCATCTTCACATCTTAATTCTCGTGGTTCAATGCCATTCAAACAGACATAAAACTTTTGGCAATCTTCTGAATGAGCGTAGTGAGGGTGAGCAATGACTTGACCACTTGCATCATTTTTTCTACCATCTTTGGGACAAACAAATCCATCCTTTAATTTCTTCTTGTGTTCTTGGCAATTTTCACGGTTTGCTACTTCTGTAATTTAATAAAATTTCCCGTGATTTGGAATGTTTGTTGGATTTACATTTTAAATGCGTTTACCTGGCCATACACAAGTTCCAGAGTATTCATCAAAGTGCAATCCGCCAACACATTTAGTTTCAATATACTCGCCATCAACACAGCTGTAGAAAATATCGCAAATTGTTTCGTCTGGATGAGCAAATATTCCATTTTTTCTGGGACAATATTCATTAGTTCCTCTGGGAGGTTCTATACGAAAGAGAAAGAATTTTAATTAACGTTTTAACATTTGACATTTAAAAACTTCGAATGCTTACGTAGTTCAGTACGATCACCACAATCAACATTGAAAGGTTGATCACATTTGCTAATTCTTTTTATATTCACATCGAAAACTAATCCATCAGCACACAAATGTTCTTTTGCGATTCCTCCATTACATTCGTAGTATTTATCACACTGGATGTCGTCGGGATATAATCCGGTTTCAGTTGGACATTCAAAGTTTTGTGCATCTAAATGACGAGACAATCATTTTAAAATTTAAAACAAAACAAATTTCAATAGGTAGAAAATGATTCAAAAGAAAATAAGCGGACTATGAAGCGACACAAATTGAAACAAATCACACGTGTACGTGAAATGAGCTTTAAAAGATGCGTGAAAGAAGACATTGACTCACGAAACTTTCCTTTGTTGCTCTTTATTATTTACTTAAATATTTTTTAACAAGATAAACTAAAATGGAACAACCGGTTTCTTAACAGTCAGACATGGGGAGAAATTGCGTAGTTATGCAATAATGAAGTCAATTATATTACTTAGTGAGCATATTTAATGAAATGAAAATTTCAAAAGATTTTTGAAATTACAACATTTTTTAGCTTTTATTCCGTATTGGAATGTTGTTGAAATCTATTCATTCAACACTTTCGAAACTATTTAAAGATTAATTAATTAAAAATCTGCTCTAAGGAAGAAATTTTGTTTTCATTGTTTTCAAACTCACATGCAACAATCATTAAGCTTGCAACAAACAGTATTTTAATCATTTTTGCAAACTGTGATCATCAATTCACGAGACACTTTGACGAGACAAACAACACACGTTTCGAAACTTAAACGGAACTTTTCAAACTGAAAAGCAATCTGCGTACAGATTTAACTCTCTCTCTCTCTCCTCTTAACACAAACATCCCCACCAATCATTGTTAATCAAATTGTTTGATGCTTTATTCAAACATAGTTTTAAGCTCTTAAAATGCTCGATTTTTTTTTAATTTATTGATATTTGAAAATTAAATAAAAAAATAAACATGATTTATGAAGTTTAGTTATTTATTGATTGTACATAAAATTTATGACTTTTAATTTCAAAACAATTTAGGTCTTATGAGTTTTTTATATATTATTAAATTTGTGTCATTTGCTTAGAAATTCGTTTGTAGTTTTAACTTCATCATTTTTGAGGCTTCAACGATTTACTTTACAGGTTGTTCGGGAGAAACAAGAAAACGGTGAAATTTCTTTTACTGCATTGAGGCCAGAAAATTTTGAATGAAAAGTTGAAAGTAATTTAAATGAAAGTACCGTGAAATTTGTCTCCTTTCAGTTTCATGTGATGAGCGTTTAAGGCAACGATAATTATTTTTGCAAATTATACACTTGATAAAAGTCAATCACCTTCAACATTACATCGTCAAAATTTGCAATTTTTCAATGTCTTTAATAAGTTTGAAACAGCATCACGTGATGTTTTAAATGAAGTTAACTAAATATCTGCAATTTAATCTTGATACGATCTCGAACATAAATCTCAGATTTCCTCTACAATTTTCTTATTGCCCTACTCTAACTGTTTATTTATGATACTATGATCTGTTGACTAAATAGGAAGTTGAAGAGAATTAAACTGAAAAATACTCCATAACGCTTTAATATTTAATGTTTTGCGTATAAGGAAAGTTTTTAAAAATTTATTTTTATCACAAAAACATTTTTGAAGAATTAACTGAAAATGTCTGTGGCGGAATATATGAATTTGAACTTCAATCTCGATAAAGCGAATACTCAGACTTGTCGACCATAGAAACCGGCTTTCCAAAATTTGACATAACAGCAAGGTTTTATTGAAGAATAACAAACCAGTGGCTAAAAAATTAGTCAGTCATAAAAATATTATTTCAAAGCATCAACTTCTCTTTAAATCAATTTAATAAAGAGATCTGAATTCGATTCAATCTAATTTATTGTAGAGAAAATATTTCAATTCATCTTTAATATTTATAGTTGCAAACGGAGTAAAAAGTCCAAATTTAGCAACATAGAAACAAAAACCAGTTTTATTAACATTTTCTGACCTTGAGAAGAAACAAACAAAGTGTTAAAATCATCATATAAATTTAGTATAAAATATGCCTGAGATTAAAGTTACGCCTTTGGGTGCTGGTCAAGATGTAGGAAGAAGTTGCATTCTACTAACAATTGGCGGTAAAAATGTCATGCTCGATTGTGGAATGCACATGGGCTACAATGACGAACGTCGCTTTCCTGATTTCTCTTACATCGTTCCTGAAGGTCCTATAACATCATATATTGATTGCGTGATTATATCCCATTTTCATCTGGATCATTGTGGTAATAAAATCATTCAATAATGAAATAAAAAATTATTAACTTTAGATATGAAAATATTTCAGGTGCTTTACCTTACATGACCGAAATGATTGGTTACACAGGACCCATTTACATGACACATCCAACTAAAGCAATCGCTCCAATTCTCCTTGAAGACATGAGAAAAGTTGCCGTCGAACGTAAAGGAGAATCAAATTTCTTCACAACTCAAATGATCAAAGATTGCATGAAGAAAGTCACTGCCGTAACTCTTCACCAGTCTGTAATGGTTGATAGTGAAATGGAGATTAAAGCTTATTATGCTGGTCATGTTCTTGGTGCTGCAATGTTTTGGATAAAAGTTGGAAATCAATCAGTTGTTTACACTGGCGACTACAACATGACAGCTGATCGTCATTTGGGCGCTGCATGGATTGACAAATGTAAACCAGATCTACTCATCACTGAATCTACTTACGCAACCACAATCAGAGATTCCAAAAGATGTCGCGAAACAGATTTCCTCAAGAAAGTTCACGAATGTGTTGCTCGAGGTGGTAAAGTTCTCATTCCTGTCTTTGCTTTGGGAAGAGCACAAGAACTTTGCATTCTACTTGAAACATATTGGGAACGAATGAATCTTAAATATCCAATTTACTTCGCTTTAGGATTGACGGAGAAAGCAAATAATTATTACAAAATGTTTATCACATGGACAAATCAAAAGATAAGAAAAACCTTCATTCATCGTAATATGTTTGACTTTAAGCATATTAAGCCATTTGATCGTGGATATATTGATAATCCTGGTAGTATGGTTGTATTTGCGACACCAGGAATGTTGCATGCTGGATTATCATTACAAATTTTCAAGAAATGGGCGCCGAATGAGAATAACATGTTGGTAATGCCAGGATATTGCGTACAAGGAACTGTCGGTCATAAAGTTTTAGGTGGTGCTAAAAAAGTTGAATTTGAGAATCGTCAAGTAGTTGAAGTGAAAATGGCTGTTGAATACATGAGTTTTAGTGCACATGCTGATGCAAAAGGAATCATGCAATTGATACAGAATTGTGAGCCACGCAATGTTCTTTTAGTTCATGGTGAAGCCGCAAAAATGGAATTTTTGAAAGAGAAAATTCGTGATGAGTTTAAGATTGATTGTTACTTTCCAGCTAATGGTGAGACTCAAGTAATTAGTACACCATTGAAGATCCCTGTTGACTGCTCACTTCAACTTCTTAAAAATGAAGCAAAAATTTACAATGCACAACCACCTGATCCGAAACGTCGACGATTTTTACATGGCATTCTAGTGATGAAGGAAGGAAAACTCACACTCATGGATGTCACGGATGTATTTAAAGAATTTAATGGAATAAATCGTCATGTCATGAAATTCTCATCTTATATCAAAGTTGAAAATTCATCATCGTCACTTCAGATACTCGAACAACTTCATTTGCTTCTGAAAGAGAAGCTGAGTGTTTGGGAAGTTAAACTGGTTGACAGTCAAAGCGTAGCTGTTGAGAGTGTTAACGTTAAACTTGAAGAAGAGAACAGTGAGCGGAGAATTTGCGTGTCTTGGGCTAATCCGGATGAAGATTTAGGTCGCTATGTGTTAAATCTTCTTCAAAATATTGGATAAATTTGTAATCAAAAACTTAAAAGAAAGTATTTGAATAAAACGCTTGTTTTTAATGAATGTTTACGTCTTTGTCACAATTTATGAATATTTATGGGAATAAAAGAAATAAAAAACGAATTAGTTAAATTTAAAAGAAAAAAATATTTAATGATGTTCATCATCATCGAAGAAAATGTTTTTGAGTGTTAAGAAAAATCGGAGCGCGAGCTCGAGAAAATGCAATGCAAAATATGAAATTTAGTCTCTCGCGAACAGTTGATCAGATCGGTTGAAAAATTCGGTTCATCAATATAAAAGAAAAGAAAATTTAAGAAAAAGAATCAATATTGAGACATTTCACAAAAAAATATTTTTCGCGATGCATTGTCATTGAAAATTAAAGAGAAAAAGATAAAAAATAGTTTAAGTGATCAATCATTCGTGACAAAACATTGACGAAAAGGGGGTTGAAGAGTCGATTTGTGTGATTGGATATAATTAAATAAAAATAAAGATAACGAAATGAAAATGTCAAGAATTTTAGATTTCATTTTCATCACAGGTAGTCCTTGAAAATATTTCTTCAACTAAATCTATCTACATAAAAATATATTTTCATGATCATTTCTGTTTTCCCGCTTAAAATATTTCTGGTGATTCTCTTATTCAGTTATTGCTTACTTTCGAAGACAAGGAGAGATATTTATAACATTTACAATAACGAAACATAAGCTCGAGATATCTACATAAATATTCTGGAAAATTATTTTCACACTTTCAAAAGATTTTATTACTTTTTTCGTTTTAATTATAAGTAAATATCTGTCAGTAAAACGCTGTCTTGTTCTTTTGCAACTAGTATCTTTATAGTTTATTAAGAATGATACTTAAAATTCTCATGAAACGTTTATTGAGGCGTTCACGAGTGATGTATTTATGTAGAAAGAATATTAATTTGCGGAGATAATTTCGTTCGAAACAAAAATAACTTTTACTCAGCATAGCGTGGGTGACGACGATGCCTCATATAATCTTCTTCTTTTCAGAATCAAACAAGTGTTTCTGATATAATTAACTTAATTGTGAAGCATCAATTAATTATAGAAATATGTAACTAAATTTACGATCAGTTTCTAACCCAATTATGGAAAATTATATTAAACATAAATTCTATCAAGTCGTTTGAAAACCTACATCAGCTACATTCGATATCAATTTCAACAGCTGTTTTAAACTTCAGCTTAGTTTTGATCAAGAATATAATCTTTTTATGGCAATAGAACTTCTTTGCTACTTTAATTAAGGCGATTCGTTCACCTTGATAATGAACACACATCGATAGCTTTTGAAAAGAAAATCTTTTGTTCAATTTTCTTACTTCTGTGCACAATCCGAAAAGGGTTTGAAATATCAAACACTAAATTCAGAATTGTCACGCATGCAACAAGTAAATACGAAAAACGAAATATCATGAGACACAATTCATGTGTTGAATTTTATTTTTAGTTTTTTTTTCTTATTAAAAAAACATTTTTAAGGCGGGTAGAACTATTCATGCAATTTATAATGATCAAAATTGTCTATTCATGCGTTATTTGTGGATCTATCGTAACTCTATGACGTTCCATTCAAACTAATTTGACCAAACATTTATAAATATTTTGAAAAAGTAATTTATGCAAATTATATAAACCATAAAAAGAATCTCAATCGAATTTAAATTGAGGAAAAATTAAGATCGCGTTCATTTCCGGTTCATAGAAAATGTTCGCCCTTAAATAAATCTTTTCACGATGTTTTCAATAGCAGCGTCTGTTCTCGCGTCTGTTTTTCTAATGATGAAGTTTGTTTACCAGAAGAGTATTTGTGTTATTAGTAAAAATTTCTCTGAAATGGAAGTCGAAGACTAAAACTTGATTGCGGCATATCAAAATTTTATAACTTATAGCAGATAATTATCAAGGTTAAATTCAGATGGATCTGTGAACACATTTTTTTCTGATTTTTTTATTGATTATGAAACATAAAAATTAGGGAATATTTATGTTATGTTTGTTGAATTTCAAGTGTTTCGAAAGATCGCATTTGATTGAAATACATTAACAATTATGTTTCATCAGATGTAAGTTGATATGTCTGACGTAAAAAGAAGACACTCGAAATGAGAAAATGATTTTATTCTCTCAGAATAGCTCAAACAACCTTGACTTTGATTGAGGGCTACGAATCGTCCTCTCAACTGAATCGAAAACGAAAGTTATTGTCTATGACGTTCACGTAATTCTTTTGATTCTTTTTCGAATTGTTTTAAATCTTATTCACGTTTTCTTTTTGTCTTCTTTAATATGTAGAAGTTGTTTGAAATGTCATTTCATTCTGAAAAATTTGTACTGTTTAAATATAATAAAATTTGTCATCAACAGCATGCTTTCTGACAGATTCTTTAATGGCTGGCAGTATTCATGGAATAAAGAGATCAAAATGTGAACACATAAATTCATCACAGGTGACACTGCAGTTATTAATAAATATTAACGACATTCACACGTGTTTTATTCTTTTAAAGAATCGAGAAAGTATTGAACCAAATATATTTCAAAAGCGGTTGAATCTGCTAAGAAACGAAATGGAGATTCGCACATTAATTGACGCATACATTGTCACAAATTATGATGAACATCAAGCATATCAGTCAGATGATGTTGACAGCAGATTAACTTTTATTTCAGGATTTAGTGGGCCTATTGGAGATGTAGTGGTAAGCTTAAAATTCCTTCACATCTTCACTTTTAACTAATTAATTAAATTTCCAATGATATTCAGATAACATTACGATCAGCCGCATTATGGACAGACGCCAAATATTTGGAGTTGGCTGATCAAGAACTTAATTGTGAGTGGAAGATTTTCATAATGGGAGAAAATCCAACAATAGCTGAATGGCTTGCGGTATGGATTAAGAAGAATTTAAATCCATTAAACTTTCAAATTTATTTTATTGTTTTTCAGAAACAAATTCCGACTGATGCATCAGTTGGTGTTGATCCCGCAACGACACCACATCATTTATGGAATGAATGGGATCGAGAATTAAGTCGAGAGTTTTTCAAGATTACGAAAGTTAAGAATTTAATTGATTTTATGTGGGGATCTGAAAGAATATCTCCACGTAACTTCAGTATCAGAACACTTAATTCAACATTCACTGGAAGTTCATGGCAAAATAAAACAGAAACATTGAAGGGACATTTGCGAGAACATCGGTGTGATGCTATGATTGTCTCTTCGCTTACAGAAATTGCATATTTATTAAATCTTCGTGGAAAAGATTATCGCTACGTGCCTGTCTTCAAAGCTTATCTGATTGTGACACATGAAAAAATTATTCTCTACACCAACATTTCAAGAGTACCACTCGAAGCTGAACTTATGCTTAAATTCGACTTCAGAACTAATTCATGTTATCAATCGGAATGTGTCATGTGAGTATTGTCGAATATTTAATCAAAATTTCTCCCTTTATGAGTTAAAATTAGAATAAATAACCAATTTTTGCTTAATGGTACAATCAGTCTGATTAAATTTTCAATTTTCATATTTTTGAAATGTCAAAAGAAGATTTAAAGTTTATAAATTTTAATTTACATAATTTCTATCCCTTTCAACTTATCAGAATAAAAAATTATGACGAATTTTGGCATGATTTGAGAGCCCTTTCTCATAGATGGAAGCGTGTGTTGTTACCAACTATGAATGTTTTTGACATGGGGACGTCTGAAGCGGTTTATTCAATGTTCAATAAAGAGAATATTTTGGAGAAACCATCACCAATTATTTATATGCGTGCTCAGAAGAACGAAGTTGAACGTATTGGAATGAGATCAGCTCATCTACGTGACGCCGTTGCTATGTGTGACGCTTTAAGTTATATGGATGAACGAGTAAGTTTTCCTTTTATTTCAATTCTTCTAGAGAAATGTTTAAAATCAATCTTTGATTTTTAGTATTTATCGGGTGATCGTTGGAAAGAATATAAACTTGCAATAGAAATTGATAGAGCTCGATACGAACAATCAAAAGTTGAGGGTTTAGCGTTTAAAACAATTGCAGCCTTTGGTAAAAATGCAGCCAAGCCCTATTACGATACAAAGAATGAAAGTGAAACAATAATAAATGATGAAAATTTTTTTCTGATTGATTCTGGCGGGCAATATCTTGATGGTACCACGAGCATTGCACGAACACTTCATCTTGGAGAGCCAACAACGGAACAAAAAAAAGCATACACAAGCGTTTTAACTGGATTGATTCGTTTATCAATGCTCGTATTTCCCGATAATCTCAGACCCGCAGATATTGACACGTTAATCAGAGGCCCATTGTGGAGTTCAAGACATGACTATGAACATTTGTCTGGTCATGGTATTGGGTCATATCTAAGTGTCGAAGAATGTGAGTAGAGAAATAAAAAACTGAAATTAATATTTTCATCAATGTGTCATATTGTCGTATATATTAATAAAGCCGACTCTCAGAATTTTATTGATCGCTCGACACAAATACTTCACATTCATCTGACGCTTATTTAGCTTTATTAGACTTGTAATTGAATTAAATCTTTCTTTTTTCACAAGTCTATCTATTCACGCTCATATTTGTATTTTCGTATTCATCATTGCAGCTCCCATTAATATTGCTTATACGACTAAGCATAAATATGTCTTCAAAGAAGGATATTTCTTTACTGTAGCTCCAGGATATTATAAAGCTAACGATTATGGAATTCGTTTAAAGAATGTATTCGAAGTCATTGATACACATGACAAGCATTTTACGGGCGCAAAGTTCTTAACTTTACAAGTTACGACGTTAGTTCCATTTGAAAGCAAACTCATTGACAAAACACTTCTCAGTCTTCAAGAGGTAACTTTTTTCTATGTTATTAATGAATGATTAATTGCAACATTAATTTATGTTTCAAGAAAAAATGGTTAAATAATTATAATGCCCAAATAAGGGAAACAGTTGGTGCTGAACTTAAACGACAATTGAAAATGCAAGCGTTTTACTGGTGAGTTGAATCAAATTTAATTATGTTTTGACATGTTAAGTCATTCTTCATTTCACAGGTTGGTGAATCAAACCCATCATATCAGAGAATATTTAACAGAATCTGAATACAGAAAGAACGCTTCATCACAGCTGACAATAAATTACCTTCTAATCTTAATCATTGTTCTCTACAAAGCACTCCTTATTGAAATTGCGTAGATAACTTAACTTAGTTATTAACATCTAATGTGTAATAAATCTATTTCTGTCATCCGATTAAATATCTAATTTAAAAGAGGAAAAGAAAAATCTCGAGTAGCGATTACAAATCTATTTTAATATTGTCTAAAAGTCATTAAAAAATTAAAAACTTTCAGCATTTTCCACAACGCTCCCCTTAAGTATTTATGGAATTAAAAATTGAACAAAATCATTTCCCCTCAAGTAACAAAATCCAAAGAAATTTTAAATTAATTTATATTTATGGACCTGTTTAGGTTTTGAACTTCCTGCAATTGGATAGAAAATGTTTGTGATGAAAAAGTAGAAAGAAGAAGAGAATGAAGAACTCCATATGTATGTACAAATAAAAGTATAAAAGAACAGACTACGGGGAATTGTAGGAAATTTAAAGAAAAAAAAACAAAATAAATTCTACCCTAGCAATAAAGTTGACGATATTCAATGTCACAGCAATTTCTGAATGCTTTTAGGTGTGCAAACACATTTATGAAGTCACGAGATTCTCAACCATCCCCTGGTTAAATGCCGTTGTAAACTAAACGGTTGAATAAATCAAGAAAGGAAGAACAATGCTTGATGAATCTGAGCATAACTGCAACATAGAATTTAGAGAACTTAAGAAGAGAGAATTTCCTCTCTCTTTAAATTTTGTTTTGTCTCTTCCAGAAGGAATAAAGAAACATAAATTGCCGAAAATAAAAATCAGTTCTCTTCATTACTTGGATTTGAAAGCATCATTTCTACCGGTTGAAAAAATTATTAAGCCGGGAGGTCTCTTCTGTTCTCTACATTCTACAAAAAAATTATTCATAGCTGATTATTGAAACTGTTAGAAATTCTTACTTCATCTTTAAACCAAAATGGATTATAAAATTCTATTCTTATCGGCATTGGCGTTCTTCAATGTTTGTAAGTTTCAAAGCAATTTTTTTTGTCTAGTTTTGTGTGATAAAAAGTTTCGTTTATTTTTGCAAATTATTTACAAAAATTAAAATATAAGTGGAGCGATTAAAAAATATTTCAAGTTAGATTTGTGATTAAAAAGAAATTAATAAGAAAATATAAGAAACCTATCTTGATCTTTTATTAATACATCTACCATCTCTAACGAAACGGAAACAATTTTGAATAAAAAAAATTCTGAGTCATAACAATGAAGAATATATTTATGTAGATATTTATGTTGAAGCATCAATATAAAAGAAATAAATTCTTGATTAAACATTTTAGAATGTGAATAGATACAATTTATATGCTTATTTGTATAATTTATCTGAAATGTGTTTTCTATTTTTAAAGGCTTAGCTCAAGAGTCTACAATCACTCACATTTCACAACCACAAACAAAGAATCCTGGTGAAAGCGTAACATTTAATTGTTCCGTCGTAAAACCTAAGGATATTAACGTTTCATGGTTGAAAGATGGAACGACGTTGACTTTGGGAAATATTGCAGTGTATCCTCGTTATCGGATAATTACCGATGAGTCATCGAACATGTTCAGTTTACAAGTAACAAACTTCATAGAATAAAATCTTAGACAAAAATTATATTTAAATAAATTAAATTCTAGATTGAAAATCTTACTGCATCTGATACTGGAAAGTATAGATGTCAAATTAATTTTGATTTGGGAAAAACAGTTTCAAAAGAAGTTGACTTGCAAGTCACTCGACCTGCAGTTATTTTGGATATCACAGAAACTAATGTTAAAGTTTCCGAAGGTCAACCAGCTACTTTATTATGCAAGGCTGATGGATTCCCTAAACCTGAGATTAGTTGGAAGCGTGACAATGAAGAAATTATGTTTTCGAAAGGAAACAATTACAGGTAATTTTTTTTCTTGAAGAATCCTCTGCCTAGATTTGTATGTTCAATATTTAAAGAGAAATGTGAAAAATATTTCAGTGGAGCCAATTTAACCATTTTACAAGTAAAAAAGGAAGATCGTGGAAGATATATTTGCATAGCAAATAATGGAATTGGTGAACCAGTCTCGAAAAGCGTTCTTCTTGAAGTTAGCTTTGGTCCAATAATGTCGGCAAAACGTCCTAAAATTGGACAAAAGGAAGGTTGGAAATTTACATGAGTAACTGGCAATTATGAAAAATATTAATGGTTTACATTTAAGGATACGAAGCGGAATTAATTTGCAAGGTCACTGCCTACCCTCCTGCCGCTGTTTCTTGGGTTCGAAATGACAAGGAAATAAACAATAACGAACATTATGAAATTTCATATTTGGGAGTTACAAATGAAGAAACAATTTCAACTTTAAGACTCAAAACTGTTGCTAGACATCATTTTGGCAATTACATTTGCAAAGCTAAGAATGCATTTGGAAATGATGAGACAACTTTAGAATTGTTCGGTGAGTCAAGAATTTTATATAGCTTGTCAGAAACTATTTTAATGAGCCTTTTTATAATGACTTTGAATCGTTTTTCTTGATGTATTTGATTGTTCCTTAAAACACATCCCGCATGATATGAAATGAAAACCAAGAAAAAATTCCTTTTAAATTCGACCGACCCTGATTAGATAAATCAAAATTCATAAGTTTATGTTTTGACTATTATTTTTTTATAAATTTTAGAATCCGAAATTCCCGTTTTTCCCTTCAAATTTTGAAACAAAAATTTATGCACCTTCCCTACAAAATTCTTCATCTGCGATGCACATGTTTTTTATGCTATTTGAGTTTGATGATGATGATGCTTAGCGAGGAGATATAGTTTAATCATATGTCATAATCCTTTAACATTTATGTAGGTATTTATACAATCTTGGAAAATATCATTTAATTTATGCTCATGATTTGAGATTTTCATTCGTTTTATTTTTATTAAGAAAGGGTGAAGCGATGTAGCTGGGTTCCATGATTCACGAAATATCTACATGAATGTTTGATTAGTCATAAATATCCACTACAAACGCTAAGCCCTTTTTGTTCTTTCTTAGTGCATGTATGTAGATAAAATACCTTTTGAACTCTCAAATCTATTATTTCATTTCTTCCATGTTTCTTTTTCTAGAACAAGAACTGCCGAATGAAATATTTTCTCTGTTTAGAAAGTCGAATGCTCATCGATTGATTGCATCACATACAATTATTGGTTTCGTTCTCTTCACTTTGCTCTATTAATATTTTTGGACACACACAACAAATTCTGAAGATCGATAAGTTAATAAAAGTATTTTTCTAAGTATCTAACTTTAGGTCATGTTTAAAACACTGGAAATAATAAAAGCAAAACTAAATATTTATTTTTATTCAATGTTTTTGTAAAAGCTTTTGAAGTACCTAATAATAAAAATTTCTTATAAAATGATAACAAAAACATTTCTTTGATCATAATTTCCTTCATTTTTCAGATAACATATAAACTCAGATAGCATCTTTTCTTATCAAAATCATTGTAAGATTAATGTGTTTATGAGCTTATTCTGAGCCTAGACAATATTTTTAATCTTGAATCATCAAGGAAGGCAAGAGTTGATTCAATTTAATCAAATAATTCTGCCAATTTAAAATGTCAATTTTTGAAAGTATGAAAATATGTAGGAAAAACATTTCTTGACACATTTTACTACAAAACTTTTTAAATAACTTTCCATTTATTAGTCTCATGACTTATATTGATACACACTAAAAAGCTAAATATGTGTTAATAGAGTTAATTGATTAATTGCTCAATTATACATTATTAAAACATAAACTACCGGCACGCAATTCCAAAACCGTTCAATTTCTTGACAATCATGAATATTATTAAAAGTTTTAATACATTTACAAAGATACCTACTTATTTATAAATATGTACGTCGTTACACTTCTCTCAACTTCTTCTTCATGAAAATGTTTTTACGAAAATAATTTATACATTCAACGTTGGTTTGTCTCTTCGGCTGGTTGCATTTTGTGATTTCCAGAAAAAAAAAGTATTTTGTGTCGTGTAAAGTAAGTCCAATAATCAATGAAGCAGGCAAAGTTAATCGTTTCCGTTGGCGATTCATTGATTTGTATCGTTAAAGTTTCATTCTTGATATAAAATTTGTTCTAATGGGCAATAAATTTTTTAATGTTATTTAAATGATATTTGAAAAAAAAATATGAACACAGTTTTAACATTTAGAATGAATGAAACATTCCTTTAATTTATAACAAATTCAATCGCCAACTCAAGATTTTAATTTGAATTTGATACCCGGAAAGAACTCAAACAAAACCGGTTTTGATCGACCTTAATTTGTTTCGTGCACATAATCACTTCTAAAAGTACTTTTCAGCATCATCATGAAACTTTATTCTGTTTGTGATGGACCTCCAAGTACAGCATGTCGAATGACATTAAAGCATTTAAAAATTCCATTTGAGCTTGTTGAAGTTAACTTCAATGTTGGAGAACATTTGACTGAAGATTACGGGAAGCTTAACCCCCAACATGAGATTCCTGTTCTTGACGATAATGGATTCGTGTTGAGTGAACACATCGCTATCATGCAGTATTTATGTGATAAATACGCTCCAGGCACAGCAGCATATCCTAAAGATCCAACTCAAAGAGCTTTGATAAATCATCGATTATGCTACAACATGGCCCACTTCTACAGTGCAGTCGCGCCATACACTCTGGCACCGATTTTCTTTGAAGTGAGTGAAAAGAAAAACTTAAAGCCAAACAAAAACATAACATCGATTTTATCTATTTCTAGTATCCACGTAATGCTGCGGGTCTGAAACGAGTTCACGCAGCTTTACAAGTCTTTGAAGAGTACTTAAAAAGAGTTGGCAAAAAATATGTGGTTTCAGATAATGTAACAATTGCTGATTTTGCTTTAATCTCTTCAATGATCTGTTTGGAAGGAATTGGATTTCCTTTCGATACATTTTCACTCGTCAAGAAATGGTATGAAAATTTTAAGAAAGAGAATCCAGAAGAATGGTCTGTTGCCGAAAGTGCTTTGAAAGTCATTCAAGAGATTGAAAAAAATCCACCAGATTTGAGCAAATTGAATCATCCAGTTCATCCTGTTCGTAAAACAAACAAGAATTGAAGAGAATTCTTGTTGTTCATCAATATATAGACAAGCAAAAATAGAGCAAATAAATAAAGATCAGAAGATTGTCCTTTTTAGAATATAAATATTTCAGCTTTGCTTTTTCCGTAAATGATTGAATCAAAAAAGGAATTAGGTAGATAATTAAAAGTTGCATATTTTCTCATGTTCGATCAGCACACTGATTTAAAAAGTTTAATTACTGCAGGTTAAGCTACCTATAGCGATTATTCTTTTACACTCTCCACCTGAAACTGCACCTCTGGAAGCAGTTTCAGGCGGATAGTGCATAAAATCGACGTTTTTCATAGCCAAATTTTTTAAAATTCTTTATACCGGCGATTGATTTTTGTACAAATAATAAATAGCTAGGTATTTACATTAATCTAAGCTTTCGGATATAATGACATATGAAGATAATTTATCATCTGGAATTACAATTATAGATCTGAGCAGTAAATAACTCATTGTTAATAAGAATATGTATTTCTGAAATAAAAACAATCAACGTTTTCATTTTAAGGCGACAAAGAAGATGAGGATGATGATGTCCTATCGGATCAAGCATTGAAGAAAGCTGCACTTCAACAGTCCTCATTAGATGGAGAATCAAAACAAAGGAATGTAGCAGTGAAACGAGGTGCACCTGCTCCCCAAACTTCAACTTTACCACCTACTTCTCCAACACCTCAACAGACTAAAGTTTATGGTAAAAATAATGCATTATTATGCACACAAATAGAAATTTTAATGTGTTTTTATATAAGGCAAAAAGTTTGATCTCAATCTTCTGAAAGACAGCAATTTTCTGGCTGATTTCAATCCTGAGAATTCTCGTCGTGAAAAGAACAAACTCTTCAATTTTTACAACAACAAACATAAGAAAAACATTCCAAAGAAAGCCAGCACTTCATTGTATGATGAGGAAGGAAAATTAAGAATGACTAAAAAAGACGTCTGCGACTGTTTTGAAATTAATTGTCCTGGATGTCACTTTCCTTGTGACAATTGCAAATCACAGAAATGCGGCTCAGTTTGTCGTGTAAATCGTAGATGGACATACGAAACGATTGAATACGATGGAAAAAATATATCGAAGACAAATCCTTTACTGTCAGTTCCGAATGGTAATTAAAATAATTGAAAATAAAGACATGAATTTCTTTTTGTACATAAATAATTTATTTCGTTTATAAACTTAAAAACCTTTTTGTGAATATATTTTTAGAAAACATTAAGAATGCCTCGCAAGCCAGTGATAATGTTGTAAAGGACAAGAGTTTGAATGAAAAAGGAAAAGACAAGGTGAGAGGACGAGAAACAAGAACAGAAGAGCAGAGAAAAAGCACAATTGAAAGATCGTTGGAAGGAAGAGAACAGCCGGATTATAGGAAAGCACGGAGGCCAGAGAAAAAGCCTATAGTTGAAGATAGCTCTGACTCTGAACTCTCCGATACTGAAAGCATTTCTGATACTGATAACAATGACGATCTGAAAGCCTCACGAAAACAGAGGTAAGTGGGCATCATGATCTAAAGATCTGTAACTCATTTATGAACAAAATTCTTCTCCAATTTAGATATAAATATGCACTGGAAGAGGTACTTAAAGGGTTGTCAGTAAGAGAAGCAGCAGAAAAGTGGGACGTCAAACGTCCTACACTAAATATTCTCAGACTAAATCCTAATCATTGTATTCATAGCCCAAAAGTAATTTTGACTAAACAAGAAGAGAAAATTCTTAATCAGTGGATTTTAGATGAGGCAAAACATGGAAGACCGCGCAAAAATAAAGAAATTCTTCGACATGCTCTTTACATTCTTAGACTTCGACTAGGAAATAAAGCAATAATGCCATCTCATTCTTGGTTGAAACGTTTTAAAAAACGACAAAATTCGGAAAATCAACGAACACTTAGAAAATTCAAGGATGCTAAGTAAATGATTGAAGATGAAATAAAATTTTAAGATATCTAGGTAAGTATTATTGTGAAAAACATTTCAATTGTTCGAATGTGGGGGATGCATGAATTTCTGAAATTTTCTGAATCATTTTTGTAGATATTTCATTTTCAAGTCCTGATAAAAAAAAATGTCACAAAGTTTACATTCTGCAGTGAGCAATAAAACTTTTATTTAATCATTCTCTAAATACTTAATAAGACTACTATAGTTTCATATCTCGTATTTGTATGAGATAAGCATGCTTCATTTCCTCAGACAACTCTCGATGACTTAAAATATGATTGCGCAAGTAATCTTTTCTCCCAACAGAAAAGCGACATGATTCCACAAAACAATTCACACGAACTTTCTCGTGTGTCACTACAATATGACGTCGCAAGTGATTTGCACTGAAGAACGATTTCTCACAGAAATGACACTGGAAGTCTCTTTGATTCAAATGAATTTTCTAATAAGAAAAAAAACTAAATTGAAGCTTCAATAAGAAGAAGTTTTAATTCAATCTCACCTCATGATTTGCCAAAAGTAATTTATTGATAAATGCTTTCGGACATCCATCGAATTGACATTTGAATTCTAAATAAAATTTAAGAGAATAAAAATGAAAGATGTTTGACTCAAATTAGCTTACCCGGTTCTTGATGATGCTTCATGTGAGTCTTCAAACTCTTAGCACTTCCGTATTTCTTTCCACACACCTAAATAATATTCATTCGTTTTTCTATTGTCAGAATAATTAAATTTCAATGAATTACCTCACAGAAGTGTTCAGTTCTGACATATCCTGGCGTATGTGCTATGAGTATGTGACTTTTTAGATCTTTCGGTGCAAAAAATCTCTTTGGACATAACTCACAAACATGACTGCGATCATTATTGTGCGTTCTTTTGATATGAGTTGTAAGTTTATGTCTCAAATTGAATTCTTTTCCACAAAAGCATTTCAACATTTCAGGATTCTCATCATGCTCAGTTTTCATGTGATTCTTCAAACTCTCGTTGCGTGTGAAGGTTGAAGGGCAAAGTGAACAGCATATGAGTTCTCGATGTTCTTTAGCGATATGTTTTGCCATGTGTGTTGAGAGATTACATTTGAGAAAAGCTCCAAAGCCACAAATATCACACCAGACTAAAAGAAATAAAGTGAATTAGATTAGAAACGAATCGTTTCCGTTTTTCAACACTTACATCGTTTTATTTTGTAATGGACTTTCTGTAATTGTGTTTATGCATTGAAAAATAATTCAGCAGCAACTTTAATCATACTTACATCGATGTGTCGTTGCAATTGATCTTTGTAGTAATAGTTGGAACAAATGCCACAAAGTGCTCTAGAAAAGTAATTTTGTAGATTATAAAAATCCATGAAGATTCTTTAAAATCACCTTTTGTATTGGATCTTAGAAGTTTTTCTTCTCCCTCTACTATTAACATGCTTTTCATCAGCCATTCCATCAGTCAGGACATATTCTTCCGTTTGAAACTGATAAGCATCATTCTCATATTGAATGTTTTCAAGATATTCTGTTGTTATATATTCTGCATATTCGTCCTCATTTTTTGGTTCAATTTTTACTTCCAAGCTTTCGTCTTTTATGCTTTTAATAGATACATCTTGAGGTAATTGAGTGTCTCGATCAAAACAAAGCGATTCCTCTACAAAACCTTCAACAAATCCTTCAAGGCATTTTTGTTTGAATATTAAATCCTTTCGAAATGCATTGAAATTTCTAAGTTTGGTGTTACATGATTCACATATAACATTAGAGTATTCGTCAGATGTTTTAAGCTGAAATAATGATAAAAATTTAAATGTTTAAAGGAAATGAGATTATCAACTTTTTGTTATTACCGAAATTTCTGTTAATTCCTGAAATCTTAGCATCACTGTCGGGGTTATTTTAATTTGGGTGTCGTCGGTATCAAACTCTTTCAAACAAAAACGACAACATCGCTGATGGTTATCTAATTCTAATAAAGATTGTTCCATTTCTTTTTTAAAAATTTATTTTTACATTCGATTTGTTTACAAACGCATAGCCGACAGAGGGGTCAACCACGTTTTCAACTAAATGAACCAAGTTAACGATGAATTTGAATTCTAATTTAGCGGAAATAACAGGCAATTTTTTTAATTAATTCAATATATTGTATTTTATTAATATAGGTAATTTCATTCGTTAAAACATGTAAATAATATTATGATGATGGGAACTTTTCAATAAATATTTTGTTATAATTGTCACATTGTTCACCTGTAAATAAGAAGAAAATCATTATCAAAGATTGAAAATAAGAAAAAATATCAAAATTACTTTTAAGAAATTCAATATTTCCTCGCAATCGTTGATTTCTTGCTATAAAATGCTTGTAAACAGAATAAAAGACCATTTTGTTGTCAGATTTCAATGCAGCTTCAAGATATTTCCTCGCTGGTATGAAATCAGGATTTGTGAATTGTTTTGAAAGTCTCAAAGCATCGATTGCCATTCCTTCCTCAAGAAAAATTTCAACAATAATTTCCAATGCGTTGAGTCTGTAGAGCATGTCTAAGGCCATTTGTGATATTAATGGGTTATTTTTGCTCGATGCCAAAAGAAAGCATGCAAGTGGCTTCGATTCATGAATCGCTTTGAAATTCAATATTTGTTGAAGTTCGTCAATTTTTTGTCCGTTTATGAGTGTAGAAACGATCAATTTACCCAAATCATATTCACAAGAAATTGAATGTTTAACAAGTGAAAACAAGTAAACAAGTGAAATTTTCTCCAAAACATTCTTATCGACGATTGTGTTTAAAACATATAAAACATCATTCTGTTCAATCACAATTTGATTCGGAAGTTGTGGAGTAACAATTTGTTGTGTTGAGATTTTAAATGTCGATGGAGATGGCAATGACTGCATCTTCACAAGATCATGATCGAGTTTTTGTTTATAAACTTTGTTCAAATTATCAAAGATCACTTCCAGAATTGCTAATTGCACTGATTCACCATGTTCTGGAGACACAAGTTGTAAAAGTGTATTTATCAAGAGACTTTTCTCTTTCTGACGATGCATAAGGAAGTTACACAATTTTAATTTATCACCTATACGAATCTTATTGATTGCCAACTCTAACTTAAACAAATATCCGATTCTTACGTCAATTATAATGTCAGAAAAAATCACCCAATTAGCTGAATAAAGTTCCACACTCATTGTGTTTTCCTTGTGTGTCACTGAAGGCAACTTTAATGAAAATGGTTCGATGGATTTTCCTGGAACAAGAGGAGTGTGATTCATAACACTTCGCTCTTGAACATTTTCTTCTCCATTGATAGCGACATCGAAGAGAAGGCTGACTTTAGATGTTTGATGATGTACAATGATTATTGAATCAATTATCGAAATTGCTACACGTCCACTGAATCCCAATTTAAGAATATGAGATTTTTTGAATGTGGGACCGTCAAGTAAATAAACCCAAACTTCAAGTGCTCGATTATTAGTTCTCAATGATTTTAAAATTAGAACCACAGGAGTTCCATAAAGAGTTCCAGTAGTGACATCACGTTCTGATAATCCATCATCAACATGAATACATGCCAATTTAGTTAATGTTCCAGGCTTTTGAAGGAGAATTGGAGTTAATATTGTTCCATTTGATACAATGAGGCAGTCAAGTCGATTCCACGCGAACCAAGTTGTTGACAATGAAACGGATTTCATACTACGGAAAATTATTAAACTGATGATACGAAAATTCAGATTAAATAAATCAATTTTATTACCTTTTTAAAGTTTTCTTTGATGTTATGACATTGAAAATTTCCACATTTTCTTTCGTCACAATAATAAGTTCGTTAGTTCGGATCCAAAAGAATCCCAGAATGGTCTTTTTTGTTTCAAAACTTATTGAAGAATTCGGTAGCAGCTGATTGTCTTTAAAGGCATAAAGTTCTAATGTATTCTCAGTACGTTGGATTGTAAGAATACTGTTGTCAACATTGAACTTTATAGCTATTAGAGGTGAACTTTGGATGATGAAGGAAAATGATTCCTGGACTAGTGATTTAACAGATATACTTGCTGGCTTAGCGCAAAATATTTGTTTCTGTGATTCATCGAAGAACACATTAGTAATCTGACTGACTGGATCGAATTTCAGATAATTTTTTGCTGATAGAGATAAATAAAAGTTTTTCTCATCCATTTTCAGCTCTTTTCGTCTCAAACTTTTAATATTTTAAAAGATCATTCACCATTTAAACATTTTACGTTACTTAAACTTTTCTGTTTTAGCTAATTTCATGAGTTTTATAGAATTTAAAATAAAAAGTAAATTTAATAATCGCAAGATAAATATTATTTGAAAGTGTGAGTTGATGACGCTCAGCCGGATCATGAAGTGGTGAAATCTTTTAGCAAAAATGTTTGTAAATATGAACCGTTAAAAATTATTAAGCTTTTTAAAAAGAATTGTTAATTTTCTTACCAATTTTATTTTATTTTCTTATGTTCAAAAATGTGTCAAGTTACTTTTAATAAGAAATATGACTAATATTGATGATAACAACGCATTTGTGACATTTTCTTTATTGACAGTTTAACTTAAAATCCCATAAAATTTTATTTGCATTGCTTATAATGAATTATGTAATTTAAAAACAGATTTTTGTCTATCAAATAAAATTGATTAGATTCTTTTTCTACATTTTATGTGTTACATTTTCAGACGATCAATAAATGAGATTTTTTAGGTAGAATGTTTCATAATCATAGATCTCATAAACAGTATAATTGGTAGGGCCTTCGACTTGTGCTACTAATATGAATAGATACTTCTAATTTGAACTTTTTGATCTAGATTAAAATGCATTTGATGGCATTCTTGATATCATAGGCATGTAGCACATGGCACCCATTTATCTACGTTTTAATTTATTAAATACCATTCGAAATAATTTCAAAAATTGTTAAACTTAAAAGGAAACATGTAAAAGAGAGAAAAAAGGTTATAAGTAGGTTCTAATAAGATATTTATAAGATAAAATAGTATAGCTTGATATTCGAATAGAAATAAGTAAGAGCTAATTTTGTATGACCTCGAAATATTCGCGCAATCAATATCATAAAAAATGATTAGCTTTTATGTTGACTAATTTCTGGCGGCAGAATTTGAATATTAAAAATTTTTGCTGTGATTGGCAATAATACTCCGTAATTGAACACCCATTGAATTGAAAACAACACAAACAAGAATAAGTCTATAAGAAAAGAAAAAGAAGAGAGAATTAGCAGTTTGATTACAATTTCTGCAATTTTATCGGATGCATGAATTTGCTTAAGAAATAAGAATAGTTTTCCAAATACAAAAGAAAAACTTACGAATTGAGATTCGCTCCCATCGTTCCATCATATAGAGTTCAGTCATCATACAGTATCTAAAGTACCTGGAATAAAAAAATGAAATCACCACACACTGAAAAGAAATTTTCTTCGCTCTTACCAGTAGTTGATGAATTTTAAGACACTACTTAGAATGCTTCGCAACATTGTTAATTAGCAACTATCAGAAAGGTGAAATATAATAATCCTATTAATTGTTTTTATTAAATATCTGCTTATTTATTTCGATATCGACAGCTCACCGAATGGGTTTCTTGCTTGCTCAATTTATTTATTCTTTAGTTGCTCAACATTTTGCTCAGTGTTTTTATGAAACTTTTTTGGGCGTTAATTTTAATATTAAAAATTATTTATTTAAATAAATAGATATTAAGGTCACGTTAATCGTTTATTTCTAGACTGTCCCAAAATTTAACATTTCCGAAAGTTTCGTCTTTGAAAGTGATTGTGTAATTGTTGGAAGAAAATATTTCAAGACAAACGATGTTGTTTGGTTCAACTTCAACCATTGGCATGTCATCATATGAAGGTGAGTTAGTTGATGAAAAACTTTTGTATAAAACAATTAAGTCCTCTCCAATAATTTTCTCTTCCTCTGAATACGAAGCAAAAGTAGTTCCACTGCCAAGGTTATTATAAATTAAGAAAACATCATCACCATGAGAAACGCCAAGAAGGTATTCTGAAGGTACGTTAATTTTTACTTCATTGCTGCCAATAGCTACCAAATCTGGAGCTATACCTGAGTTAGTTATAGCACGAAAGTAATAGAAAAAGACTGATGCATATTTTGATTGATATTGAAGAGATTTAAATGCTCCATGGTGATAAAGTCGGTCGGTGATCATCTAAAAGATAAAATTCATCAATAATATTTCTCATGCTTTGATATTCATTCAACATTACATCACGAAGACTGTCATAACTGTCTTTTTCAATTACTTGATCCTTCATATAGAATTGGCGAATTTCTTCTGATATTTGAAGTTTTGTGTCATTTTCACAAATAGTTCCATTGAAGTCAAGTATAAATGGAGCCAACTCATTCCAATTGTCATTGATTTCTTTCAAATAGTGATCGTTGTAAAACTCTGCAGCAGGATATAAACCTTCATCTTGCGTTTGAGATAATATCCAAGGAATTTTCTTGAAACTTCCTTTCTTCAGAAGTGTTTCAGGATGTTCAATTAAAAAAGCTTCTCTGCTTTGTTTCTCAACAGTAACACCAAAAGGTGAAAAAGGATTGTACAAGAATGGTTGAAATTCTTTTGCAACTATCACCAAATCTTTAGCTGGCTTCTTTCTTAAGCATTCCAACATTTTCTGATGATTATCAAATGGACAATTTAAGATTTTCGCTACTTGATGTGCTTTTTCCTTTCCATTTTCCATCATCACCCACGGATTGAGAGCACAACTCGAATGTGAGATTCCATTGTTGAATAATCCTTCAGATAATGGTGACATGTAATGAAGATGAACACTCGCACCACCGGCTGAGAAGCCCACTATTGTAATTTTCGCTGGGTCACCATTGAATGCTTCAATGTTTCGTTGAACCCACTTCAGTGCTTCGACTTGATCTTTCATTCCAAAGTTACCTGAAATGACTTCATCTTCAGTAGTCATAAATCCCAGAGTTCCTAATCGATAATTTACAGTCACAAGTATCATATTTTGTGATCTCATGATGTTTTCAGGGCCATATGCATCACTGCCCCCAAACATGAATGCACCTCCATGAACGAAGAAAATGACTGGAACTTTCTCGTCTTTATCTAGAACCGTTTTTGGCACAAACACATTAAGTGATAAGCAATCTTCATCTCCATGATAAGAGTAACCTATTTGAGAATATTGTGCACACATTGAACCGAACTTTTTAAATTCTCTGACATCATCCCAAGTTTGAGTGAATCTTTTTGGTGGTGCAAATCTTAATTCACCGGTTGGACTCTCAGCATAAGGCAATCCAAGAAAAGCATAATAATTTTCCTTTTCTTCACCTACAATTTTTCCATTTTCAATGTTCACAACCTTTTCTTGTGCACAGCAAAATTCCAAATTGTAAATCACTGATAAAAGTGCAATAAACCCAAAAATGTTTCTCATATTTCTTGTCTTCTTGAAGTTTAGAAAATGACTGACTAAAATGAGAACATTTTTGAAATATAAATTTATAATGAACTTAAATAAAAAGATTAATAAATATTCGATAAGATAATTTTCGTTGGTTACATTTCATTTCATTTTAGTGTGTGATAGCTTAAGTATGTATGCAGATTAATCTCCATCTGTTATCAACCTTTATAGAAAAGAAACTCAAAACACTGACCTACAACAACCCTTACAATCTTTTATCAGCTGTTATCACAATAAATTGTTTGCCGGTAAGCATCAATGTGTTTTAATACTTCAGTTTCATTTCATCTCTCGATGAAGTCACTTCACTTCTACTCAAGTAAACATTTAAAATGAAAATGATTGAAATTAAATTAATTATAATGATCGTTTGTGCAATTACAATGATAAAGAAATTTCATCCAGCAATGCTCATTGAAAATAGAATTATAAAAATTGAAAGTGGTTTGATTATTGGTGAAGATAATGAAGGTTTTTATGCTTATCGTGGAATTCCTTACGCTGAAAGTCCAGAAGGAGATTTGAGGTTTGCATCTCCAAAAAGATTTTCACAGACTTGGGAAGGAATTCGACCTTTCAAGAATTATAGTCAAGTCTGTTCTCAGTATGATCATTTCACATACAGTTATGTTGGAATAGAAGATTGTTTGACACTCAATGTGTTTGTTCCAAAATCAGTTGTTCAATCTTATAGTAAATTTCCAGTCATTTTTTTCATTNCCAGGGTACAATCCTTCATCTTCGGTTTGTGACAATAGCCAAGGACGATTCAGAAACTTTTTATCCATAAGAAATTTAAGAGGTTGATCTGTTAAGAAAGCTGTTGGACTGTGTTTCTCAACGGTAACAGCGAAAGGTGAAAAAGGATTGTACAAGAATGGTTGAAATTCTTTTGCAACTATCACTAAATCTTTAGCTGGCTTCTTTCTTAAGCATTCCAACATTTTCTGATGATTATCAATGGGACAATTTAAGATTTTCGCTACTTGATGTGCTTTTTCCTTTCCATTCTCCATCATCACCCACGGATTGAGAGCACAACCCGAATGTGAGATTCCATTGTTGAATAATCCTTCAGATAATGGTGACATGTAATGAAGATGAACACTCGCACCACCAGCTGAATATCCGACAATTGTAACTTTCGTTGGATCACCATTGAATGCTTCAATGTTTCGTTGAACCCACTTCAGTGCTTCGACTTGATCTTTCATTCCAAAGTTACCAGGAATTACTTCATCTTCAGTAGTCATAAATCCCAGAGTTCCTAATCGATAATTTACAGTCACGAGTATCATATTTTGTGACCTCATGATGTTTTCAGGGCCATAAACATTGCTGCCCCCATACATGAATGCACCGCCATGAATGAAAAAAATGACTGGAAATTTACTATAAGATTGAACAACTGATTTTGGAACAAACACATTGAGTGTCAAACAATCTTCTATTCCATGATAAGAGTAACCTATTTGAGAATATTGTGCACACATTGAACCGAACTTTTTAAATTCTCTGACATCATCCCAAGTTTGAGTGAATCTTTTTGGTGGTGCAAATCTTAATTCACCGGTTGGACTCTCAGCATAAGGCAATCCAAGAAAAGCATAATAATTTTCCTTTTCTTCACCTACAATTTTTCCATTTTCAATGTTCACAACCTTTTCTTGTGCACAGCAAAATTCCAAATTGTAAATCACTGATAAAAGTGCAATAAACCCAAAAATGTTTCTCATATTTCTTGTCTTCTTGAAGTTTAGAAAATGACTGACTAAAATGAGAACATTTTTGAAATATAAATTTATAATGAACTTAAATAAAAAGATTAATAAATATTCGATAAGATAATTTTCGTTGGTTACATTTCATTTCATTTTAGTGTGTGATAGCTTAAGTATNTGAATGAAAAAAATGACTGGAAATTTACTATAAGATTGAACAACTGATTTTGGAACAAACACATTGAGTGTCAAACAATCTTCTATTCCAACATAACTGTATGTGAAATGATCATACTGAGAACAGACTTGACTATAATTCTTGAAAGGTCGAATTCCTTCCCAAGTCTGTGAAAATCTTTTTGGAGATGCAAACCTCAAATCTCCTTCTGGACTTTCAGCGTAAGGAATTCCACGATAAGCATAAAAACCTTCATTATCTTCACCAATAATCAAACCACTTTCAATTTTTATAATTCTATTTTCAATGAGCATTGCTGGATGAAATTTCTTTATCATTGTAATTGCACAAACGATCATTATAATTAATTTAATTTCAATCATTTTCATTTTAAATGTTTACTTGAGTAGAAGTGAAGTGACTTCATCGAGAGATGAAATGAAACTGAAGTATTAAAACACATTGATGCTTACCGGCAAACAATTTATTGTGATAACAGCTGATAAAAGATTGTAAGGGTTGTTGTAGGTCAGTGTTTTGAGTTTCTTTTCTATAAAGGTTGATAACAGTTGGAGATTAATCTGCCTACATACTTAAGCTATCACACACTACAATGAAATGAAATGTAACCAACGAAAATTATCTTATCGAATATTTATTAATCTTTTTATTTAAGTTCATTATAAATTTATATTTCAAAAATGTTCTCATTTTAGTCAGTCATTTTCTAAACTTCAAGAAGACAAGAAATATGAGAAACATTTTTGGGTTTATTGCACTTTTATCAGTGATTTACAATTTGGAATTTTGCTGTGCACAAGAAAAGGTTGTGAACATTGAAAATGGAAAAATTGTAGGTGAAGAAAAGGAAAATTATTATGCTTTTCTTGGATTGCCTTATGCTGAGAGTCCAACCGGTGAATTAAGATTTGCACCACCAAAAAGATTCACTCAAACTTGGGATGATGTCAGAGAATTTAAAAAGTTCGGTTCAATGTGTGCACAATATTCTCAAATAGGTTACTCTTATCATGGAGATGAAGATTGCTTATCACTTAATGTGTTTGTGCCAAAAACGGTTCTAGATAAAGACGAGAAAGTTCCAGTCATTTTCTTCGTTCATGGAGGTGCATTCATGTTTGGGGGCAGTGATGCATATGGCCCTGAAAACATCATGAGATCACAAAATATGATACTTGTGACTGTAAATTATCGATTAGGAACTCTGGGATTTATGACTACTGAAGATGAAGTCATTTCTGGTAACTTTGGAATGAAAGATCAAGTCGAAGCACTGAAGTGGGTTCAACGAAACATTGAAGCATTCAATGGTGATCCAACGAAAGTTACAATTGTCGGATATTCAGCTGGTGGTGCGAGTGTTCATCTTCATTATATGTCACCATTATCTGAAGGATTATTCAACAATGGAATCTCACATTCGGGTTGTGCTCTCAATCCGTGGGTGATGATGGAGAATGGAAAGGAAAAAGCACATCAAGTAGCGAAAATCTTAAATTGTCCCATTGATAATCATCAGAAAATGTTGGAATGCTTAAGAAAGAAGCCAGCTAAAGATTTGGTGATAGTTACAAAAGAATTTCAACCATTCTTGTACAATCCTTTTTCACCTTTCGCTGTTACCGTTGAGAAACACAGTCCAACAGCTTTCTTAACAGATCAACCTCTTAAATTTCTTATGGATAAAAAGTTTCTGAATCGTCCATGGCTATTGTCACAAACCGAAGATGAAGGATTGTACCCTGGTGCAGAATTTTATAACGAAAAATATTTGAAGACGATAAATGATAAATGGGATGATCTTGCACCTCATATTCTTGACTATAATTTCAGTACAACGAATGCGAATAGAAAAGTTCATGTCAGCAGGAAAATACGAAAGCATTATCTTGGCATTCATGAGATATCGAAAGAAACCTTCAATGCTTTTAGAGACGTAAGAATTTGATAAATAAATAATTAATTTATTGATTAAAATTTTAATATTCAGATGCTTAGCGATCGCTTTTTCAAATTTGATGCCTACAATGCTATTCAAATACATGCTCGTCATGCACCTGCTTATTTCTACTACTTCCGCTACAAAAGTCTAAGTGGTTTAGCAGAATTTTTGTCAAATTCTAAAGAAAATATCGGTGAATAGAACTTTTAATGTATTTTTAAATATTTTCTCATTGTAATTTTTTTTCTTTAAAAAAGGAGTTTCACATGGTGAAGACGTTCTTCTCATTTACGAACATAACTTGCGTGACATTCCATATTCTAATGAAGAACTTGAAATGGGAAATGAATTGATCAACATGTACTATGCGTTTGCAAAGGATAGTAAAGCTATCTTTGGAAAGAAAGAAATCGAACAAACGAAACCAAGCAAAGTTAAATGTATGGAAATCAAATCATCCTCTGATTATAAGAATATTGATGTGACTCAAGATTTTGGCCATTCCGTCTTTTGGGAGCATATTCAAGAAATACTTCATACAAAGGAAAGAACTTATTATGATGAATTGTAGGTGTTATTGATATCTTTTTCTTTCAATAACGAGGATCAATAATTTTTCTAGTTTCAAACAATAAACGGAAATTCAAATTAATAAAACTTAACGGTGACAAAAAATTTAAACATTTCAATATTTCTAAACACACTCGTATTGCTCAAAAAAAATATATTCGTCAGTTTCTATTTATTTGCTTTACATGTAACTTTATTTCTTTTTAATGACATCAGATAATTATATTGTGGGAACATGCGAGACTATGTGTCCTGTCTCAGAAGTCAATTTAAGAAAGAAAAACAACTTAGTACACTATTTCGAGAGAATAGAATTCGTGAAAGAATTTTCAAGATCAGCTGCTGATAAAAGACAATCAAAGGCGTCTGATTTAAGGACTTTTGGTGCATTGAAAAAGACTTTGGAGTATTTATTTAGCAGGTTAGTGTGCTGAATTCAGTTATTTCATATTTCGTTGCGACACATTTTTTATGAATGTAAGCTCGGATTTTATGAACAATAATTACGGAACAGTGGACAATAACACCTCCGATTGTCACGCCAATGCCAGCATATATTGCAGTTATGGGTTTTTTCTTCCAATCCAAAATTGGATAAATATAATTGTGTCCTCGTCTGTAAATAAATGAAATAATAATTCCACTGACACTTCATTGAATTATGTTCAAATCTCACCGATTTTTTCCGCCTAAGAAAGGATACAGCCAAGTAAAGAATAAGAAAATAAGTCCACAACATAGTGGATACACAAATAATCCCAGTCTTCCAATGTGTTTAACCCCAGCCATATCAATGATAAGTACTAAAGAGTTTGTTGCGTGAACAATAATGTTGTTCATATCAATTACGTTTAGTTCCGTCTTATATAATATATTCCAATAAATAAGCGACACTAAGAACGCATACACATTGCTGGTTGTTGACAGGAACCAGTATAATTTGAGATCCCTTGTCATTTTGTCACCGACTTTCAGTCGATCCGTTTGATGTAAAGTTACCAAATAAGCATGTAACAACATTGTAAGCATCGTAAAAATTAAATTCCAATGAGTAAGATAAATGAGGTAGAATGGCAGCTCAACTCGCATTGCTGACGTAATAATTGATGCAATAACTGAGAATGTGTAGAAGCCAGCAATAATCCACCGGTATATCAAATATACAACACTTTTCTCTTTTTTCTGCCATTGAGACTTGAGGAAATCGCCGGGTTCACTATGTTCGAAGCTCGTGTTGAAATTACAACCAATTTTCATTTTTAATCACTTATAAGTTTTCAAAATCTAAACAAACTTTATTTAAATTCCACTCGTTTCTTATTACTAGTGAATAAATGATTTTTTCAAGATCTTTTCGATGTGCTAAAGTCCAAAAATTCGATTCTTGCAGCTGTATGAAAGACTTTTTCCTTCTTCCCTACTAATGATTAATCATCACTAAACTGGTTTAAGAATTTTATTTTTTATTCTTTATTCGTACTATTTACGTGTTTATTTTTGCAACCCTCTTTACCATATGATAGTTTAAAGTTTTCTGATTCGTTGCAACGAGTATCGTGCGATGTTCGGTTTTTTTTTTTAATTATTCCGAGAATTTATTCGATGTAATTTAGGTTTAAGTTCTATTTTTTTATTCACGTGACGTCGCGTTTCCTTGGTTACAACATTTCCTACCGTGGAAAACACGCTAATGTACTTTTCTTCTATTGATTCACTTAAATAGCAGACTGATAGTCGTCGTGCTCACGAACTGACGGACTGATGACGAATGAATTTCTTTCCCAACAGAATTGTTATTTAAGTGAACATTTTCGCACATATTTTCAAATGTAGATAATCACTTGATCACTTCGCTTGAGTAAATTAATTTTCTGAAGCCCTGTTTAGATTTTTCAACATTTTCAAGCTTGCGCGCTTTTGATGAGTTTTCTGTACAATTTGACGGCGTGCCTTCAACCTCATTTATCTTTTTTCCTTCTTCTTTCCTTTTTCATTTTTCCTTCTAAAAATATTTATGCACGACCTTCTCAATACAATGGCATGAAAAAGAAGAACAATAAATAATGTTTGCTACCTTTCAAACGAACATTGCATGCTTTTATAATGATTTAACTTTTTATTTAAAATGTATAATCGGAAGTGCTTGGTCAGTAAACATCTTTTTGCTTTTTACAAAAATGTCAAATATTTTGACTCTTATCATGTGAATTATGCAAATAATTATGTGCATAATGCTAACACTTAAAACACTACCACATGCAACGAGTAGTGATTGTCTCGGTTTAGTTTTCCAATCGAGAACTGGATAAACAAAGTTCCTTCCCAGATGATCAACTCCACCAGCGAATGGATAAATCAATGTGAATAAAGCATAAAGCGTACAGCAAAACATTGGATAGATGATATGTGAAAAACGATAAGGATGTTGAATAATTAAAATATCAACAAGTAACACGAGAGAATTTGTAATGTGCATTAGAACGTTGTTTAAGTCATTTTCTTCATGTTCGTTTGATAATGCTGTCCAGTAAACGATGCTGATGACCATTGCAATAACAACTGAATTGTTATACAAAAACCAGTAGAATGCCAATTTTTTAACATTTCCTTTTTCCATTTTGCTGCGATTGTAATAATATCGAGTTGAAAGATAAGCGCCTAATGTTGTCGCTATAAATGTGCCCAACAAGTTCCATCTTGATAGGAAAATGAACATCACAATTGTCGTTTCATTCTTTCTAATTGATGAAATCACTGAATTGATGAACGAAAAAGCATAGAACATGGCAATGATCCATCGATACCAAACATAACTCTTTGATCTTTCACCATTTTGCCACTGAAAGTTAATTCCAAATTAATTCCATTAAATTTCCTTCAAAATTTATTTTTATTACTTGCGATGTAAGAAGTTTTAATGGCAATCTTTCACACTCGAAGTCTAATTTTAATTTTTCCCAAAACATGCTCAGAAGAGTAATGATCGTTGCGAATGTTGAAGATAAACTGAGGATACCAATTATATTAATCTTTTAGAAGGGTGGAGTAACATACGAGTAAGAATGAAGAAATTCCTTGAAGTTCTTTCAGATTTGTTTTGTTTTTCTTCATATTTTGACAGTTTCATTAATTTTTATGTTGTGATCAATTCTTATTGTTTATGACAATTTATGTTGAATCTTAACATTTACAACATAAAAGATAAGTACAACATTATCTTATACATTCTTAAAGTTACAACCCTGGCGTTAATTATTAATAATCGTAAACAAAAAAGAGTGAAAAAAAATAATTAATGAACTTTGTGAGAACATAATGAATGACGGAACAAAACAATGCGTAATCGCTCATAACTTATGACGTTCGGATCTTTGAATCTCTAGAAGAATTTCTCTATTGGTATTGTTGCTTCTTTTGTTTCAGATCTTCGATAACAAAGATCGAATTTGTATTCTTTCCATCATCTCTTAGAACAATAATGTTTATGCCATAGTTTTAACAAGCAATTGTTTATATCTTTTATAAGATTAAGTTTGGACAGTAAGAATTAGCTACGTCAAGAGTTTTTTCTTTAAAAAGCGATTCCGTTGGGATGCTGACTGACGACATTTAAACTCTTTTTTTTTCTTCGCAGAATTTTACACGAGACTGATAAACCGTTCAACTTTCGTTATGATTTCATTTTCAATCGATGTCGAGCTGTTCGACAAGAAATTGTTATTCAAAACATGTCATGTGAAAAGACTGTAAAGCTTCTTGAGCCGATTGCTTTGTTTTTAAGCTTTAGTCTTTATCGATTGACTGGTTCACCGATATCAGCTTTCGACTCAAGCATATGTGGCCAACATTTAAAAGAATGTTTATTAAAATGTCTGACATGTTATGAAGAAATGGATGAAATGGATCAAGATTACAATCAAGATAATCGGATAATCATCGAAGGAATCTATTTAATGCTCAACATAAACGATCCAAACTCACTTCATCGATTAATTCAACTAAACTCGACATTTAAATCATCACCAATCATTAAATTGTGCATTATAATTGCACTCAACTTTCATCAGAGAAATTACTACAAAATAATTCGTGATATTCAAAGACTTCCACACATAATTTGTGCAGTTGCAACATTAATCTTACCTCAGCTACGTAGAAATCTTCTTTACAACTTTTCGATCGCATACAGCAGCAACACATCAACAGTTCCACTTGATTTCCTACAACGCCTTCTAATCTACGACAACACTGAAATTCTAGTTCGCGACTTAATTGAACTTGACATTCAATCCAAAGCTGAAGAGAAGTTGACAGCAGTGAAATTCAATCGCAAGACATTCGATAAGAACAAAACGATTGTAAGTATTTAATGGAGTGGAAGAAAGATCAAATTGTAGATATTTCAAACCAATTGATTAATCTTTAATATTTTTAATGTCATTCTTTATTTTTTTAACAAAATTTTCTTATTTCATTTTCTTTTACAGTCTCACACATTGCATCAGTTCGTCGAGGTGAAGTTTCGTGATCTCAATCTGACAGACTTAATTCTATTAAAATAATTGTGAAGTTCAATTAAAAACCAAATATGAATGAATAAAAATTGTCCTCATTTTTACAAATGTAAATTCATATTTGTTAGTAAAAAATTCTGATTAATAAGCTTCATTAAATAAGTTAATTAAAACAATGACCTTCGTAAAGTTCATCTGATTTAGAAATAATTACATCCAAAGAACATCAATAAAATTATCATGAAGTTTGCACAAGGCAATTGTGAATTGTTTTTCTTCTTTCCATGAATATTTTCATGTAGATTTGGATCGTTCTCAGATATTCGATCTGAAGTGAACCAAACAATTCGATCACCAATCGGTTGAACAGGACGGAAGTTATGCGATAAAGAATTGCCCTCTAAATCTTCCAATTGTCTGAAGCTCTCAAGCTGAAATGATAATCAAAGAACTCATTGAAGTGTTAGCAGGTAAGTGCGAAATTTTGCAGATAAAAATAAATTTCCGCAACTTTTCAACTTCAAAGCAAAAAAAATACTACGAAAATAATTTTTTTTATTTCTCTTTTACGCCTGTGTCGCAGTTCGGTAGTTTTTCTTAATTAACACGTCGAATAAGCAAATTATTACTGCTCACAATATGTTTGAGACACCATACATGTCTACTAATTTATTTACATACAAACATGATGTGGACAGGTGGCAAAGTTGCTACTATAAAATATGAATGACTCATAAATGAAAATGTGTGAAAATTTTAAAGTTTTCTTTAAGATGTTTTAAGATTTTAAATACTTTTCAGTTCAGGGAAACCTTTGGAGTATTAAGAAGTTTATGAATCCCATCAATAAAAGTTTTCCTTTTAACTTTCATCAGCTTAATGAAAAATCCCTAAGTACAAAGTGGTAAACTTTTCCCCCAAAATCATTAAAAATTGATGGCAAACAATTTATGAAAGTGAATTGCTTTAGACGTTTCTTCCAAATTTCTTTAAAAGTGAGCGAAGAAAATCTTCTGGGAAGACTGATTCAAATTTCAAAGTTGATTGCCATTCGAGTCATCAAGGATTGAAAGTCTGATCTTTTCAACATACCTGGTCATGTGATATTTGAATTGGGTCGTAGAAATCAAGCCATGTGACAACTTCCAGACATGGCGGCGTTGTTAAACTTCCATTATAAACGTAATATTCATGAGTGTTTGCTGTCTGTATGAAGTCTTGAAGTGCAATTGGAGTAGTGAGATTTGCTTTAGTGTGAGGCTTTTGAATGGTGTTTAAAAGCAGTGAAAGTTCTTGATAAGCGGGATTTGGTTTTGATACTTCAAAAAAGAATGCCATGACCGCAAGTCCATCTGATTTAAGCATCGCTTCTTTAATGTTCTTATACTCTTGTTTAAAGAAAACTACATGCAACTCCATTGGGAAATACTTTCCATTGAACGAATCTAAGATAAGAATAAGACAAGAAAATAAGGAAATGTCACACAGAAAGAGAAATTTCATTTCCCTCTATGAAGTTTCACCTTCAGAACCGTAGCTGTCGTTGTCACCCCAATGATAATGCAACTGTGAAAATTGATAAGACGAACTTAATGGGCCGCCATCGATTGTTGGAATATTTTCTTCCGTGTCAATCGTGAAATAAACTGAAATAAATGTACATATGTATTCAGAAACAGATATAGAAACACTTTTATAGAATTTATTGAGCGTCACTAAATAAAATTCCCGAATGGTAAAAAGTTCACAACCACCCACAATAAAATATCATCAAATGATTGATGAAGGAAAATTAGTTCTTGACATAACTTTTCACTTTCATACATACCTGTGTGACCATTGTTCTCGATATGAGTTATATTTGGAATTTTATTAAAGTTGTGCAAGTTTAATGAAGGAAGCTTTACTTTTTTGACATGAAGAATGTCGATGTTTATTGGCGACTGATGCTTCCCTTTGCATGAACTGTACTCGGTACTCCAATCCTTTGGACCTTAAATATTGAAGTGGGTTCAAAGTAGATTGTTTCATATCGTTGAAAGATTAATCAACCATACATACCCATGATTCCATTGTAAGAGAAATCACGTCCATTACATATTTCAATGGTAACTAAATTTATGAATAATAAAGAATTAAATTTCATTTCTCATTTGTTAAAGCAAAGCCTGAATTTGAATTGTTCATATATCCTTTTCATTTTATAATTATTATTATACTTTACTTTGTGTGCAGATGATGAAAAAGAAAATTGAATATTTTATATGACGAATTAAGTAATTCTCCATTATGGTCTCCAACAATCATAGCAACTGATTCTGTGTTCGATGAATGATAAGTGTAAACACGAAATGTTGGAGATATCAATCATTTTGAATGTTTCACGAACTGTTTTAATTAGAAACTTCCATCTCAAATTACAATTTCTCTTGAAACATTCAAGGACAAGCAATGATGGACATTTGTTGTCTCCACTCTCACTCTTTAAAAACTTTTCTTTCGTTTCCTTTTTTTTTGATAGACGTCCAAGTAATTTTTATTTATTATTCACATCATGAAACCATTTATCTATCTGCTTTAACTTACATTTTCAAGAACATGAATCAATGTACACATAATAACCAATGAATAATGTAAAAATATTCTACAAATAGCTGAGATTTTCATATTGACTTTTATGACTAATCGTTTAACACGACAAAAAAATAAGCACGGAACGAGATTGTAATGAAAGAAAGCTTCAAATTCGTATGAAACGCTGTTGGAGTTCCTCGCCTAAATTTGTCATTACAAAATTCTTCTTCTTGTGCCTCAACAAAGCATTGAAAATATTGAATGAATTATTTTTTCATACACTCACGATTCAATTATATTAATAATCTCATGGGCTTTGTGTCTTTACCTGCGATTACCATTAGCAACATGTGAAGAAACCTTTTCATTCTGTTACTCAAATAGAATTCTTTTCACTGTAACTTCTAAAAATGGAAACCCCGCAAAAGTCTAAAAGGAAAATTGACGTTAACTTCATTCGTCTTAGTCAAGACAGCAAAAGCAACTGAACGACCGCGCGATTTTTCATAAAATTGAAGAAGACACAATCGTGTACTTTACGAGGTTTTTTTCCTCTACAACATCAAAACGACACTAAATGTGTATCCATCAACGCGATATTTGCATAAACACGAAATGTGATTTTAAAAGCGCGTGAAGCAAAGTGCACATCGTGTGGTTTAATGTCGACTAAACTTCGTTCGTTGCATTTACAAAATCAATTCAGGGAAGTATGTGTTGGCTTACACAGGAATTCATCAGATAAATCGAGACATACTCAATGATTGATGCACGCTATTCAACCTTCATAGAATTTTCATTTTACTTTCTTTAATACGACTTTTTTCATGCCTTTTCTTTATTCCTTTTCGCCAGAAGAATAATGACCACAATGATAAAAGGAAACGCTAGAAAAATAAGATGGAAAAACTTTGAAACTCTGACTTGGGGGCAAGTTGAAAAATTTTGAGTTTTATCCTTTCAAATTAGATAACGAAGAACACTTCGATGCTTCCTGTGAATTATTTTTTGTTTATTTTACGATTCCAAAGTTGCAGAAAACATTTCATGGAAAGAAAGAAAGTATTCGATTAGCACAACATGAGTTTAAATTACTCACGTAATATTAATAAGGTTTAGCTTATCAGAACTTGATCAAAACTTACTGCCATAAACATTTATCGCTCATAGAAATGTTCAGTCTTCATCGAAGTTCATCGGAATACCTGCAATGTTAATCAAGGTCAACATTGTTTATTTAACACAGAAACTTTTAATAGATTTTGGTTGCAACTTTAACAAGTTTTCTATCTTTCAGTATTTATTTATTTTTATTCTTGTTGCTTTTCAAAGAGTTTCTTAGAAACACTTAAATGGAAATTTGATTTTTAAGTCAAATCAACAAACCCTCGATTGTAATATAGAAGATAACAAACCCAAATTTCAAAAGAAATTAATTTAAATACATTAACAAACATGAGACAAGAAGAAATGTAAACTTTTCAGATGATTTGATTTCTTATGAAGAAAAATCTTCTCAGCTTTTCTCTTCATTTCTCTCTCGGGAAATTTTCTTTCGGAGAGAAAATCTGTAAAGTTGGTTTCAGCTTCTGTGGGTGATATAAAGCGACTTTTGATCGTCGAATGCAACAGTTACGTCGTGACTTCAGGTTGTTAAGGACCTTCAGGGTAAATGGAGCTTCTTAATTTAAGTGATTTTCTCATAAAGCTTTAGTGATAACTTTAAACAGATAACTGATGTAACTTGGTGATTTATCATAAATAAGTATAAAGCAGGGAAATTGAGTGAAGTTAACAATTTTCCTTTTAAATTGTACAAATTTATAAATAAAAATAGGAAAAAAGGATAAAAATTGTCATTATTTGACGTCTGATTGGAAATACTCGACATAAATCATTGAAGCACGGATTATTCAATGAATAATGTTAGACTTTAAAAAGGATAAAAGAATGAAAATTAAAAGGAAATGAATGAAGAAAAGAATTAAATTAATTATTAACTTCCGCAGTGGACATAATGGAATTAATTTTGAGACCTTTTTGTATAATAAATATTTATCTGTAACTTGATGATAAAAGTGATGCTGATGTACTGTCATGATTAAATCTTATTTAGCATAATTCAGCGTTTATGTATGTGAATTTCAGAATATAAAAAATCATTTGAAGAGAATTTTTATGATGAATTCGTGGTCCAACAAACATGTCATAAAGTGAACATCATCTTGTATGATAAAATCTCCCTTTAAGTTATAAGGATATAAAGTTGAGGCATCAAAATGAGCTTTTTGATATTAAAAATAACTCTCACAGGATGTTTCGTCTTTGTTAATATGGTTTTTGCATCGGATTTGGCTTTTATTGAAAGTATTTCAAGGATGAATTCATACGACCCTTCAATATTTACCGATTTAAAGATGGAAAATCAGACTGAAAATTTCTCAATGGAGAATGGTAAACAAATGCATCTCAGTGGAATAAGACGAGAGTTTTTCTATGATTTTTTTATCCTCACTTACTTATTCAGAAACAACAAATCCGTATCCTGAAAATCGCATGAGTGATTCTAATGGTTTGATTCCAGTAATAAGTTATTACATAGCCCCAGAGATTACAACAAAGAAATCATTTCCATGTCGAACAGTTTCAAAGTAAGCATATTCGAAGAATCATTTATAAATATTTCAAGATCTGACTAATTTTTTTTTTCAATTCAATTCAGTTCGTTAACATATATCATTAAAAATGTTTTCAAGATTTTTCCATTTTTTATTTATTTTTCTGTTATCATCTTAGAAAGCTCATTCGATTTCCAGCACTCGAATATTTTAATGAGAATATTTCAGAGCAATTTCTCAATAAAATAAATCAACATTGGCTTAATTCCCCACCACAGCCCCCAAGCTCTCATTACATTTTAGCTACGATTTATGGAGCTATGATACTTTTTGGCATAACTGGTAATGCTTTGGTGATATTTCTCTTCGTAAGGTAAGTGATGGAAATTGTAGAAGAAAAAGAAAACTTAAGGAAAAACCTTTTTCCATAAGCCTTTGTTTCAATCATTCATTCTTTATATCTCATTTTCATATTCGTCATATTGACAGAAGCCCAAGCGTAAGAACGCCACCAAATACTTTGATATTAAATTTAGCAATCAGTGACTTCATTATCATGCTGGAAGCTCCCATCATCATTTACAATTCCTTCCATTTTGGTCCTGCTGGTGGAGAGTTAGGCAAGTAGAAATATTAATTGATAAAAGTATTTTCTAGGAATTTATTCATTTGTTTGTTCAACAGCTTGTAAAATTAATGGTTTGTTAGGAGCAGTCGGTGGAACGGTAAATTCTACTTATGAAATTTTAAACTTTTCATATTTAAATGGCCTTTTTTCTCACATTCATTCATAGGTTGCCATCATGACAATATGTGTAATTAGTATAGACAGATACAATGTCATTGTATACCCATTGAACTCATCTCGTTTTGCAACAAATAATCGATCTCGAATAATGATTCTTGTCGTGTGGGTGTATTCATTACCCTTTGCAGGTAGAAATCAAAACATTTAAATTCAAAATCAACACTGTGAGAGCTTTTTTAACATTCCCAGCTTTTCCTTTCTTCGAAATTGGAGGTGTAAAAGGTTACGTCCCAGAAGGGTTCCTAACTGCTTGTAGTTTTGATTATCTCGACAAGTCATCGATAAATTTTTGGTTTATTTTCATTTACGCTTCGGTAAGAATGATCGAATTCAACTTTAATTCTCTTCTTACAACCTTAATACTTCCATTTATTCATGTTAGGCTGCTTATTTCGTTCCATTAACAATAATAAGCTATTGCTACCTACATATATTGTTGGTGGTCGTAGCAGAAAAAAAGATTCAATCAAATCAAAAGAAACATAAAGTAGAAATGAAGCTCGCCGCTATCGTCATGGGAATTATTGGATTGGTAAGTAACGAGAATAATAAATTAAAATAACTAATTAATTTAATGAATATGCAAATAACTTTTACCTTCAATTAGTGGTTCATGGCATGGACACCATATTGCATTGTTGCCCTAATAGGACTTTTTGGAAACCAAGAAACACTTAGTCCACTTGCAAGCATGATTCCAGCTATTTTAGCAAAGACTGCCGCTTGTGTTGATCCTTATTTTTATGCTGTAACTCACCCCAGATTTCGCAGTGAATTAGAAAGAATTTTCTGTTCATCGCGTTATAAATTGAGAAGAAATAATCAAAATTCTTTCAACAATCGGGACGCGTCGAGGCGACATAATAAGATTGGAAGTGACTTTGAAACCATTGAAATTGGATCTCTAAACAAGGAACAAAAACGTGGACATTATCAAAGAAATGACAGTTCATCGTTTGATGAGATGTCACTTTACGATGTATCCAAGACGAGGTATTAAGTTAAGGAAATCTGATTTCTCCCACTCAGCTGAGATGTAATTCGAAATGGTTTCAAACGACTTTTCAATGAGAGGAAGGCTATGCTTTTTTTGAATCAACGTGTAAAATCTATTTTTGTAAGACCATTAAAAGATTTAAGTAAACTTTATTCTCACCCAGTCATTGGCATTGAATTGAATAAAAAATGTAATAACTGTTGATCTGTTCAGAAATAAAATGAAATGTAAAAGTAATATAAATATCGCGTTTTAGAATTCTTCAAATAAAATATAACAAATGACAATTTTATTAGCTATGCGAGATTTAAAAGAAATTTATCAAAAGCAAAGAATTATTGTCGACAATTTTGTTGTTTTACTTGTAAGAAAAGAAAGCTTAAAGCATGCGATGGATAAGACACGAAGCTTTCCTTCTTCCTAAGCTTCTTCTTCACCCATATGTACAATTAGGAGAGTCTGTGAGAGAATCGAGAAGTAGAAGAAGAGAAAGGAAATGAGCAGAGCAAGAAAATGAGATTCAATCTCATACATCTGTGTTCAGTTGATTTTCCCGACGCGACACATCAAGAAATAAAAAAGTCTGCTTCACGCAATATTAAGTGCATCATGTTTTGTGTCTGAGTGCAAAAATAAACTTTTGGCTTTTCATTGCTTGCAATAAAATTTAAAGAAAATTGAAAATTTGTTCATGTAATGATAGTTTGGTACTTTTCATAAGTAATCTGACTTGATTGTCAGGAAGTTTGCACCTTTTCAGCTTTCATTATGTCTGTATCAACATCAAGCACAACTCCCAATGTCTGGAGGGTTCCAATTTTGTGAATATGAAGATAGAATTGTAAGTTATGTGAATGTCGATTAATGATTTTCCGCCTTTTATTGATAAAACAAAATTTGGTCTCGATTTTCAATGCCGATAGAAAGAAAAGTTAAATCAAGTGATTTCCAAGTGGAAAATGTATCAGTTTTAAGTGTTTTCAACAAGTAAATTAAGAGTACCATCGAGATATTGATTGTTACATAAGTAATTTGTGTGAATACACATTCTACGCAATGTTTTTTTGTATTGAAATATTATCGACATTTCATCTCACCATCTGGTGTAAGAATATGATAAAATTGGAAAAAGTTTTCCTGTTCATTAACTGAACAAGTTTTAGGAAGTTTTCACTAATATGTTTGCTTTCTCGGCAGTGATTAAAAGTTACTTAAGTTATTACTAAAGGATCATTTACTTTCAAAGAATTTTCATTATCTTCGAAAGGCTCAATATAAATAATCATAAGAAAAATTATCTTGTTTAAGTGCGCATGTTTGCCGAGAGAAACAATAATAAATGTTTGGGAAAGGGAAACATAGATAAATAAATAGAGAACTTCTAAGCAATGTCATGGTGAACATTCATGGATCAAAAGCAAAGCATATCTAAGTTGACTTAAGACGATAGATTGACATAAAAATAAATTAAATGTTCACAAACTTTCACTAATTCTCACTTTGAAAGCTAACCATTAAATCGCACAAATGTTGAAATTTATTTTTAGAAAACTTAATTTCACTAATAACAAATATCTGTTGCATGTGTAGCAAACCAATTTGCAAATATTAATGCAATGGAAGAGAAGTTTCGTACATAATTTTCATTCCAATTATAACTTGAACACAAGTTTGATGATTGCGGTTGGATATTTAATGAACGCACACACAAAAAGTAACCTCTGATAATAAACAATAAAAGAAAAATTTAATCTTTTGTTTATAAGTTTTTCCTTACTTCACAAAACCGATCAGTCAAACAATTCATCGAAGAATTTCTTTTTATGTTGCCTGAAACTAACTCAAAAGTTTGAAGTTTTTCTTTGTTTATTTAAAGAGTTGTTTAAAAAATTCTTCTTTTGTTTTAATAAATCGCTGGATAGGAACTGTGGTTACTGTCGTAACTATTAGTTATCGCCAAACGTACTGAAATTAAATTGATATTTAAATATTCATAAATACTTGACAGTGTCCTTGATTTATAATTATTATCATCTTAGTTGATTAATTAAAAATTAATTAATTTCATAATTTGAAATAAATTCCAACAGGTTCCCGGAAATTGTTCTCGCTGAAATATTTTTTGTGTTTCATTTGCTTCGTAAAGCTTTTTAATAATTCTGAATGAACAGGAAAGTCGAAAAAAGCACAAGGCAATTAAAAGGATTCCTTTGAAGACTTAGCTGTTCTCTTCGCAACAGTAATAATTTTATTTCCCACAAAAATGAAGCTTCACGTGGATACAAAATGTGAGAATCTTCTCTGTTGTTGGGTAATTTGATTAACAACTAAAATTTTCTTTCTTTTTGTCTTTTTTCTTTCATTTCCATTACACGCAGCAGCGTTTCGATTAAAGTTTTCCTCTGTAATTCCCGCAATCGTAGGATTTTTATTTCCCACACTTCTTCCCATTGCACACATCGTCGTTTTATGGTATTTTTGGCAGGCTTACGCTCGATTTGTGGATAAAAGATTCTGTTCATGTTCATGTTGGGACACAGTTTTTAAAGCAACCTATGAATCCGGAATAGCGTCTTACAAGAATTTCTACTTTAATGCGACACTCAACACACTCAAAATTTGGCTATTTATTGTAATTGGAATCATATCACTCTATGAATCGATGAAATATCTTGCGAAACTCATCATATCCAAGCAGTTACGTTATTCAATGGCATTTTTGTTTTGTCTATCAATATTCTCACACTACTATGCATGGTGGGCCTATCTGAACTATCTCAACGACGACTTCTATTTGCAGTGGTATCATCAAACCTTTTTCACTGTATGTTTTAGACAATGAATTCGCTTTTATTGATTGTTGTTGTTGTAGCTTTTGTTTTCTTTTTAACAACACATCAAAATTAATAAAGTACCGATTCTCTTTACAGTTGACTGAACTTTTTTCCACAACATTTGTTCTCCATCTTGCCAATAAAGAAAATTACGTCACTTCCAGAAAAGTGTTGTGCATTGTGGGTGTTGCTTTACTTCATATCATTGCAGGGAGTGTTGACCAATTTATACAAAATGTTTTCCTCGGTGAAGGATATTTGCACCAGATCGTGAGAGACGTTGGATTCATGATTCCCGACATTATTCATCTGGTTGTTCCACTGGTTGTTTTAAGAAGGGAAACATTAATTAACAAACCATTACATCGAGATAAAACTATCAGAAGAGACATCTTATGCATGTTTGGATTCGTTGGAATCTTGTTTTTCATTGTTTCCCTTCTGTAAATATAATACTGAAGTTCAAAAGTTTTCCAGTACAAGCCAATGTTGTTATTTGTTTGTCAACATTAACATTTAATTTGAGTCATCTTCAAAGTCTCGTGAGTCTACACAACTTATCAAACAAGAAACATAAACAAATATTTAATAAAAGCAAGTCAATCGGAAAACAGATTTTAAAGCGAAACATGATAAATAAATAAAAAGTTGAAAGATGTGAAACGCCATTCATAAGGAAAAGTTTTAATACCACGTTCAACATCAACTGTATGAATAATTAATTATTGCGTTGAGACTTCATTAGTTCCATAAACAATGTTTTAGGTCATATCGTAGAAGACAATAAAGTGTAGAGAAAGAAGTTCAATAATAAATGTTACGATAAACTTTCTAGATCGTCTAGATTCTTTCAATGGAACTTAAAATAAACAAATTTGATGTAGGAATCAAAATAAACGAATTGACACATGAACATGATTATTTTCAAGAATGTATAAAACGAAAGTATTTTTGAGACTTCCCACCGCATTTCGCAAAAGTTAAATGTTAATTTACAAGAACTTTTATAGAAGCAAAACAAGATTTTGTAAGTGACATAAACGAAATGGAAAATTTCAGAAATAGACGCTCATATCAAAAATAAAATTTTCAATGTTAAGTTGTCAGAAATAAAAGTAAAACATGCAATTTAAAATAAATATAAAACTTTGTTAACGACACTAAACATTAATTAACTTCATGTTCAACTTAATCAAAGTTTTTAAACACCAGATAAATGAATATTCGTATACATATGACTTACTTTGTTTAACAGACGACTGATGAGAAGAAGCAGAATGGAACTATTGTTGGACAATTAAGAAAATTTTTGTAAAATGAAATTTCACCTTTTAAAAGAAAGGAAGAAGAGAAGAATAAAATTTGAGATCATTGAAATTACGAACTTTTGTTTTTCTTGTTATGATTAAATTGCTGATTCCGACCTTCGACTTTTCGATGATATTATTGTTTAGAAGATACTCAGGAATTCGAAAAGTGCTGAAAATATAATTAGCTATTTCTATTTTCTTGAAATTTATAAAGAACTCAAAGAGTAAGTAAACTTTGTCTATTTTCTTTTATTAAAATTTTTCTTAACTTCTACTTTTACACAATTTTTGCAATTCTTCTTCGTAAGTTTTATATTTTTGCCTTTTGTTTTTCTTATCAATTTTATTTCTAATCTAATTGTGTTTCATTTCTCTTCTTCTTTATCTGGCTATCAAATTTTTAATGCCTTTTAAAGAAGTGACTTTAAATAATTAAAGGTTTCAGATTCTTTCAAAGATTTTTCTGTTGTGCTGAGAAATGCGCGCTTAAAATTTGTGATTCTTTTTTTTTTGAAAAAATATCATAGCTATGAAGATTTTTTCTCTTTTTTGTCAAACCCATCTTAAAATTTTAATCCATTCTTAAGGCACTCAAAAAGAGTCCATACATTCATCAAGCTTCGGGCTTTCGTTCTCTTGTCATTTAAGAAATTTACTGAAAACATTAAATTGAAATATGCGAAAATATCAAAATATCGTTCGATTAAAAGAACACATTCTTCATGAAAAAAATATTCCTAAATCTTATTTCTTCTTAACATAACCAGATCCTTAAAACAACTAAGATTCTCATAGACAATAATCCATTTAAAAAAATGTTAAAAAAGAAACTACAAGCTAATGAATTAATTTAAAGTAAAATGAGAGCAGATACACTTAAAATTTTATGTCAATGATCATAAAACTCACATCTAATATTAAAATAAAAAAAACGAAGAAAATTAATGGACGGTAAAAAAATTAAAACGAAGTTTCGTAAACGTCGAGTTTGGTGCGTTTTAAGTGCGTTCATTATGAAATCAAATCAAATGATAAAAAAGCCAAGTTTTTACAAATACTTAGTCGTTGAAGTGTTGTCATTACTGATTTACTTATAAATAAAGCAATTAATAAACTTTTTTGTATCGCATTTTGAGAGATTCATTAATTATTAGTACGATATCAATTCTGATAAAAGTTCCTTCTTCTTAATCTTCCTTTTGTAAGAAATTCTCGGGGCCATCTGGTCGGAAGATATTTATAAACGATGAAATCAATTCATTAATTAATTACAACGAAGATGACCGAAATCTCTTCATTCTTATCCCTATGACTTGTCGAATGACCTTCTTCTTCGTCTCATCATTATCAACACATCCTTTGATCATATGACAAAAAGTTAATAAATTTAATGTTACAATATATAATCAAGTCATGATGACAATGAAAAGATGGAGAAGAAAACGAGACACGTGAAGTTACAAAAAGATTTTAAAGGAAAATAGAAAAAAATTTGTTGGCAACAAATGCGGAAGGGAAGATAGATAATCAAATATTTGAACAGATCTTAAATGAACCATTCCTTTTTCTTGGAAACATGATGACCTGTAGTTGAATGAACGACAGCATCGTCAGGATCCATTGCATCATCAGCTCCTTTGTCTTCTTGCGTCAGATATTCGCCTTTATGTCTTGATTGATGTCGATAAATTAAAATCGCCATCAGGATTAGAAGTAAGAGAATAATTAACAAAATACCTGTGAAAAAAAATATTAGTAAAATTATTTGATTTTAAATATTTTCAATCATTTCATACTTGACAACAATCCAGCACTAACGCTATCGTAAGACCTTAATCTGTCTTCATCAACAATAGGTGGTGGTCTTGTTTCACGGTCAATTGGTGGTAATGTCACCGGTTCAACACCACAAAAGTCATCATTTAATGTAGCTAAGAATAAGAAAAGGAAGTTTAAATTAATATCTAATTGTTATAATAAAGCTTTAAAGCACTTTAATCCGAACCGAACAAGCTCTAAATTTAAAGCGAATTTACGTCCCCTCGAAAGCTTTTTTAAAATTTTCATAAAAGCTTTCAAATTGAAATAAAATTTAAATTAACTTACATGGACCAAGAGATTTCACATTTGGTGGTGGATTCTGTTGGAATAAAAGCTTCAATGGGAAGATGTCATCAAATTCGACGCGTGAAACCCATCCAATGAAGCCATCTGTCATACTCTCGTTCTTTCCAATGTACATGTACTGGATGTTATTAAATTGAGCATCAGCTGAGTCTTTGATATCAAAATGATATTCTCTCGGTGCATAATTGTCAACTTGAAGAACAACAGTCGACCCCGAATCTTTTCTCGAGAATCTCACATCATGAAATTGCCCAAGACCGAAATGAACGCCAGGGAATGACAATTCTTGTCGTTCAAATCCAAAGTCAAAGACAACTTTCAAGGCACCAGAATTTGAAACAAGAATGGTGAGATACTCGCCAGTAATGTTTGAATTGAAGCCAAGAAGGAAACCTTTTTGATTTGTTGTCGTGAAACCAACGCGAATATTTTCTGAAATTGTCGATCGCCATGATCCAAGAAAATCGTATTTGATGATTGAATCTGAGCGCAAATTTACGCCAATTTCTGGAAAATATTTATGAAAGATTAAATGAAATTTAATTAACTTCATCAAAAAAATTACCATCAGCACAAATCGGTCCTTTGAATGCACTCCAACGACAATCACATGAGAATCCATCATACTTCTCGAAACATGTTCCGTTATTTAGACATGGATTTGATTCACATCTTCCATTACAGCCAGGCGAGACACCGTAAAGTTTCTTCTCTGCATACGACTTAAGATCAACAAGAACGCCGTTAAGAAGTAAAGCTCGAATGCAACCAACAAATCCATCTTGGTAATCAAGTGTGGCACCAATCGCCAACTCTGATGTGAGATATAAAGCACGAACTGGACCTGGTGGTTCTCTAACTTCACTCTTTGTTGCACCATCGACCACAAGTCTCGCTTCTTTTCTGTTTCTCTCAACACTCACTGAATGCCATTGGTTGTTATTCAAAGGATAACTCGTCTCAACATCGACAGCAAGTTGTCCCGAGCCAGCTTGATATTGGAACTTCAATTTATTTCCATTTATAATGGACAAGAGAATGTAATCTGTCGCTCCTTTCGAGTGGAAAAGAACCGCGTTCTCTTGCGTTGTCTTGAATTCCATGTAAATGTCGCCGGAATGTCCCATGTCAAAGCGAGGAACGTTAATTGTTGCATCGACAATTCTAAACGTCACAACATTGTTGAACAGATCGTCGCCTTCACAAATCAATGGCCCCAAAGTATATTTCGCTTCCTTCTCATCAAGCGCCGTTCCCGTGTCACCAAATCTCAACCCACGAACTGGCAAATAATCTTTTTCTTTAATCTCACCGCCATCTTCTTGCCAATCGTACATATTCGCATCACAATTGCACCATTTCGTTGGATCAATGCAATTTCCAATAATTCCACATTGACATTTACGTGATCCAGGAAGCGCTCCAGCCCAATAATCCATCACTTGATTTTGTCTTGACAACCACCATCCGAATGGACGGAAGCTTAGTTCATCAGCTAAATTATGAAAGAGAAAATTTTAATTGAATTTCTTATAAGAAAGAAGAAGAAAGAAACTTACATGGTGAATTAAATAAACGAGCAGATCGACAACTGTAACTCAATCTTTGTGAGCACTCATGCGATCGATTAAGAAGCGCTTCAATTTGTGGCATCTTCGCGTTGTATTCAATAGTTTGATCATAAGAACCCGGTTCTTGGAAGCTATCAACGACTGTCGAATGTTCCGATGAATGTCCAAGCACAGTCAAAACACGTCCATCAGATAAGAACTCGCATGTCACTTCAAATGGATCTAACGGGCCAGAACCATCAACATCAATCTTGATATTAACATTTTGATTCGCTGATTGAATGTTATGGAAAGCTTGACAGGAGAGTGGATTGAGTGCTGGAAATAAAATCGAATTAAAATTCACTGAAAGGTGTCAAAGCACGGAAATGACTTGAAGTTTAAATAGAAAGAAAAAAAAGGCCCAAAGGACGAAAGTTTCAACAGGATATCATTAAAATAGTTTCACATGTTAGACAGCAATTTAATTCTGATGAGAAAAGTTTTTTAGATCAGAATATAATTTTTCTTCATGTTATGAAATTCCTTTTCATATTTTTAACACTTTTGTGATAAAAGTGACGTCAGAGTTTCTAAAATTAGAACTTACATGTATGACAAACAGCACCAGAATATCCGCTGTCGCCACATTCACAAAAGAATTCCATGGAATTTTGTCGGCAAACGCCATGATGTTTGCATGGATTTGGATTACATCGATCGACCATGTGACAAGCGTCCATGAGAATTTCCCCTTGGCAACAGTAATCGTCGCTCTTCCAATCGTGAGGTAATTTGAAGTTTCCATCAACAGAGATTTGTCTCATGCAGCCAATGAAGCCATCACGGTTATTGATGATGTTGTAAGTTTCCTTTGTTATCGCTCCACCGATGTAGTACCACGCGCCAGTGATGATGCTAAATAACTTCTCAGTTCTCATCGGCCTCTGATCAATCTCAAGCACCAAGCTGTTCGGTCTGATGGTTAGAATCAGTGTGTGCCATCGTCCGTCATTAAACTGTTCGTCGTAGTTGTCAAGAACAATTCCACGACGATGATCTCCACTGCTGTGAAATTCTTTTTCATCGGTTTTAATTTCAGTCTTCACTCGCCCATTCTCAAGAAAGACTTTCACGTAACCTTTCGATGAGAACTCGTGGTAAATCATCAAACCGTGGTCTTCGTAAGTTCTGAAGGCGAGAGAGACGTTCATCGTCTTCACACCTTCGTAGCCTTTCAACTTCGCGTAAGATGTTCGTGTCAGGAACGTCACTGGCATTATTGGCGGCTCGGGACAACTGTATAATGTGTTGATCTTTTCAAATCGACTGTACTGCCCTTCCTTGTACGCTTCTTTAACTTCCCGAATGAAGTTTGTCGTGTTCAAGTAAAGATTCTCAATACATCCAGTAAAGTTTTGCGTCACAACCAAACCATCTTCACGATTCGGAACTCCACCAATGTAAAGCATTCGATTAAGGTCAAGTTTATCGAAATCGCCTTTGATTTTCCCATCAATAACGACACGATCGACTGAGAAGAGAATGTCTCGACGATTTCTTGAGATGACGACGTCATGCCAGACATTGTCATCAAGTAAACTTCCAACAGAGAAAGATGTCATCACTGAAGCACCTGAGATGATTAATTAACGATGATTAGAATTATGAAACCATCAACAAAATGAAAACTCACCCAATTTCAAATTCAAAATCATTTTATTCTCATAAAGTTGAAGTGCAAAGAAGTCGCCTTGTGTGCCTTTTGAAAACATTAAAATGCCATTTGCATGTGATGTCTTGAAACGAAATTGAATTGTTTCCCTTGAAGCTGAAATTGGATCTCGAAGGAGATCAAAACTGACAAGACTTGTACCGTTGAATGCTAAAACTTCAGCAAAATAATCACATCCATAGAGTTCGACACGAAGTGAGATTCGATCCTTCCATCTTGTTGGATTCACTCGAATCCATTGAGCAATGATGGGAACATCAAAAACGTTATGCTTAACATGATCGCCGTCTTCATTACCTTTGAAAAGCTGTTGAAAAGAAATTTTCATTAGAAAAAGTTTGAATAAATTCCACAAATTTTGTTAGTTAATTAGTCATGGTGAGTTAGTTAAATGACCTGAGTTTCAGTATGAATATCAGCAACTGATCGCCACAATTCACCATCATCAGAATATTGTAGAATAAATTCTGTGACACATTCTTTTGTGTTTCCACGACCCAGCGTTGCAATTCTTTTCACTTTCTTTCTTTCACCCAAATCGAATGTTAGGAAATTATTGTAATTATTTTCGATAGGTGTCCAAGCTGAATGACCTGTTTGTTAGTTAAAGTGAATGAAATGATGAAAGAAGAGTAAAAGTTTAGTTCATTAAAGAAGTTAAGTAAGTTGTAAAGTTGAGGAGATTAAAATAAGCAAGAAAGAAATAATAACAAACTAAAACTACTCAAATCACAATCATTAACATGCATTTCAACAGCTTAGAATTAAAGCGAATGAAATTGTGTTGAATCAACAGACACGCGTGCAAACATCAAACAAAAAGTTTGAGTAAGTTGAGAGTTTGTTAATTAATTCAACGTCACGAAGTTTTATTTCGTTTTGATTATTTATTAGGTTAGTTTAGTTAAGTTTTCTTTTCTTCCATTTCCATTGTTGTAGTTTTTCTTTTACCTTTACGTTTCCGCCCGGCTCTTTGTAGTCGGCATAGTCGAGACCGTTGTATCCATAACTGATACTGAACTCCGACACATATTCGCTACGATGCGGACGTCCCTGAATGGCAATTCTCGTAATATTTCTCACAATACCCAAATCAATTATCAAATATTGTTGAAAGTCCGAGATTTTTGATGTCCATGCATTTCCATCTTTCATCACAATTTAAAAGTTTTAATATCAATAAATTTGCATTAAAGCACAGATGCACGATGCACATTGCATGTTGACTAACTTTATGCATTTTTATTTGTTTTATTCATTGAAGCATGTCATAGATAGACATAAAATAGAAAATAACCATCGACGATTGTGTGAGAAACCTTCGGCGATAAATTCACTTTCAATCTCACCCCTCATTATTTTTGCGGTAAATGGCAATTCAACATAGAAGGGTAGCTTTTGATATTTACTTTAATGTTATGTGGAAAGCAACCAAGCGACCATGTCACTATTAAACTGTTCATGCTATAAAATGTTTGATAATTTGATCGATATTTTGCAACTGTTCGGGGTGAGATTTGGGTTTGACATTCAGAACTTTAGGCAAATACTTTCTCGTCGAGTGCATTGTTTACTTTATTTATTTTGATAGTTGTTTAAAGATCAATCAAGATTTTTCTCCCGCTTGTTTAACATTAAATTACGAGATTGTATCTGAAGACCCTCAACTGTTCATTTACTGCCTCGACAACCTTTCTTCCCTTTTCATATCATTTTGACTTGTGCAGCCTTGAAATTGATAACTGACAGTTTGAACAATTATTGCAATGTCCGCTGTTCAACATTATTATGTTCATGAACTCAACTACAGAACAATTGTTGAATTTTCTTCACTTTCATGCGACGATTGAGTTTCGTGACAAGAAGATTTTAATCAGATTGCGAACAGAAGTTAACAGGAAAGGAAAAGCAAAGCTACAAAAGGAAAACATAACAAAAAAACTAAGCAAAAACATCTTTTATTTCTCTTTATATTAAAATCATCAAAATAACTTATCAAATATCCGCCTACAAAACAAAAAATGAAGAAGTCTGAAGTTGACAAATCGTGAAACGCTCGCTGAAGTATGAAATCGTTTAAATTATAAATCAAAATCAAAGAAGGAAAAAAGGAATTTATCAGTCGGTGAAGGCAGGATTTTTGTGGTGCTAGTCACCGAACCCCCAAGAAATATTAAACTCTTCGTGACTTTATCGTATTATATGCTAATGTTCAACCAACCGTTGCTGCGCTTGAGACTTAATAAATTCTTATTTATTGGAAATGTTGATCAAAAAACCCGGAAAAGAATTCCACCTTAATGCAATAAATTTTCTTTTCAATAAATTTTATGTTTTCGTATCTTTCTTTAATATTTCGGCACAGTAGATCTCATCAACTTCACTCAGTGGCGTGGCGTTTTCGATTAATTCTTCAAATTGAATTAATTTGAAAGGCAACGGTGGAAGGAAATCGGTCGAGGGTCGGTGGTTATGAAAACAAACGGCGACGCAATGTTCCTTTCCCAGTAAAGATTCTTCAAAATGATAATTTTCTAACGTTTTTCCATCAGATTCCAATTTAGTGTCAGTGATAACTTCATTTTCTTCCATCCTCGACGTCTTGATAATGAAATTTAATTTTCTGAGATCTTCAGTAAGTCCAGTGCCAGTTGCTTTGACGTAGCTTTCTTTTAAACACCAGTTTCTCATAAATGCTTCCAATTTACCGATGTTTGTATCGAATGTTTTGATTTGCTTCCATTCATTGTCAGAAAAATTGCGTGTCATTAAACGGAAGAATTCTGACAACGACTTCCCACCGCTGTATTCAATTTTCATCACATCAACCCCCAATTTTGTTGACGTATTAATCTCGGTTTTATCACTGACATAACCGGCAAGACATGCGAGGGAACCTTGATGGGAAACGTTAAATTCGATAATTTTTTCTTCCCAATTCGTTGCACAATTTATTTCCTTCAAATACGGCTTCTGCTTTAGATCTCGTCCCAATTTGAATTGGTGATTATTAATGCTCATTGCATTTCGCACAAAGTACCTCATCAGTAAACGTCCGCATAGTGATGCTTTGAAATCTTCTTGAAACATAAATTTTGATAATCTTTTCTTCTCTTCCGGTTGAATTAAGGAAACAGCGATTTTCAAATCGTGCATTGTTGGTTTCCATGCCCGAAAATCATAAGCCCAACGGGCGTGCCCGTTAACAATCGACATGTGTCTGCTTATTTCAACAATTTTTCACACCCGTGAGGCAATTTATCATAAAAAATCACAGAAATTTGCTTTTAGATTCTTTTGTTTACGTTTTTTGCTCAGCTTCATTCTCATTTCTATGTTGCTCAAATTAAGTATTATTGAGCAACAGCCGTTAATTGCTGTCAACATTTTAATAAAATAAAAAGTAAAGAATTTTATCGCAATTTTAAACGTTTCTGATTTTGAAGAATTTTTGCAACAATTTCACTTAGATATTCCTTCCCTATTTTCACGTTGTGTGAAAAACTTAAAACAAAAATCCAACCCAATGAGTTTTCTTTTTCACAGACGATCATTATCGTCGCTTCCACATTAAGTAGATTTCAGTTTTGTTTCTCGTCTCTAAAAATACCTCACCACACTTAAATACTCTTTATTTATCATTAGTTAATTACGTCCACATTTGTAGGTACATAAATTTACTCAGACTATTTATTAAATATTGTTCGTCATTGCACTTCATGTTTTCAACTTATTTTATTTATTTTTCTTTTTTTCTCATTCCATAATTGATTTATCGTTCTAGAGACCGAACAAGAAGCAAGTCACTTCGCATATTGTTTAATTGGAACATCTAAATATCGGTCACATTACAAAGTAATAGTTAGTTTTATTTTTCAATCCCTCCGTCCCTCATCTCATCCCTTACAAAATGTTTAACAAATTTAACGAAAAATTGCACAAGCCAAAACGATCATTAAAACTTACGACGAAGAGTCCATTAAATTCAATGCCAATTATACAAAATAAAAGCCACAGGAGTCAATCAGAAAATTGATTTTTCCATATCTAAAGGGACGATCTGAGATATCCCAAAACTAGCGAAATTTAAATTAACTCACACAATTTAGTTTTGGTTTTTTCTTTCTTTTTGTTTACGTGTTTTTTCTGTCACACTAAACTAAGTTAAATATATGCTTTTAAATAGCAAAATTAAAAATTTACTAATAATTAAAATCATAAAATAAAACAAATGCATAAAAAATTCTTCAACTAATAAAGTCTTTAACTCACCATTAAGTCTTGCATTTTCTGGTCCACGATTGCTTAATGACGATGTCGCTGTTAAGATAGCATTATCCAAGAGAGCTGAATTACATTGAATGTCTTCATCGTCGTAATCAATGACATCTAGAAAAGAGGATGATAAATCATCATTTGAGCAATTTGATCATTGCCTTCCAACCCATTTAAGACATCTAACAAGCAATCTTGCTGTCAACTCATATCAACCCATTCAATTGTTATGTAGTAGTGAAATCAGCAATTTTCAAAATGCTACCATATGCCGAATGAAACTGCAACAATTTATGTAATTTAAAAGGCAAAAAACGGAACCCTTTCAATGTTTCATCTTGATTATCATAGGTAACAATAAAAAACATAGAAAAGAATTAAATTTTGGGATGGTTCGATTAAAGAATGAGAAAGTAAACATCCGAGACTATCCTTTTTTGATTTTTTTGTCATTTATAAGTTTCCGTAAGGCTTATTCAAGTTTCTTTTGTTCTCTCCCCACAAGAATGATTCGATGAAAGGTGAAAGAAGTTGTTGCAATTAATCGGATTAGTGAAACGTCATAAATTTATACGAGACTCGATGGAGAGTGTTTTAAAGATAAACATCTAATCACCCCTTCACAGATATCTTTGGTCTAACTAAATTAATGATTTGTGTTAAGATGCAATCGTACGTTGAACTCTTCTAATTGCACTCAGGAAAGAACAAAAATACTTTCATTAAAAACCACTCTAATTTCCAGACACTATTTAGTATGTAGTTAATGAATCATCTCTGATGATCCAAACACATATTTTGTGTGTGTGTGTGTTGGTTAATGTTACAGAAATCAAATGATTTCCTAAACAATTATGAGTCTGCGTCAGTTTGCAACTTGTGGTTTTGTAAATCAAAGGCATACGATAAATAAATTCTTGGAACGCCACCTGATTCATTCTGAGATTCAAAGGTGAGCAACGTGCTTAAGCGACTTTAATTAATCTACACACAACTACATTCAAAACGGGAAAACACCCAAAAACGAATTATTGCAATTTTATGCTCATATCAACAATCTTTAGCATTATTTGAATCTTGACACTTGAGAGTTTCGGCAAACAAAATTTTCTTGCTACGTCGGCTTTCATTTTCATCAATTTTCCATCAATTTTTCACTTTTTCCGAAAGATTTTTGAGTTCACAATCAATTTTTAGAATTTCACAATTTTAGTCACGAAATTCACTTAATTTCACTAATCTTTTACCTGTGCCTAATGAACTAGCAATAAATACACAAATTAGAAGCAAAGTTATCCTAAGTTGCTTCATATTTCCTTTAAATTCATTTGTAAACTGACGAGCTATTCCTGAATGCTTACAGTTGTAAAAATTTTACGAAAGGTTGTACCAAACTAACACTCCCAAACATACACGAATGGAATTGTTTTACAATTCTTTATCAACTTGTATGACTCATTCGGTCTTTGTTTTGATTTAACTTTTCTCAAGTTTTAGGAAATCTTCAAAATGTCAGCATTTCCTGAGGCACCTCCTAATTTAAAAACTATCCAGCCTTATTTAAAAATTGCAATTGAACATGATCAACGTGATTTAGTTGGTAATTTCAAGTGAAATAATGAAAAATCAAATGTTGAAAATTGATTTTGTTTCTGAAAAAATTTAGTTGCGTATTGGGCTCGAATCTATTCGTTGCAGCTGGGAATTAAAGCGGCTAAGCAGCCAGATGAAAAAGCTTTTCTTTTAACATTAATGGATTGGCTTGAAAATGTGAAGAAAGCTAATCGAGATAATGATTCAATTACAACTGAGACAGTCGCACAAGCATATTTGGAAAACTATGCACATAAGCTGTAAAATGATTTTATTTAATGCTGTTAATTGATTACTTTATTGATTTCTGTGAATAATTTCAGATTTCAATATGCTGATCAACAGGACCGTGCAAGTAACTTTGGGAAAAATGTTGTTAAAGCTTTCTACACAACATCGATGGTAAGTTTGGGTTTTCTCATCACAATTTCCATAGTTACTCATTAAAATGTCTTCAGTTGTATGATATAATAACAACATTTGGTGAGTTGAGTGAGGAAGCAGTGCAATGTAGAAAATATGCTAAATGGAAGGCAGCTTACATTCATAATTGCTTAAAGAACGGCGAAACCCCGCAGCCTGGTCCGATGCCAACTGAAGGTGAAGATGAATTGCAGGATGAAGCATCTGGTGGTGGATTTACTCCAGGGACATCTTCTAGTGGTGGTTGGAATACAAATCCTTATCAACAACCTTATCAGCCACCACCACCAACCACTCAAAATTATCAACCTGAAGTTCCAACACCAGCAGGCAATTCTGGAGATCCTTTCAACTTGCCTGACCCTCCTAAAGACCCTGAACCAAAGCATCCTGGCGGATTCGTTCCATACAATCCATCCACGTCAAATATCCCAGCGTACATGCCACAATCAACTGGATCCACATCGATCACTCCCGAACAAATTGCTAAGGCACAGAAATATTGCAAATACGTTTCAAGTGCTTTGAATTATGATGACGTCCCAACAGCTATTGACAACTTGCAAAAGTGCCTCAGATTATTGCATACTGGAGAAGACACTTAAACGATGTTCACACAAATTGCAATTGAAATTCTTTTTATATTCTAATCACACATAATTCTATCTCAATAAATAACAACAAAGCTTCAAGTTTTTAATTTAAATTTATTTCTAAAAAGTTTCTTCATCTCAACATTTGCTAGAAGAATTTTTAAAAGATTTGATTGGCGACATTCACAAGATTTTCTTTTTTGATTTTGGTGTGCTGATTGTTTTAAGTTCGATTCGTCTTGGGGTTTTCGGAGTTTTGTTCTCAATCGGAGTTGGAATTTTTCTATCCATTGGTGATTCTGACGATAATGGCTTTGGCCACTCATCGCCATCAATGTTTGTTGGTTTTGGGGTAGTTGATGGATTCACAACGCGAGGTTGACGACGAATTTCTATCGGCATTGGACTTTTGTTCGTCATAAATGAGAAGTTTGATTTCGGTGTCTTAACTTCTTCCACTTCTGACTTATCTTTAGTTGGCGTGAGCTTCTCAGTCTCATTCATTGCATCATCAACAGTTCTTGGAAACTTTCTCACTTGAATTGGCGTCACCGGCGTTCCAATTTGCTTTTCAGGAGAGAAAATTTCATTACTTTTGATGATTTTATCAACCGGAATGATTTCTTTGATCGATTCTGGTAAATTTGAGATTGAAATATTTTCAGATACTTCATCAACTTCCATTGCATCATCATTGACAATCGATTTATCCAATGCTGAATGTTTTCTACTTTTTCTCTTTCTTTTCTTCTTGTTTTGCTTCTCCAACTCATTTTTGACGACACTTCTGTTGATGATCTCGTTGATTGTCTCGTCGCTGTAAATCTCGCCTAATTCACCTTTTGCAAATTGAACAATCGAACAATAACCGTCAGTACTTGACACCATTAAAGTGCATCCATCACTCGACCATGTGATGTCAGTTAAGCGAGTGTAATGAATATTTGAGATAAGTGCAAATGGAAGTTTTTGTTGCGTGTCGTAGAAATAAAGCGAAGATTTTGTTGCAATTGCGAAGATCATTCGATAAGGCAATGGAATTATTGGTTCTGACTCACTTTTCCTTAATTTAAACAGTTGTGGACAGAATCGAATAGCAACAGAGAAATTGTCCGGCGATGGAAGAATTATTGAAGGCCTAAAAAAAATCATTAAAATTGATTAAAAAGTTGTTCAAATTTCTTACGTTTTCAAATTATTTCTCGTGAAGATGTAAGTTGTGTTGAGTGGTTTCATATTCGACCCTTCAACTTCGGCAATTCCTGCAGGAACGACGATAATATTTCCATCAGGACTGAAGCATAATCGACGAAAAAACGTTTGAAGTGTATCGTCATGAAACATTCGAATTGTTTTCTGATGAAAAGGACTTTCTGGCTTAACCGGCAACATCAATTTGTTGATTCGCTGAATAATTTTCTTACTTTGAGTGTCGAAGAATCGCAAATATCTGTCAGTGCTTAACGTTGCAATGAATTTATCGAGAGGATCCCAAGCCACACCTTGAACAAATCCTTTGTGTTCAACTAACTTTGTTATTGATTTAGCTTTGTGAACATCCCAAATGACGGCAGAATTGTCGACAGAACCAGAAATCAAAAATTGTGAGTCGTAGGACCAACTCAAGTCATAAACATCCTCTGTATGTCCTCGAAGAGTTTTGTACGTTAACCAAGTTTCTTTATCGCTTTGAGATCCATCATCACGATCGAATATTGTCGCAGTTTCCGCTTCCGGCTTCATTCGCCAAATAAACACAAAACTTTCATCATCACATGATGCTAAATACTCTCCTGATGGTGACCAACGAACGCAATTCACAGCACGTTGATGTCTTGTTAAGTCAGCCGCTAGTTCTATCTTCGCAAGATTTTCGTCGTAATTTACGTACCAAATTAGAACATGAGAATCTTTAAAATATAAAAATATGAAAGGAAAATTAAATATTTCTACAATTTCTGGCTAACAAATATCTTATTCACCTGAACCACCACTTGCTAATCTTAAAAGTGCATCTGTATGATCACTTTTTGGTTGAAAATCAACAGATAAAACAGGATCTTTGTTGTGCCAAGATATTTCTGGGATTGAACACTTCATTCTGGTTTATTTTCTTTTTGTAAAAGATTTAACTATTAATGAATGTTTAAATTCACTTTTTCATGAATCGATTTCAATTGAAGTGTTTTCTATCTTCACACAATTTAATTTATAATTTTCTACTTTTTGTGCAATGAAAATATTTTTTTCCGCGCGTAAAGCAGGGTTGAGTTTCCGAGGAGACAGAATTTTTCAGATGAATGTGTCTTCGCTAACCCCTCGTTAGCTACGCGACTTGCATAACAAAATCTTTAATTTAAGTAAGTTTTTTCTTTTATTATTGGCATATTGACCTTGTCTTAGCGGTTTAAGTAAAAAAAAAGCTAAGAAAAAACTATTATAGCTACCACTGCATTTAATGTTAAGCTTGAAAACTGTTAGAAATAATTGAAAATGACTAAAAATGAATTTTTAATCAAAAATTTTTTTGTTTTTATTTTGTCAGATTCTAAAAAATCACCATGCAAAGTTTCCTAACAGCTCAATACTATGCAAAGCCTGACGGCGAAGACTATTCTGGTAAAATGTTTGCAACCAACAGATATGCTTTGCAAGCTGGATTTGCTGCTGGTGTTTTTGACGTCATAATGTATTCACATCCCAAAGGATATTTACCAACTCTCTCGCGTCTGGCTTGGTATGCGGGCCCGGCAGTCGGTATGGCTTCAGCTTTCACAACAGCAACTTATGCAGCGACAAAACTTCGCGGAAAGGATGACAAGTATTTAAAGTCAACTTTCAATTCGAATATAATTTTTAATCTTTTTCTTCTCAGACTCAACTACGCCATCGGTTCATGTGCAGCTGCAGGTGTTTTTGGAGCATGGCAGCGCAATGCTGTTGCTGGATGGTCTATGTGTATCTTCTTCTGTAGGTTCAAATAAATAATTAAATATTCTTCAACTTATTTATAAAATTCTTTTAGCAATTGCTGGAGCTTTAAAGAAATTATCAATCGAGGAAGGTTGGCGATTCATCCCTGAAAATTCACTTCGGACTCGTGTTTGGGGAAGTGAGAAAACAGCTCGCAATGATTGGACTCTTTTCCCTGACATGGAGAAAGGATGGACGACAGGAAAGGATTAAAAATTGTCTCATATGCTTTAGATTCAAAGAAAGAAATTAAAAAATTGATTTAAAACAAAATTTCGTTGCTTGTTGTGACTTCTTTTATTCTGTTTATAAATAATTAATTAACATTTGCAATTCATCTACTTGAAGAAAGTTATTTCTTGTGGAGTGCTGCAGTTTCCAATCCTGGTTGATCTTTTGTTGCGATGCCACCCAAAAGTTTCTTAATTTCAGCAATCGCTTTGCCAGGATTTAAGCCTTTAGGACATGTTCGTGTGCAGTTCATGATTGTGTGACAACGATACACACTGAATGGATCTCTCAATTGATCCAAGCGAGATTTCGTTGACTCATCACGTGAGTCAATAATCCAACGATAAGCTTGCATGAGAACTGCTGGTCCCAAGTATTTGTCGCCATTCCACCAATAAGATGGACACGACGTTGAACAGCAAGCACATAAAATACATTCATAAAGTCCATCAAGCTTTGCTCGATCATCAACTGATTGTAAGTACTGCGCGTTGCCTTTCTCTTCTGTTTTCTCATCTCTGAAAATGGAAACAAAGTTGGGAATTTGTCGCGAAATAATTTTAAATATGAAAATTCTTACTTTCGTTGCAACCACGGTTGAATCGAACGATATTGTTCGTAAAAGTTGTTCATATCAGGAACGAGATCTTTCACAACATACATATGAGGCAATGGATAGATCTTCACAGGTTTATTCAGGTCACCTCCATCGATCTTGCTGATACAAGCCAAAGTGTTTGTTCCACCGATGTTCATAGCGCAAGATCCGCAAATTCCTTCACGACATGAACGACGGAAAGTTAAAGTTGGATCCATTTCGTTTTTAATTTTGATCAAAGCATCTAATACCATAGGGCCACAGGTATTTAGATCCACTTTGTATGTTTGCATGTGAGGCTTCTCGCCAGGTTTATCCGGATTCCATCTGTAGATTTCAAAAGCCTTCAAACGCTCTGCCGCTTGTGCAGCTGCTGAAGCATGAATTCTGCGAAGCTAAGGAAACGAAATTTCAGATAAAAATTTTCACGTCTTAATTATCTACGTTATGATTGAAATATTTCCATACGTAGATTGTTATTTAACATTTTGAAAATTTCACACCTTCGCTCCAAATCAAATGAAATTCATCTCAATTACCTGTCCAAATGTTCCCCGAGTAATCAAAAGCATTTTCAATTCGGAAGTAAGGGCCATAACTTTAAAAATACTTCTTAATTTCGTTTTCAATAAATATTTTATGACAACTTGGGATCGGAGAAAAGTTTTCGAAAATTTCGAAAAATATGTTTAGTTGAATTTCTCACCACCAGAGTTCGCTGTTTATTCGAAAATTCTTATGACGTCACGTAGAGAAGTTAGATTCTGGAATCTCGTTTTATGTTAAATAAATATTTTAAAATTGTCATTTCAGTAACTTTCTATCACAGTTCAATTCATTCTTCATTTATAGTCCTTCAAATTTGGGACAACACTTATCAATTAGCAGAAATTTATTTGAAGAATATTTTTAATGACAGCGACATTGTCTTAGGTAGTGTCCAAACAACTTGTCGTTGATAAAAATACTACTCAAACTATGTCATTTGAAATTAGGGTAAGAATTTTTTTGATAACTTATCGACTGCAGTCGTGTGCTTGCTTTCAATTTATTTTATTCTATTTGCAGTCTTTTGCACGACTCATTTTCATTGATCGTTTGAGTCAGTGACCATTGCATACGCTTATCTAATAGACAACTTTTAAACCGGTTTATTCGACTGTTTACATCACTAAAACCACACAAAATAACTAGACAAAAGCAGAAAAAAACTGTGTTAGTAGCATCAAAGCCATTGATCGGTGACAATCAAATGATTTTCAATCGTTATCGGAAAGTCAAAATATTCTTACAAATTATCGTGATTGTGATATTTTTTGTGTACTTTCTATACATTTGGAATGGATTTTATTCAAACTTTTCTAATGTTTTCCCAAGAGTTATTGAGAAAATTGATTGGAACGATTATGAGCTCATGAAAAATGACGAACTGCGAACTGGTTTTGGAGAACATGGCGAAGGCGTTAAACTCATTGAACCCGACGACATTAAAAGAAACGAGGAATTGTTTAAAATTTATGGAATGTCAGTTGTGACCAGTGACAAGATTTCAGTTAATCGATCCATTCCCGATTTTCGTCATCCCGAATGTCTCAAGAAAAGATATTTAAAATATTTGCCACCAGTCAGCATCATAATCATCTTCAACAATGAAATCTTCAGCGTTTTCAAAAGAACTCTTCACAGCTTGTACAATCGAACACCACATGAGCTAATCAAGGAAGTGATTCTCGTTAATGACAATAGCACATTTGAATATCTTTATGACTCACTTAAGTCTTATATTGACGACAACTTCAGCGACATTTACTTTAAAATTATTAATCTTGAAAGCAGACACGGATTAATGCGAGCTCGAATGATTGGAGTAGAAGCAGCTCAAAGTGAATTTGTGTTTATGATGGAACCACATTGTGAAATGACTTACAATTGGCTTCCACCACTCATTGAACCTTTACTTGTGAATATCAGAACTGTGACAGTTCCAATTGTTGACAATGTCGAGTATACTCAATTGAATTATTATGAGAACGACAGAGGCAATCTTGGGTCACGTGGCGTCTTCGATTGGGATCTCGAATATCAAAAATTGAAGAGATTTTCATTCATCGATGATCAGAAGTTGGAACCGTTCCTAACACCAATCATGACCGGTGGAATTTTTATGATAAGAAAAAGTTATTTTCAATATCTTGGACCTTACGATGAGGAACTTTTGATATGGGGAGCTGAAAATATTGAAATGAGTTTGAAAATTCATTTATGTGGTGGACAACTGCTTGAAGTTCCATGCTCAAGAATTGGACATATTTTTAGAGCTTTCACAAAATCAAGAAAACATGAAAGTGGAAAAGATTTTCTTTATTTTAATAGAAAGAGAATTGTTGAAGTTTGGTTCGAAGAATTTAAAAATTATGTTTATCGACGTCACCCGGAACGTTACAACATTGATGATGTTGGAAATCTCACAAAACCTATGAAAATAAGAGAAGAATTAAATTGTAAATCTTTTTCTTATTTCTTGGAAGTTATTGCACCTGATCTACTCAGAACGTATCCTTTGAATACGCCGGCGTTTGCATCTGGAAGAATTCAATTAATGAATGAAAATTTATGTTTAGAATCTTCCCTCAAACCAGATAATCCTGCAATGTTGAAAGAGTGTCAAGATCCGACTGTTTTCATTCAAGAATTTGAGCTTTCATGGTATCGCGATATTCGCATGGTCAACACAGAAATTTGTTTAGATTTTCACCAAGCAACATTCACAATTTGTAAAAAGATTTCTATTAAATTTCTCTCCAAAATAATTTAATTGATTTCTAATTCAAATTTCTAGGTCATCTGTTGGGTGGAAATCAAATTTTCAAATATGATTTGAGAACGAAACAAATCATAAGTGTGGCCAGACGATTGTGTCTTCAAGCTGATATCGCAAATCGATCACTAAAATTCGACAAATGCGACGAAACTCTCAATTCACAAAAATGGGTTTGGAGTAGTTTTGTTAATGAAACAATGTTAGATCGTTGGAAAGAGTCGGGACGTGCAATGGATGAATCGGGCGAATATTATTTTGATGAATATTGAAGAAAGCTTTAAGAGGGTGAAAAGCTTTGACGTACTAGATTTCTGCAATCAAAGCTTTTGCTTTTTTATAAAAGTGAAAGTTTGTCAATTTTAATACATTTTCTTCTTAAGCCGTTTATTTATTCTTATCTTTTTGTACAATGTTACACAGTTTCTATCTTTTCTTCATTCTTATATGCCAATGAAATGTTATTAAGCTTAAGTGTTAGGGAAATTAAATCTTTTCTCATTTAAAATGCATGAAATAAATGTAGAAAATCCTAAAATTAATTGAATTAATATCGATACTTTGTAAGGACTAAGTGGCAAGACGAAATGATTACTGGAATACAAAAATGAAATTAAAGTTTTTCTTGGAATGCTCGTTGCAAGTCTTCTGCATCCATTTGTGCTTTTTGTGTTTCTTGACGACAGTTTTTCGTTAAATCAAGGTCGTAATCACGTGGCGGTTCATCTCGAGGTATTTTGCAGGGACTCGATGATGCTGAAACATTGTTGTATTTAGGTCTTGGAATACGGATTTGTTTCACCTAAATATTGAATACAAGCAAACATAAAGAGAAATAATGTCAGACATTGAAATTGTGATAAATAAAAACAAAAAGCATTTACGCGACTGTTACACAATTCTTTGTGCGCTTTTGCGCGTGGAGAAAGAAATTGAAAAGTGTGTGATTTCATATTATTATTACTTGTTTCATGTATTCAACTTACATCAGTTAACCAGGCATCCATTTTTTCTGTTGCTATCTTTTGTAACTCTTCTTTTTACTTCGTCAAACTCGCCGTTTCTTACGTTGTCGATGACTTTGACTGCGACAATAAAAAAGAGTGAAAAAAAGTTTAAATTTGTGTGAAGAAAAAAGAGAAGCAATTTCGATACTGTTCGTTACATGAATGAACTAATTTCTTGTGAATGGAATATTGTAACAAATTGTGAGTGAGTTCAATGCATGAACGATCAATTGAAGTTAATTAGTTATTGTGCAAGAAGTAATCCAATCTCTAGGCTATTCTCATGTTGTTATTGTTGTTTATTGTGATTTATACAAATAATCTGTGTCGAGATTGAGAATGAATCAAATTTTATATCAAAAAGCGACGTTCCCGTTATATTGATTCGATATTCGCTATTCGCTTGTTTAATCTTTTCCCGTCTGATGTGATGAGTGATCGAGGAGAGATACGGGTTAATAGTTTAACTATCACTTGAGATTCGTCTCGCGCTATTTGCAATTAGCACAAACGATAAACTGATGTACGAAGTATGTAGAAACAAATCTAGATGATGAGTAATTCTACACATTTATTCGGTCTTCACTCAATGCTCTCAATAGAGTTAGTGATGAGTTGTTGTTGTTGTTGTTTTAAATGCTTTCAATTCCACCTTCAACAACAAAACTTTTTTTTTCTCTCTTTTAAATTAAAAGAAATCTTTTAAATGTTTAAAATCAATCAAATAATTAAATGAAAGAAACTTTATGCAAATTACTCAACTCGCTAAATAACAATAGCAAACTCTTGAAATTAACGTAATTAGCGTTTAACGCTTCTACACTTAAAACATTAAAAGATGAAAGCAATTTTCAAATGGAAAAGAAGCTTTCAAATGAAGTTTGCCACTCAATATATTCGACCATCATCATCACAATTGCTGTCGATGAAGCAATTTTCTTTCGTCTTCGATTTTGCAGATTCAGTTTGAGAAAGAAAAGTTTTTTGTTTCTTCTTCTCGTTTTTCGAGGAATGAAATGAAATAACAGAACTTTTAGTTAATGGCTCAAATAAATAATGTGAAAGATGAGATGAAGCAAAGATCATGTAATGATTATTGTTTATTTTATCAAACAGTGACCACCAATAATCCTACTTTGAGCAATCAACAAACCACCCAAGCTCGTATTTCATTCTCCTAAATTGAGATCAGTTATCTCTCTTTGAAATATCGCCGAAAGAAAGTTCACATTGTACGAGTCTTACGTGATATGCAAGACTTAGAGAATTATTAAGCATTTTTCAATTAAATAGAAACTCGTTTAGCTCTACGACGATGCAGAGGTGACTTGTTGCTTGCCTGCTTCACGACTCTACGTTGTTACTCTTTAAATTGAAATTTTATCCGGAAATAATTCTTTTGAGTTTCGAGTTTTATGGTTTTATCGTTTAATCAGTATGTTGGGTTAAACAGCAACCAACAAGATGATGCTTCGCTCTTTATTTATTATTTGAAGTAAGATTTGCATTTCAAGGGCTACATTTTATTGCTTCAATAAGAAGTAGAGGAAGAAGTTGAATAAATTAAGAAAAAAAACTATCTTAGAGCAAGCAATTCAATGTTGAATGTTAATGGACAATTCACGACTTAGTTCAATGAAACGTAGAAGAATCTCGCCTTGCTCTGACTAAGAATGGTGTCAAACTCTCTGATATCACTGCGTAGTTTCTTCGACTTTACTTCCCATTCTACCACCACCGCTGCCAACTTCTCTTCTCGATTTTCATGAAGAAGAAAACAAATTTATATTTATGAAAGAACATTTAAACAAGAAAAGGTAGAAAAAGTATTAAAGTTAAGAAAGAAAAAAGAAAACCAAATCGGGAGTGAGAGCAAGAAAGCAAAAAAATAAAAAATAAATAAAAAAGAGTTGAAAGCAAAGTTAAGAAGGCGTTTGAAACGAGGTCATTAGATTGCTGATGATGATTTCTTTCTTACTTTTCTTTCCTTCTCTCTTTCTCGTCTTCATCATTGATTCAAATAACAATGAAAACTGATTAATCAAAAATGGACAAGACTTTGATTGGATAATTTAATTTTTTTGCAAGTTAAATTTAATAGTTCGAAGAAGAAGAATCGCGACAATGAATTTAAGTTTAATTCCCATGAGATCATCTTCTGAGCGGGATTTATTGACAATAAACAATAAACTTTCCTTCTTCCTATTCTTACATTCGTGAAGATGCTGAAGATGCTTCAGATGGTAAATTAAATTAAGTAAGTAAAGAGAAGGAAGAAGAAGGGAAGAGAGTTTTGGTTTTCCTTTCTGAATGAACGGAAGAGTGACCGTAAGAGACTCAATTACAACAATGATGAAAATAACCATAAATCTGATTGATATAAAGACGATGATGAATAAGTTCGTTTGACTACATCAGAAGATGGAATTGAATAAATTTAAATATCTGGTCAACCAACGGTAAGCAGTTAAGCATTCAACAGAATGAATCTTTGCAGAAATTTAATCCGGAAAAACTTAATCAAGCATAGCAGAGTTTGGTGATTTCCTTTCTAATCAATTAAATCGTAATTATACAACATTTAACCACATTAAAATTGTTTGTTTTACAATTTAACAGCACAGCGTGAGTTTGCTTTAATTCAATCAAGTCGAAGTTCTGTGAATGATGCCGTCAAACTCCCCACATTGCAATTTGCGATTATAACTCAAAAAGAAGAAATAAAAATCGGTTTCTGAAGACCTCGAACTGATCCGGTGAGAGATGCTGAAACATTCTCCATTCACATTTAACTTTAACACGCAATTTCAGACTTTAAAAGATTTGAATGAGTTGCAAAGTCAACCGAGACATGCACACACGAAACAATTGAATCGTTTCGCGTTCTTTTTTGTGCAGTTTCTTTCTTCCTTTCAGCATTGCAAATAAAAACGTCAATATCGTCGTCTCAATGTAACCGATTTTTTCTCAATTATTGCTTAATTAAGCTTCCACTACAATTGATCAATCCAAGCCTGACCGTGAGATTCTCAAACTCTTGATTTTCCGAAGTCAAATTTTATTTCATTGCTGACTTCGTCCCCAACTTGATTCTCGTGTTTCTCGTTTCTCAATTCAAAATATAATAAAAAAAAAGAAGCAAATCGGAATCGAATGCATGAATGAATGAACACAGAATACTTTTTCGTTACTGACTTAGTTGGATGTTTGGCTGTTCCAATAAACCAAAACCTTTTTTCGATTAATATTTTTTATTCTCTCTCTATTGCTGCTGCTTCTGCTGCTGCTGCTGTACACTCTCGTTTTCTTGGTTGACAGAATTTGTATATTTTTCAATGTGGAAAAAACATTTTTTGTGCGCTCTTTTGGGTTGGCAGGCAGTGGTTTTTTGATTTATTATTACAATTTCAGAGTTGGGCTTGGGTTAGTCAATGATGGGTGGTAATGGGAATGGTGAAGAAGAAAAGGAACAGAAAATGTTTCCAGCGTTACATCGAAGAGAGATTTCTCCCGAATTGTCCAGGGATTGTGGGGGTGGTTAACGGAAGCGTGGGTGCAAAGTGTCATGTAGGAAAATTTTCTGCAATCACAACAGAATTTTCTTTCAAGGCGAGCGAGGCGAGAAAGCGCAAAAAAAAATACACACGAACGGAAATAATGCGCCTGGTCATGAATCACACTCGGAAACGAATAAAAACGGGGGCATTATTGACAGCGACGAGAATTTATTGGCAGCAAGTTGTGAGAGTGAAAAGAAATTTCCATTTTTCTCCACCTTCACAATGAGCTCTAATGGGATGCGATTTTTTATTTTAATTACGGTCATTTTTGAGGGTCAACTACACTCTCCGTTGTGCTTTCTGCTTATTGCTTCTCACTTGTTTGTGCTTGACCATAAAAAGTCATTCGTCTTTGTTATGTAGCGCTTTGAGGCTTGCTAATGCGAATTATTCTGCCGTGAGAATCTTTTAATTGAACCTCCCAGCTTTGAAAACTTCACAAACTTCACAAACAACAACAACACCAACGGCCGACAGCAAAATAAAAAGCGAAAGAAAATTAATGTCGAGACTTTAGAGCTTTTATGACTTGTTAATAATAATAACAGAAAGTAATCAAGAAATTCTTTCAAAGGCAACTTTTGCACAAAAGAAAATTCTTTTTTTAAAGAATTTTTCTAATTAGACACAAAACAAAAACTATGACTCACTAATTAATTAATTAATTAAGACACCGGAGTTTTCCAACTCAACGATCTGCTTCAAACGCTCACAAGCAACTAAACAAGCGAAAAAATCTTTTCCTTCTCTACTTTAGGTTTGAGACGAACGAACGACAGCATAAAAGAGATGCAGAGGAGAAAAACAGTAAAGTAAAGAAACAGACAACGAGCATGTTTAGTTAGAAAGAACAATGTTGAATGTTTGTGTATGTGTAACGATTGCTTGCTTCTCTCGACAACTTAACTTAAGAAGAAACAATAAAATCTTACTTTCAATCGCCAGAGCGTTGCGGTTCAGGCTGCTGACAATCCTCATTTTATCATTTTATCAAAGTTCTGATTCAAATCAGAATTGAATTGCGACACTGTCGATAGCCTGACTTGAAATTTTTATAACTTGGTCATGTTCAGTCTGAGATTTGTTGAATGTGGTTGAGGTTGAATGATCTCAAACAGAGAATAAATAAAAAGTTTTGTAAGTATTGAAACGACCAATTGGATCATTCGACCGTTTCCAAGATCGCTGCATGAAAAATTCAACAACAAAACAAATAGAAAATTGAGAGCTTTGCGGATGTTTTTTAGTTTGTGCGGAATATAAAATTAGAAGGCGAGCCAACAATCAATTGAAAGAATAATAAATTTTATATCCTAAATTCATATTAATGAAGTGATCGACAGCTTGTTATTGTTTTGCCATTTGGTCTTAATAGTTGAGACATGTACGTACATAACAGTATGCAATCATATACCAAACCTGTATTAATTTTATCTCATTTCCAAACCTGTGAACTTGTTGCGATAATTTTTATTGTATGATGTAATTAATTTCACTGTCAGACATCTGCAAAACGTTTTCAATTTCATTTCATTAAATTACGAGATGAATAAACGAAATTAACCATCGCCATATGATTGATAAGTCAAACGACATGCAAATCAAAACAACAAATTATGAATTTTCATCTCACAAATAAAAAATTGATTTGAAATGCAAAAGAAAGAAGAAAAAGGAAATTGAAAGTTTTTTATTTTGGAAACTTCAATATATTTGCACGAGAATTGACAGTTGCACGAGATTCGACACATTTTCTATTCAACTTTCAATTTAATTTTAACATTTCAAACTTTCTGTTGCTTTAATGATGCGATGCAATGATGGATGATTTATGTTGTTTACAATTTAAGAATTAGAAAGAAGTTTGAAACGGAGGAAAAAACTTCAAGTTGTTGTTCTGAGAACTGAGAAACGTAACACGGAAGCAAGCAAATGACATGACGATGTGGAGAAAGTCTTTCCTTATATTTCACTTAATAGGTTTTAATGTCGCATTAAGTGAGTTGGTTGGTTGCGTTGTTACTGCACCTACAAAACGACTTTTCAATGGAACTCTTGCGGTTGTTCTTAAATCATTCATTATTTATGCAATCCATGTGGCGACTTTGTGCTACTTTATTTACACAATCGAGAATTAGCTTATGGTGGTGCTTGATTAGGCAAAACACAACGAAACATTGCCAACACTTAACAACTTGGCCAACCAACATAATTAACACAGAAAACAAAAGATTTGACGGTTGTTTATGTCGCGAACCTGAAAAACTTTTCTTTTTTCTTTTTGTGTTGTTGCGAGTCTCACAAAATTTGTCCGTGAACTTTGCTCGAGTGAACGTGACGAAGACTTTCATTTTCACTTCATGTTTTAATGGCTTTATTAATTTTTTTATGTTTTCGCTTTGAAGCGTTCATGAGAGAAAATGAAGTAAGATAATTAGAGATCTGAATTAGTGATGGAGAACATAATTGGATTTACATATTAATTGAACTTCAATGTTGATCGCTCGCCTACGATGACAGTTGAGGAAGAAAGTTAATCACAATTGAATGATCTGTTTATGGAAATATTTAGTAGAATTGAAATAAAATTGAAGCATAATTGTGAAATAATAACGATAATTATTTTATCATTTCACTTTCCTTCGTTATTTAGTTATTCGGAAGTAAAACTCACTTGCTGCAGTGCTTCATCTCTTCCCATGAGAAATTTGCAATAACAAAGCTCGAATTTATTGCAACTCACTTCGAAATCTAATAATTGCATAATGATATTCATGTTCACTCTAAAGTTGAGACAATTTGTGAATGGAAATTAGATCCAAAGACCAATTATCGCGAGACGTCTCGAAAGCGAAACTAAATTATGAGAAAGATGCGAGAAAATGATTCATTGTTGGCATTTTATCTTGATGAACGTTGTCGGTGTTGTTTCTAAGTATGTAGGAAAGATTTGTGTGGTAATCAGAAAGAGCAATTAAATGCGTCTTTAGTCTTCAGCCCTACATAAATGAACAGATTTGACGATCAAATCAATGCATTACACAAAAAATTCATAACAAAACATGTCCACGTTTCGTTTCTCTACTTAACAAATAATGATTGATGTAATTTACATTGTAATCAACAAATATATTCAGTTAATGTCGAAATAAGTGGAAATGATTTTCACTCTTGTCGTCATAAATTACGCGGTCACTTTTTATTTTTATTTCTACTCATTGCTGATTTATTGTAATTAATAATTAATTTTCTATAAATATGCCAATTAAGTAGTTTTAAATCATTTCTTTCTTTATAGTTCTTTTGACGTTCTGATGATGATTGCAAAGATTAGATAAGTGTTTGATCAGATGGAAATTTCTCACCAAGAGACATACAAATTGTCGTCTTTATTAACTAAATTTAACTCGTGATATTAAAAGTCATTACACTATATTGAAAAGTTTAATGTCATTTATCTGGCTTTGAAATATTATTCAAGAAAATGAAGTCTTCAAGGACAACTACTGAGAAGATAAAAGTGAATAAAATTTTCAACCAAAAATTGATCAACATGAAAATTAATTTATGTGATGTTGTCTAATTTTAAATACAATAAAATCATAGTCTCCATACTGACTCCTGTCGTCATAAATTAAACGGTGAGTTGATTTTTTTTTCTATCGATTATTGATTTAATGAAATTATATTTTCATTTCATTTCTTATAAATGTGGCAATTAATTTGATTTTAGTCATTTCTTTTTTATATTTATTTACTGTAATACAAATGAATCGATCATTTAAAAATAGATGAAAATCTTTTGTCACATCATATCATTCATTCATCAATCTATTGACACCATGTTGGAAGTTTCTTCTTTTTCTTTTTTCCTCTCAATTCAATGTTGGTTTAGATTTGTGATCTGAAAGTGATTAATTGATTAATTACATCATGAGGGTAAAGCAAAGGCGAATGAGATTAAATGCGGTCAGGGCATTACATATTTTAGGTAGAGACATAACTCATTATAATACGTAAATCATTAAGATAAGCTTCGATTAAACAAGGTTCTGATTTATTTAATCAAACCTTTGTTAACTAGAAGAGACGGAAAATTGCTGTTATTAATATAAATTTTTTAATTACACATATGTATACACCATGTACATATATTCAAGCTTTCTTGCTTTTTCTTAGAACAACATTTAATAATTGACGGGGGAGAGTTGAGCAAATGATAATGGGAAAACATAATGTTTGTATACAAATTTCATTCTTATAGACATGGGGAGGAAGGGAAAGAATGAAGAAACTTCGCGTTCAATCTCGGACAATTAAGTCCAATGTGAATGTGTTCATGGTGGTTGGGAGGGGGAGAGAGAGAAAAATAATCAAGAATAAGGGAAAATTACCCATTATACGTTTTTCTTATTCTACCTTTAACCGTACAAATTGCCAACAATTATGCTTTATTGCAATGTATGGATTTTTCAAACAATCAGTTAGTATAATGGCGAAGAGAAGAGCGTTGCGGTTCGGTGTGGTGACGGTGGCAGGAGGCAAATTCTGAAGGGAAAAATTTTACGGCCGTTTGTGTTGTTGATGTTTTTATTGAGAATTAATTACCGTTTGTTGGCAACGGTAGTCTCAGTGTAATTAATATTGACTATGAAACAACAGCGTAGGGTTTACTGAGGAAATGAAATTTTCTTTTTGATCTTTCAGGTCTTTTCAAATGAAAAAGAAAGTGGTAGAACTTGTTAGTATGGTATTTGTTAACTCATAATCGTCGCGTTTAATTTAAATGAAAAACCTGATTTCACTTTTAAATGAGAACACAAGTTAAACAGAAAAACATTCGCAAAGTATTGGAATATGTTAAATTCAATTGAAAAATATTCATTTAAAAATTGATCTCCTTCAACATGTGCAATCTGATATGTTATTGATTTTCAATTTGTCTCCTTGAATACCTGCAGTCTGATATGCTATTAATTTTACAAATTTTACATCTTTAACATCTGTAACCTTAATAACGTTTACTGCATTTAAAGCTGACGGCATTCACTCAATTAACATCAGTTTGAGGAAGACGCAACCAATAATAGGTTTCGGTTAAAGTATCCAATTAGGTTCTTTAATTTTCATGCTAATGCAGCTTTAAATAATTTATTTCCTTACACATCTTCAATGTGCAATACTTGAACACTGAAGCAAAGCGTCTTAAACATATGCAACTTGCATGGCTTTAATATTTGTATAAAAATAAAACATTGCCCCTAAGATGTATGCAACTTGCATGACTTAGATTTCCTTTAAAATTAAAATGTTGCCCCTTAAACGTATGCAACTTTCAAGACTTTAATATTTGTATTAAAAATAAAATTTTACTCCTTAAAGGTTCGCAATTTGCAATACTTCAACACTGAAGCAAATCTCCTTAAACGTATGCAATTGACAGGACTAATAATTGTATGTAAAAAATGTTGCCCCTTGAAGGTATGCAACCTTTAATTCACACTGATATTTTTTGGAATTTTTTCCTTCAGAAATTTTTAAAATTCTGCTGATACATACAACATTATTAAAGTTGCTATAAACCTTTAAGAACAATGTGTATCTAAACAAATAAACATGAGAATATAAAAAAAAATGTTGACACAGAAAAACATTTTAGAATGAAAAAAATTCACTTCCGTAGACTAGAAAATGTTTTCAAAGCTTCCTACCGCAATTTTTTTTTCCCAGTACATTAGTGGAAGTTCTCGATATCACATCGGATGTGCTTTTATTTATCACTGTCTAATTATCTCACCTCTTTTTATGAACCTCTAATCTCGATTTAAAAGCGTAACGTTTGGTTTAAGTATTCACATTGCTTGATATTTGATTCTTTCAATGTTTGTTGTGTGCTTTTCCCTTCAATTTCCTGTTGCGGATATTTGTTCGCCATCGTCTCGCTGCATTTTTATTCTGAGTTGCCTTTTGAAACTTTTTATATGTGACGTTTTACTGATTGTTTATTTGCTGTGCTAGTTTACTTTGTACTCGAAAAAAGCTAATCGATATGAATATTCGACTCTTTTTTTGACAAATTCATGTAGAATGTCATTAAATGAAAATTAACATTTTTCTAATTTTTTTTTTTCGTTACCTTTTTCATTGCGGAGTTCAATAAATTTGATTGTTTTTCACATTGACTTAGTTTCAATTCGAATGTCAATGTTCTAGACAACCTGACTATTATTCAACCTCACTTCTTCATCTGCAACTCAAAACTTTCATGCAACGAAAATAAATCTAAACATTCAGTTCTGTCCAAATAAAATAAAACAAAAAGCACGATGTCGTTGTATGCTGTCAAGTTTAAGTTGAACATAATAAGGCTGACTATAAGTTTATCTAATAAAAGGATTTCATAATAAAAATGAAGGAAAATGTTCGTTCATTCACTCAACAGCCTCAAAATGCATGCATTGGCGGCATTCTAATAAAAACACAAAATTTCCACTAAGGGTGAAAATCATTGTTATTTTCTTTTCAGGCAACAACCATTTTGGTAATTTTTTATAATCTGAAACAACCATAAAAAGCGAACTACATAACGCTTGTGCTTTTTTTATTTTGAATTTTATAGTTTCTACATTATTTTATTCCCAAAAAATGTTCTCCAAACTCAGTTTGCTGCTTTTTTTTGTGATCTCGACGAGCCTAGTTTTATATTTTGTGGATAAGAATAGAGAAATATTTTCGGGAAGTTTTTTTCTTTTTTATATTTTGTAGTTTGTTCAGCTCAGTTTGTGTTTTCCGAATGAAGAATTCTGATTGAAAATTTGTTTTTTTTTCGTGTGCTGAAAACCAGAAAACATGAAAGAAAATGACTTTTATGCGATTTTTATTTTTTGTTTTTCTCTTTTCCTTCATACATTAAATCTGTAGCTAAAATTTTTCAATTCTTTTCTATTTTATTTGATATTTGAAGTTTCTTTTCTTGACTTTCAATCTTGTGGGTTTAGTGTCTGTGAAGTAATAAAGGAGATAGCAAACTTCCATTTACATTAATATTAAAAAGGTCGAATTATGAGCGAAAATTTGCGAGATGAAAATTCAAAAAATTATTTTCTGCTTGATGGAAATATTTAACTATGAAGTTGAACAATTTGCAGTTAAGCCAAATCATTTTCACAGAGAAATTTTAAGTAATTACAAATAGATTTGGTTTTCCATTTCACTACCATTAATGGTTAGAATTTAAATGTTGAAATGATTTTAAATTTCCAACAGTATGAAGTAGAATGCAGTAACATTTGTGAAGTTACTCATCAATATGAATTGAAGGAAGGATGGTCAAGTTACAGGGAATGAAAGAGATCCATCTGCGACATCCGGTTTTATGAATTTTCCGGAGCCATAAGCGGTTACAAATTCAAAGAATCAATATCTCTATATGACGTCTTCTGAATTCTGAAAGCGAGCTATCTACGACTCCATTTACCATCGATTTGCTAGCAAATAGTTTCACTTACTCAACTCAATCTTTAGTAAATTTGTGATGTGAAAACCACTGCAAAATTCCATATGAAAACTTTTTCTGTTGCTTTTTCCAGTGGTGATTTCAACCACGAGAACTAAAAATTGTTTTCATGAGTTAAAATTTCATTTCATTGATGGAATGTGACTATTTTTTTAAGCAAAATATGACCTAGGACTTTGACTTAACTCGAGAAAAAAGCTTCGGAATATCGAAAACATAAATGAAATTAAATCCAACGACTCGTAAACAAGAAAAAAAATATGAAAAATTGCACAATTTTAAATCCACTTTTGTGCAATAATCCATGGAATAATTTTTTGATTTTTCATATTTCACTATTCACACTCGCTCATCGTATTCAATTGAATTTCTGAATAAATGGGAAAATGAATTTAAATATTCTCTTTATGCAGTTGGAAAAAAAGAATGAATTGAATAAAGTGACAAAAAGCATACAAAATCCCCCAGCAACAGTTATCCTCACTTGATATTTATCACACTTTATGTTTATCTCCAATTGCCTTTTTTTTCCTCCCCCACCACCACTCCCACTTCGAAAATCATTCACTTCTTTTGCCTTTTAGACTTCGGACATTCCAGCATCACTGTGTTTGTGACTATGAACCAATTTTCTGCTTCGATTCTCCATGGACTTCGTCTGAACTGAATTTAATTGATATAATTGAAATTAATTCTTCAGTTTTATGCATAATTGCGAGTGAGTGAGAGAGAGACGTCGACATTAGCATATATAAATGTATGAAAAAAAGGTTAATGTTTATGAAATTATATTAAACGACATAATATTGTTTTTGCATTTTTTCATTTTTCTCGTCTTTATATGAAAGCATAATTATCACATTAATGTTGCAGTAATGAAGCAACACTGAGTTGAATTTGTAATTAAAATGTGAACCTGAATTGAGTTAATCTTACAATGAAAAACATTGACACGGTAGATAAAGAGAAATATATGAAAGTGAGCAGAAATTTAATTTAAATGCAACATCAGACGTTTTAATTGCAGGATCTTCACTTGATTTATCAACTTGCATGTTTTTCGACAATTCAAGTCAAGTTTAACGAGTCAAGCTTACACTTAAAATTTTTCTTCTTCCAGTCATGACTTTAAATCATGATTTTTTTACACTCAAGCATTATTTAATTGCTTATTAAGTGAACTCATAAACAAATAGAACGAATGAGATGAGAAAAATTGAAATTTAATTTCATTTCATTATGAAAATAATTAAAATATGTACAAAATTTTCAATTGATACAAATTCATATCAATTGTTGTGTAATTAAATTTGAATTTAAAATTTGGATGCGAACAAAAAAACAGAAGAGGTGTCGTGCGGTTAAAAAGTGACATGAGATCAATTATCAATGAGTGGGAATGGTTGGAAAATAAATAATGCGGACTTTGACTTGTGATCCCATCGATATTTATCCATTCAATCGCTCCAAATGTTGCACCAGCGAAACATTATACTCCACTTAGATGATAATTGCACCCATCGGTTGTTGGAAAGTCAAACCGTTTCATGTATTAGCAATGATAATATTTATTGAACTTGTCAAATGGATTTTTCTTCAACATCTTCGTTCACTTGGCTTGATTTTGCCCCCTAAACATCGTTTCCTTCTTCTTCCAACGTTCTTGCCATTCTTAGTTTATGTACATTTTGAGAAAATCGATTTTCTTCTTCAATCAGTGGAAGGAAAATGTTTGCTTTTATTGAACGTGATTCAGGAGTTGAAGATGAAGTAAAATTGAATTGAAAAGGATGAGCAATTAGGTGAATTTTTAACAATGAAGACTTGTTAGTTTTGTTGAGTAAGTAACTCTTGGAGGAGTAACACAATATTTCTTGAGTAAATTTCTCATCAATCTCATTTAAGAAAGAAAGCAAAAAAATAATTTTTTGACGTTATTGGCTTTTAAAAGTTTTTATATTTTTCTTTAAGAAGTTTCTTAATGACTAAGCTGTTTACTAAGTAACTAAATGCTCTGAACTTTGATGAAATTCATCGTAAAACTCAAAATGGCATTTCATAACATCGCATTTTTTATTTGAGTTCTTAATTATCGTGGCACGAAAGCCTCGAAAATTACTTTTCGACGTAAGAAACATGCACAGTTATAAATTTTCCACAACTCTCATCTCCCCTCTTACGAAATTGTTATAATTTAATTTATTATTTTATCATGCACATACGAAATTGAAATTTCCTTTCAGCGGCTTCGATGCGACAACGAATGGGAACATCTATCGTTGTCGACGTCGTTTCAAAACGCTAAAGCGACTAATTTTTCCCGATTATAATGTTTTAATTTGCATCTTATCTCCTATAAATATAAATTACGTATCAGAAGAATCTCATTCTCTCTCTCTCTCTCTCTCTTTTTCTGACTTAGTATGTGGGGGTGAAATTTATGTCTTCTTGTTCTTCTCCTTTTTATTCTTTCTTTTACTGGAGAACGAGAAGAAAATGCTTCTTTGAAGATTTAACATATAAAATGTATAGTTAAGCTCCGTCAAATCCGGAATTTATTATATTACTCGGTCTCATTCCACACACCCACACTCACCCACCCCCGCACTTCATCAGATACTCCAAATGTTCAACTCGTCTTTATCCTATTGATTTTATTTTCTTTAAGTGTCGCTTTCGACATTTAAGCGGCGAAATAAAACGCATTTATACGTATATCTATATCCATTCTCTTGCAGCTCATGAAAATGATAAAGTGTTGAAGGAAATGAAGCTTACACACAAAAATTTATTTCAATTTCACAACATTGTGCCGAAATTTATGAATGTTTTCAGTTCATACAGGCATAGAACATATAGTTGGAGTTGAAAGTAATAAAAAACGAATCTTTTCGCTGTGTAACGTGTTGATAGGTAAAGAAAGCTTGTGTTTGTTCGCTCTAGGGACCCTCCTGTTGATACTTATGTTGTTAGTGTATGTGGTTGAGTGGAGGTAAACTCTTATCCTTGAGAGTTTTATTATCGTATAAGCTGAAGTTGTAAAAAACGTTTAATTCTTCGGTTAGAAGCACTTTAATGATTTCTAGCCTTGGGGTTTGACTTTAGTTTCAAATATTCTATGGTATTCAGATGGTTTGAAAAGGGGACCAAGCTAGAGAAAAAAAAGAAAGAACTCTTCTTATGCCTCGTGATAAACCCTTTTCTGTTGTTATCTCATTGAAATTTATATATTTTTCTCGCACTGTGAAGGCAGTTACAAATGGTGTCATCTAATACAAATAGCAATGAAAGCGCTTTCGGTGAAGATCGCACCTTCCTCGTTTACGCTTATCGCTTGTGCCTGAAACTGCCTTCAAACATACTTGAAACGATGGAACATGTTCTCGCAGGCAATTGCTTTTCTACGTTTTCTTATCCACTTTTCTTCCCCCCTTCGTCTCCTTTTTTCTTTTTTTTTTATAAATTGCCGTTTTCATCCTCTGTAACACGCGCACGATGAGTAAGTGAGAGGAAGAAGCCCGACGAGTGTGAGAAAACGAAAAAAAAAATAAAAGTTTCATTTTGATTAGTGAAGGAAAGAGAAAAAGTTTTCGGTGTCAAAAAGTTTTATTTGTTTTCGAGAGCAACGCGTCTCATGTCCCTTCTTGACGATTATCGGATTTTTCTCCTTCAATTTCACATTTCACAAGAGCAAGTGTGTTGTTGGCGATGGAGAATCGTTATGTAGCGTAAATGCCAACAGCAGCAACTTGTGTGTAAAATATATGACTCGCAAGTTGTCACTTTTTCTTCCTTCACCCTCGATTGCCGTAAACTTTTCATCCCTCCCACCACTCGTCGTCATCGTGTAACACCGAAAGGAATTTTCTTGACACTGCAAAGCGGATAATGTGATAAGATTTTATTAAAAAATTATAAATTTTTGAAGTGTTCAGCACAATTTCCACAGCAACTCACGTATTTATACGAAGAAGCATCACACAAAAAAAAAAGCCTAACAATTTTTTTCTTTCTTTCCAAAATGAAATAAATTCGTGGAGAGATAAAAACTTTATCAGCAAAAGAAAATTTACTCCCCGTGCCTTTAATTCAACGACGACGACGCGCCTCACAACGAATGAAATAAATGTTATAGTGCCAATTTATATTTGATTCTTATCACTGTTAATGGCATTCGTTCAATTTCCTTTCGCGCGTTCAATTTTCATTACACTTTCCGAACATAATTGAATCATGGAAAATGATTTTGATTCAAATTGTCAACGTGTTATTGATTTTCGTGAAAGATTTTTCATTCATTCTCGTTTCCTTTCCATTTTCGCGTTTCATTTCATTGCTTCAATGCTTTTAAACATTCAACAAGCTTTTCGTCAAGCTAATTGTCTTTAATACGATTTTTCTTCCTTCTCAAGCATCCTTTTTATGTTTCATATAATAATTGAATGAAAGACATTATCACATCAAAAAATACGTACTCGCATTCACTTTCTTATAACTTATAAGTAATCTTTCTCCTCTCACTCCTTCAGTTGTCGTGTTCGCTTCCATGTGACATAATAAAGTGCTTATAAAGAAATATTTAAATTTATTAAAACGCTTTTCACGCCCTTTAGTTTAACATTTTCCTGTTGTTTCTTAATGTAAAAGAACAAGAACCAAAAAAAAAATCTTCTTAAAGACAAGAAATGAAAAATGAGCAAAGCGTGAAACATTTTTCGCGACATCGTCGAGTCGATGTAAAGCGAATATGTACAACGTTTTAATTTTGCGCGAGTTGTTTATTTGTTTGCGTAACTTTGGTGGGATTTTTTTTATGTTGCTTTCTTTAAACTAGAGAAGTAGAGTCGCATACAAGAATGAGGCGGGTAAACTGTTGCAAAGAAGTAACTGAAAATGAAATATCGTGGAGATTACGTTTGAAGCAATTTGAAAGCGACGTTGTACGATGATGAGCGAAACATAATCTCAAGCAAGCAAGACGAAACAAGGAAATGAGTGGAACATCATGAAACGATGAGATTCATCAACCCGAAAGTGATTCGCGTAACTGAGAAAAAAAAGTGTTCATTATGCAGACATTCTTCGTCGCATTATTCTTCAAAGAACATTTATGGCACAAATTTAAGTTGAAAACATTTTTCATTACGATGCTGTTGCTATCAAGTTGTAGTCAGCATGTAAAAGCAGTTCTTTTTTCCTTCTTCTTACACTCCCCGTTTATGTTCCCGCTATTTTCATGTTTCACATCTTCATCTTTCCACCAACGAACGTTGTCTGTCTTCAGTAATCATAGCTTTGTAGTTTCCCAATGAAGTAGAGAATGAGAAGAACATAAGCGGAAGAACATAAATGATGAAAATGTGTGCGAAATCTCTTGTTCCTAATGATGATGATGAGTTTCTTTCTTTCTTTCTGTTTTTTCTTCCCTTGTATACATCTATACATTAATAGAATCATATTAAGAGCATTAAACATTTTTCCATATCACTTTTTAAGTAAATAAATAAGAAAAGGAGAGAGAGAGAGAGAGTGGGGAAAACTTTTCAATCGTCACCGAACCAGGAGCACTCACTGCGGAAAACTTTGAGACACGTAATGAGTTTATGTTGAAGAGGTAAAAGAACAAGAGAAGACGAAGAGTACGAAGCGTCTTAAAAATGTCGTTAATGGAATAAACGTCAAAACTTTGACACTAATGAAAAGGAAAATGTTCTTTATCTCTTTAGTTCGAAATGCTGCCTCGCTTCGACTTCAATGAATGCTCAACAGATGAGGGCATGGCTCTGTAAAGATGTCATAACTTTAAAGTATAAACACAGAGAAGTGGAATATTCTGACCCATTATCCTAAATTTATCGTAAAAGTTGGGGTCTTTGTCATTATCACCCACTCACACCCTCGTCTGCTTTTCATAAACGATAGTTATTTATTTCATAGCTTCTGATTTTGATTGAGGTTAAAGTGACAATGTGGAAATATGCCATGATGTTTATGTTGATGAATAAATGGCTTGGTAATTAAATAGCAAATAAAGGAAAGCTTTCCTTTCTTTTTATCTTCTTTATGTCTTCTATTTACAATCATTTTGATGCATTAACCTTGTACCATATTTCACAATTCCACATTCGATGCCTTACGACTATCTTCATATAGTAAATTCATAGTTACATCAAACAGCCAGTCAGCCAGCCTTCCTTCTCTCCCATTTCTCCTTGATGAATACTTAAATTTGTATTGTTGTACTTGAGAAAACTTCCAGATGTTGCACCAAATGTATATCGAATGGTTGTCGTTCGTTTATTTGTTCGTTTGTTGGATGAAATGAAAGGAGATTGAATGAGTAAGAATAGGAAACAATCTACAAGTGGGAGAATGCTTTTGTCTGCTTTTTATTATTAGGTATTCAATGGCAACAAATTTTCTATCTTTCAAATGTATGTTATGTGTATGATTTATAAGCAATAGCAAAAGCAAAAGCAGGAAAATAATTAATAATTAAATGTCTTTCACAATAAATTTATGAAGCTTCTGACTGAGATTTTCCTGAGATGACTCTCCAGTTGTAAATTAATAATTAAATTGGCAAATAGTTTGTGCCGTTCAGAGATGGAACGAAGGAAAATAACGCGAGCATTGCACAACCAAGCGATTTTTATTCAGTGATAAAAATAAACTTAAATGAATTTCATTTACGAAATGGAAAGGATTCGAAAAAGAAGAGATTGCGGGGGCGTTTCGAACGAACGAGTTGGTTGCATGATCGTTCACTCTCCCATTTATGCTGTATTTCGTTTTAAATTAATTCATTAAATATTTAAACATTCAATTTGAATCTCTCGTATGATTATAACTCCCTTGCATAACATTTCCATTTTCAGGAATTGAATAAATATTTTCCGAAACTCTCACACTTCTCTGCTATTTTCTGTTCATCTCTAGCAAGCATGTAGATCTTTTCAGTCTGTTGAATGTACCCGAATCATTCTTTTTATCTCCTTTTGAATATGTAAGGAGGGAGTGTGGGGGAGTTTGGGACAAAACGATAAAAATAGTCGAAATAGAGAAATGCAAAGTGAAAGTGTAACTTACATTTCATTTCATTCATTAGATATCGCACATCATGTCAGTGATTTATTTATAATTACAGAAGCAACAACTTGAAGTAAAATAAACAAACAAAAAAGAAGAAGAGAAAAGAAAAATTTGTGATTCATGTTCGGAACATTAAAAGAGCTCTCAAATCGTAAACACTCAACGATATAAACAAAAAGTTCAAAGGTAAAAGGAAGGCAACGATTCTTTGTCGAGTCGATTGTCGTTCACCTTTCTCTCCCGTATTTATCTGCCAAATTGCCAATATTTGATGTTTAATGTGTTTGTTCATTTATTGATACTGGCTGGCGGAATTATCTGCACATGATTTATGCATGAGTGAGGGTGTGTAGTCAGTCTTCTGTTGCTTAGGGAACGATATCCTGTGTTAGTTCTTCTTCTTCATCTGCTTCTTTCCACTCGATATCGCTTCGTACACAATAATTCTAATATCATTTTCTTTATCTTCCAACTCTTCTCGACACTCTCCTTTCTTCTTTTTCTTCTTCTTCTTTCGCTTGCTTTTTCCCACCTCAGTTGAGTCGACTACATATGTTGGTATCAGCACTACGAGTTACATTAAAAATACATGATTTTTTGTTAATAAATTATGATCCAGAAATTTGTTGCTCGAGATTGAATCAAAATCAAATCAAATACTATTATCATTCCATGCGTTTTGTGTGTCATGATTTGTGGAGTTCTATGTCGGATATCTACATAAGTATCTATGTAGACTCTACACGGATTAATGAATTTTTTTTATCGATTTCTTGTGATTCAGATTGTTTTCTTTTTTCTTTTTTTATTTATTCGACATTCGATTAGTTACGCCTCTCCGTCATTGTTGCGTCTTGAAAAATTGCCTTTTAAGGAAAACTGTTGTTTTTCTTCCCTTCGTTCGTTGGCTTAAACAAAAAACGAAAAAAAAACGAGAAAAAAGAAAAAACAAGAAATGGAACTTTCGATTATTTTCACAAAATATAACTCATTATCCTTCGATGTCGTAATGCTTCAATAAACATCTCAAGATGTATTCAAATGATGCTGACTCAAACATTTCTTTCTTTCTTCCTCCAAAATAATGTTATCAAAGCGTCATTCTTCCATTGTTGTGATAATAAATTGATTTTTATTTTTCCTTCATTCACTTTTATTTAAATATAGCTTTTTGCAAAGCCTAAAAGTCGACAGCGGCAGTGTTTCCTTTCGTAAGCAAATTCATTAGTTTTGCTTGATGAAGATCATGATTTTCACATTTTCTTCACAACTTTGAAATGAAAACCTCAATTGAAGGATTTTTTCCTTCTGCTTTCAATTTTTTTTCCTTTCTCCTCTCTTTCGGTTTTTGTTTGGATGTTTTGTGAAGCATAACGAAAGAGGAATAAACTGGCGTCTTAGTAGTAACAATGGTGGCGTCTTGGAAAAGACTTACTGCTATTATTACGCGAAAAAGCTGAAATTAACAACTTTGAGTTTGCTTAAAGACAGCAAATGTCGTTTCAATAATAAATAAGGAAGGAAAAGGGAATATTAGCTTTCTAGGAAATTTCTTTCACTATCATTCGACATGTGAATTTTGTTGTAGTTTGAATTTGTATTAAATAGAATGTAAACAATAATTTTACATTGAATGAAATGCTTGAAGCAAATTGCTATTTGCAATATGTGATTGCAGCAATGCCATTCAATTTGTGATAAATTAATATTTCATAAGGCAAATATTCCATGACGATTTAAAATCGTCTCCGATTTTGTGTATTAAATGTGTTGACAGGATGAGGATGAACAAATGCGATCGTGGGAATTGGCAACAGATGATTGAAAACTTTGATTATAGTAACTTCAATTATTGACTCAGTAATTGCAGATGTTGTGACGAGAGTTTTGTGATGTCGGTAAATGGAAATTTTTTATCCATATTAAAGTTTTATTTGCTCATTAACGAAGCGAAATTCTGAAAGAAAATTAAAGTTTCTTTATTCAAAATTGTCTTTTCTTTTTTTCTTACAATTTTCTTTATTTTTCATCAAAATAATGCTGTATTGCTTTCGAGGCTAATTCATGTCACTTATACTGATTCCTTTCATATCATTAATGATGAAGTTAGAATACATTACATAATTTAAATAATTGTTAGAGTTCTGTATTGATTTCGGTTGACTTACTCAAGGGTTGGCTTACGTACTTGACTATTTCCTTTTCTCGATATCAGCATAAATGACACGATACTCTACAATATGATTCGACTACAAAGATTACGTTCAAATTCAAATCAAATATGGCAAAAAATGCTCTAAGTTTTATTTATCTCTGATAAATGTCTAAAACTATGTCATCATCATAAATTGGTTCTTCGCGTTGTTGAATTTCTTCTTTTTTTACTTCTTCTTAATTTCTTTTAGAATTTGTTAAAGTTTAAAATTTATTTATTCTTTTGTTTTTTTTCCATCAAATTGTCAAACTAAGTTAGTGGCAAAAATTTATAAGATTTCGTTATTCATCTTCTTTTTGTTTTTAAAAATGTCATTTTTGATTCCAATTTCTTTTTAAATCTTTTCTATGAAAGTTAGCAAAATAGATGAATGCATTGTCAATTTAGTTTGCTTGAAAACGTCAAGTTCCGTATTTAAGAGAGTACAAATGCGAACAAACTTTTCTGCTCACAAGAGGAAAAATATTTCCAGTATTGTGTAGCACCCTCATTATTTTAATTCTATTCTTTGAAGATACTTTAGATGGCAGATTAAAAGGAAATTAAGGAGTAAGATAATTCATCTACAATGTTTTTTTCTTTTTATCGATAATTAGGAATAATTTCTTCTTCTTAATTTTGATTTTCTTTTATAAAAGTTTTTCTCTTTTTTTTGGGTTTTCTGCGAATATATTTAAGGTGTTACTATGCATCAAAAATATTGTCTTATCTGATATGTTGTATTTCTACTTGTCTACTTACTTGCTTACTCGCATCAATTTTCATTTAAAAATTTCAAAAATCTTTATTCTCTATAAAAAGAACATAAGAAAAATTTCTTCAAGCGTTTAATTTTTACTTTTTTAATCGTAATGGCATTTACTAAGTAATTAGATTTTCAATTGTATTTATTTATTCTTTTTTCATTTTGATTATTAAAGTTTATTCAAGTTTATTAAAAGTTAGGGGTTAAAAGTGGAATGTCTAAAATGATAAAGACAAATTCATTTAACTAATCTAAAATTAAAACTCCCGAAGTATTAGCAGGTTTTATTAAACTTTTGAAGTCATAATTTATCCTTTATTAAAATGATGCTTATAATGATCCATTTTGAAAAAAGGAAAAAGTCATTCTCGTTCTCTTCAATAGAATATTTCATGCTCAAACGATGCCTGCTATTCACTAATTGTTATTGCTTCATACTTTTATACTTTCAATATTGCACGTGATTATTAAAACTCATTCGTATTTTATATCATCCTGGTTTAATACAGCATAATCTCTTTTAAAATCTGCAATTTTTGAGCTGCTTTTATACGAGAACCATTATTGTATATTATTAATCGATGAATAAATTAATTAAAGTAAGTGGGATATAATTGGAAGATACTTTATTAAAATTGGTAAATTTTCACAGTACAGAAATTGATCTCTCATTGACTAGACGAGAGACTTCAATTGTGATCACTATAGAAGTTCAAACGGTAAGTTCTAAACTATCGATACTTTATAAAGCTTTCAATGAAAGTTCAGATTTGTGAAATATCCATAAATATCATACAATGTTCATCTTACTTCCAATTAGAATTTTCCTCAAAAAAATTTCCTTTCTTCGTCTACTAAATATTTAGCGTAAAGCCAATTGTTGTTTAATATCCAATATTAAGTGAAGCCTTAGCAAAACAATTTGCTTTTTATTTTTCGTGAAATTTTCTAAAATATATTCTGATTTCAAAATTTTTGCCTATAAAAATACTTTGTTTTGCCATTTTTCGTTGCATTATCATAGTTCAATGTCTACCAAAGTATATAAAGCCTAATTCTACATAATTTCTAAAAGTTTTTTTTTTACTTTTTTCTTTTCTTGTTACCAAAATGCTTTTAAAGTTTTCTTAAAAACAAATTTCTAAGGTTTACTTTTGTGTCACTAATTTTAAATAATTTTTCTTAAATATCTTTTTATGTTTCTTTTCTTTTAATCATGTTTATTGCTTAAAATGTTCATGTGGTATCTAGTTGATCTTTGCTTTTATGTTTCTTAAAATAAAATCATAATTAGTTGAACATTAAAAATTGTTTCTAGTTGACTTCAAATGAGGGAAACTTTAAGGAGACGATTGGATTTTAAAATAAAATCGTAAATATTATAAAGCTCTAAGTTCAACCAATTCAAATGACTTTTATAATTTATTTCTTTCTGGCTTCTTGTAAGTCTATGAATTGCTGCATAGAAAGGGAGGGAGAGAGAGAATGCAATGTGATTCCTTGTGAGATTCAACATTAACCTTAAAAGGGGTTTCGGAAAAGTTTCAAACATTCAAGTCATAAAAAAAATTTAAATTGTTTCTTTTCAACTCACAATCTGCCAAAACTGCTGCGAGCTTTTGAAACTCTGAAATTGCTTTTTATTACATTTTTTTTCCTTCGTTTTCTTCTCATACCCAACTCTATTCAATAGATGAGCTTTTCTCTCCATATGTTACATAAACGCGACACTTAATTACGTCACAATGATATCTTCATCCTCATCGTCGTCGCTGCGGTATTCAATATTTGGATCATCTTTAAAGCAAGCAGATTCTAAATGCTTATTCAAATAAGATTTGAGAGCAAAAAACTTATGGCATCTGGTGCACTCGTAATTCTTATCAAGTGAATGAGTTTGCATGTGAGCTCTCAAATTGCTTCTGTCGGCGAATGCTTTACCACAATGTCCACATCCGTAAGGTTTCTCGCCAGTGTGCGATCTTAAATGACCCTGCAGTAGCCATGGTCTTGAAAACTTCTTACCACATACACCACAAGAATGTGTTAGCTTGTGAGTTAGTAAGTGCATTGCCAAAGCAGGCATCGAAACATAAGCTTTACCGCACGTGTGACATTTCTTCGCTGACTGAGAATCGAGACTGCGATGAGTCTGTTTATGACGTGACAGATTACTCGACGTTGCATATTGTTTTCCACATTCAGTGCACTTATATTTAGACTTGTCTGACTTATTATTCGACTTCTTATCATTGTCAACCGATCCTGATCGATCGTCACTGTCATCGCATTCAGACTTTGAGGAACATTTTCGTTTCTTCTTCGATCGACCATCACTTGATAGCAAATCATCATAAGTATAAAGTTCGGCTGCCGGAGACGTTTTCGGATAAGGCGTCTTCTTACTCAACGCATTCATCAGCAAAGAATGTTTCTTCGACTTAGTTGATGATTTATCATCGTAAGATGACGACGATGACAAGCCAATTGTTTCAGCATCAGATGAATGTTCAGAGGTAGGAGGCGTCAATGGTGAAATATTCTGAGATGAAATCTCAAAGTTATTGGTCGTTATCGTATCATAAGTTGACGGTGACGATGTGAGTCGATCCATACCATTGTTAGCCTTTGTCGTCGAGTGCAAACTGGAGACAGGTTTAATTTCTTGCATAACATTTGTTTGATAATTGGTGTTCTGATCGGGATTTAAAATCGCGACCGCAGTAATGTGATACGAGGGCAACGGTGGAAGGCTTTGAGATAATGATAATAAATCGTGCGCTGCTTCCGTTTCTTCGGCACTTCGATCACGAAACAATGGATTCGCATCACACGTATTCTCCTTGCGATTTTCAGCCTCGCCGTACTCCTTGCACAATTGATCCGGCTTCAAATGCTGAGTATAGAACACCACCTGTTCAGTTTTTCTCGTATTCATGTTATTACAGCTCTTAAATGATTTATTGGCTTGATGCTGAGTTAATACAAATTGCTTTGGATTGTTGCTGTGGGATGATGGTGGGAAGTCTGAAAATAAAAACCGGATGGGAAAAACATGAATTATTGGTTTAATTAATTCCACTCGACGCTTTGTTTAATGCGAGATTAATTTTCTTTTGACCAAAAAAAAATAAAAAATAAAGAACTTTAGAAATATTTTGTGTGTCGTTGAAGTTTAGTGAGTTATGAAAACTTAAATTCAGAATTAGAATGACAAAAGAAAATGTACAAACGTCATTTGGGAGCTGACAAACTTATTTGAGTCTCTCTACCAGCAAGGAGTAGATTTACGATTATTATTTTTGCTTATGATAGCACAATTCAGATGAAAATTCGAGAATATTTTCACAGAAATGTGAAAAGAAAAAAAATCAGATTTCCATTGTGATTTCAATAAAAATCAAAGGCAACTTTGTTGTACATATTTCGAAAGCTTTCGCGCGTGAATTACTGTCAATTGGCTATTGAAGTAAATAAAAAGAAAAATCCTTCAAATCTTTCTTTTCGTCTTTCTCTCATACAAAATTTATGAATTTTATTGCAATTGATATTTTCATTGTAAAAAGTACCAAATCGCTTTATGATTTTTGCAATTCAATATTTTACGATACTTGTCGTAATATTATTGTAGATTTTTTTTTGTGTTTCATTCAACTGCTTATATCAAGCACGACTAGTATGTTGGTTTTTTTTATTCCGAATTGCATCAAATATTTACATGCCATAAGTTAAATAAATCTAAAATTGAAAAACTGAAAACATTTCTTTGTTGTTTCAAAACATGTTTCGTTATGTTTTGTAAAACCATCGCAGCAGCATAGATTTAACAAAGAATATTTGTAATTGACAAGGCAAGCATAGAACGCGCACACACACAGAAAAGCCTCAACGCAAAACTTTTATGACAAACATAATTTTGTTTCTGGTAAAAGATATGGCTTATCACATTTTTATGCTGTTTTATACAACGCTTTAGAGTGGCAGCAATGACTCAAAATTTATGTTTCAAACGCCCAAAGCAAAATCTTTTAAATACCGAAAATGAAGAAAAATTTAAGTCATAAAAATTAATTTATGACAACTACCGGGCGTTCATAGTTAACTTTTCGAATTTATTATGTTCATAAAGGTTGTTTTTAAGAGAAGTTAGATGTTAACGAAAAAGAAAAGGAAAGAGAATGAGTGAGTGAAGAAGTCGGATAAAAAAAGAAAGTTTTATTATATACTTTGGCTTTAGAACTATATATCATCGAGTAGTGGCAACTCCCCGACATTTATCTTCAACATAAACATTAGTTCATTTGATACGATTTTCAATATTTTGTAGCTTTTCCTTTGAAACTGTATCGACTTTTGTGTATCAATATTTGTTTAAGAGATTTACACTTCACCCCCATTTTTCCCCAAAATCCTACGACGCTTTCAATTCATAAGTTGAAATCAGTTTTATCGCCTTTGGTCGTGGAGAAATGTTTGGATTGTTAAAATATATTTCTCATAATGGGCATATTTTGTGTGATAAATTTCCTCTTCGAGAGGATTGAAGTTTAAAGACAAAAAAGAAGAAGAAAAACGAGAAATTTGAAAAGCAATAGAAAAACTACAACAATAGATCATCAACCTACGTAAGTTTGTATCTCTATCCTCATCATTTCTAAGATTTAATGGAGTATGTTTTGATATATTGTTATTTTTATGGATTGTTCAATTTAGTGAGAAATAAAAAAAGTTTTTATTGAGCTATTTAGCTTTGCTTGCAACAACAATTTGAGGATTTAAATATATTTTTATCTGCTTTTTTTCGGCTTTCCTTCTTCAATTTAAAAGTTTTGAACGTTAACAGATATCGACTATGACGCTGTGATGTTTGCCATGATAGCAATAAATAAGCTACAACTTACACAAACTCAAATTTAATTGAACATTGCCGTTAAGATGTTTTCAAGAACTCGTAAAGAAAGAAAAGAAATGTCGAAAGTGAAAATAAAATATTTAAAGAGCGAATATAATAATTTATGACGGCTTGTGATACATTCACGACGATGAGAGAAGAGTTTTCTACGTGAGTTTTCATGCATCACGTGTTGCTTTATGTACACCCACACACACATAATTTTCCAGGTGGCGTTCGTTTGTATATTGAAAATAATTTTCTTTCTTTCCCACTTTCGACTCTCATTTCATTTCCAACTCCAGGTAAACATTTCATATGAAGCTTAATTATGAAGCTACCTGTTGTGTGCCATTCAAGTTGACTTACTTATGTTATATACGTTTACGATGAGCTCATTTCTCTGTTTTTAGTCTCATCCGCAAAATACATAAATTTTCCCTTTTCACAAGAGGAGAAAATTTTAATTTTCTTCATTTAAAGAGTTTTTCATTTCTGTTCTGCATAGCATTAGTCATTTTATGTTGTAATTTTATATTGAAGACGACAATTTCATGACGATAAATTTTTAAATTTCAATTGTAAAAATTAAATTTAATTCTTGATAGTCGAATGTTTAAATTGTTTTTACGTTTCAATATGCACCAAAATGAAAATCAATTGAAAATGCAATGAAATCAATTATTCAGAATCTAATTTCAATGCACACTCATGTATGTTTAATGTTTAATTTAAAATTTGTACTTTAAGCATGCTCTTTTCACATTTCAATCTCGTCAAATTTTAATGATCATCGTAAAAGAAAATTAGTAAAAAATGAAGAAAGAAAAAGAGAAAAACTTTTCCACTCAACTCCAACAAAGCGAGATTCATAAAATTCAAGTTTCATAATGGCATGAAATAATTTCATTAAGTTTATTTGAAACAGACAAATCAATTTGGAATTTTAGTGTCTATTGTAGTTACTGATGAAAGAAAATTTCTTTCGTTTTCTCTTGAAGCATAACGATTGAAATTATTATTATAAATCAATATAGGTCGGTCGGTTGGTTGGTTGCTTTCTTGCTTGCTGGCTGGCGCTGTTTAAGCGAAAATGTTTATGATGTTTTCATTACATAGTTAGGTAGTTGTTGAATGTTAGTTTGTATCGAGTAAACATGAGAAGCATGAACCGAATTTAATTCTCCTTTCTGACGCACGACGAACAACAGAGTGAGTGAGAGAGAGGAAAATCAGAAAGCATGCAATCAAGGTATGGAGAGACTGTTGATTGAGTGGAGAAAATATGGTTTAGTCATGTCATGATATAGGATAGAAGCGAAAAACCATTTTAACATGAAATATTGTGATTTTCCTTTTAAGAAGCTTATTGTTGAATGCGGTTTCACGGTGGGCTTGTGTGTCAAATGCGTCATAAGTTTTCGATTTTCATTGAACCAAAATGAATATCTACATACATTGCATACACGCAATACATCACGATCAAGTCTCATTCATAATCATAAAAGCGGAAACAGAAGTCAAGAAGAACTTCTCATTCCACACATGGGAATCGCTTTGATTACATGACGTGATGTTTGATCAATAATTGTTAAAAGTTCTGCTTAATTTTTTTTCTCCTTCTGTTTATTGTTCAAACTTTTCTCCTTATTCTTCTTCGATTATATTGAGTTCATTGTAAAGTAGAGAAAGAAAAGTTATTTTCATTCAATTTTCCGACAACTCAACAAAAATTTTCGAAGCAATAAAAATATGGAGCGGCTTGAAAAAAGGGATAAAAGTTTTAATAAAAGTTAATTACTTTTACTGTTGCCTGTTACATTGTTTTACTTTCATTGAGTGACGCCTGTTGCTTACTTTAATGGAGATGGGGGGACGGCGATGGTGATGGTGGCGGCGGCAATAGCGGCTCAGAACTTTATATTGTGTTACGTTATGTGTCACAAGCGAGCGCGGAAGACAGAGACAGCAAGTAAAAGAGAAATAAAAACAAATAAACATGAATCGGATGACATGTTCGTGAATTATGACTTTATTATATGTCATGATACGCAAATTTATTATGTTGAATGTGTGGCAGTTTACTGCCTTTCGAGCCTTTCTACAGAGCGTACCAAACCTCCACTAAAAATGTTTATGAGAACCTAAATAAATAAAAGCGAGTCAGAGAGGTCGAAGTAAGTCTTCGTCATAATAAAAAAAATGAGAAGACGAAAAATCTTATCTGTTCGGTTATCATTAAGAATGCTTTTAATATCTAAAACATGAAAATGCTAATTCACAATTGAGTTTTTCATTTGTAAGCAGCTCATTGCACGGTGAATGGAGGATCGAGAATTATGATAATCATATCTGATTAAATATTGCTTCGAGGGTAATTAAATGATAAAAGTGGATGGAATAATTTGAAGCTTTTCCATTTTGTGTGCTGCTAAAAAAAGTTTCTTCTTTCTTCTTGCATGTTTGTTATCCGATAGAAGACGTCTGAGACGACGTTTCTTATTTCATCATCACAACGGTGAAGGTATGCCAACCTTTTTATTAACCTCTGTACTTTATTTTTAACCAGATTCACTAAGCGTTATCATAAATGGCGATGCAAAACGGGGATAAACGTTTCTTTGCTGCCAACTTCTCCGTCATCGCATGATGAAAAGTTTTAATCAACCTCAAACATTTATCTTTAAAACTTTAAAGTTGCTCAAGTGTCGAGTTTTTCACAACAAAAGATTTGTTAAATTCTGTTGTAAATTTCTTTAATCCTAACGATAATGATACAACAAGCTATGGAACTTAATGCAATCACAATCACACTGACCGACATGAAACAACATTTTTTCCCTTCATTCTCCACTTTATCGCCACTTTCCCAAGCAAGCAAAAACAAAAACGTGTCAGAGTTTTGACGTGAAGGGGAGATTTATTATCAAAGCTTTTTGCTCCCTCGACTCTCAGTGCAGTACTTTGAAATGTATTAATTAGTGTGATTAATTGTTTTGCTGAGAATTTAAAGTGATTGTAATTTATTATCGGGGACGAATAAAGTTTAGAAGCGAAAGCTGCTGCTGCTGCTGTTGTTGTTATTTAATGTTTTATAAAAAATTGAAAGGATTTTCATTTCTGACAATGTATGGTCTAGTTTATCCTCCACTTTATATCATGAGTAAATGAATTTAGTTGGACATTGTTTTGTGACTGGAAATGCTTTCAAAGTTATTTTATTTATTTATATGTTCTGGAGAGATTAAGTGATTTAAAAAAAATACTTTAAATGTCACCAGGTTTATATGTTTCTCTCTTTTTCACATTTTCGATGAAACTTTTTCAATTCCCAAACAATTTCATAGTTTACACAAATTTCAAGAATGGAAATTCAACATGTTGGTTGTTGGAAATAAGAATTAAAAAGTTAATATTTATGTCGACTTCTCCGGGAGATTAATTTTTAGTATTTAGATACGATTAAACAAAATAAAAATTTTCCATTAATGCTTTCAATACATGACGGAAACGAAGCATATAAAGTCGTAGAAAGAATAAAAATTTGCATTCTGAGCTTTTAATTGGCAAGGAAACAAAAGAAGATTCCGCGTTACAAAAAAAAACTCATCAGTTGAAAGCGGAAACTTCATTTATATTCCGAGCATGTTAATTAGATTGTTTGACTGAAATGTGGAGAGAATTTTAATTTTCTTTTATCTTGTTGAGTGGAGATGTATAAAAGAAATTGGGGTAAGGAGATTTTTCTATTTTATATTCGGACCATTGAGATAATTCGTCTTGTTATTTTCTGAAGATTTTATAAAGGAAATTTAAACAAAGAACCTACATTTGAGACTTCTTCAAGACTTCCGGAAGAATTTAAAACGTCTTTTGATAATCAAATGACAGAAAAAGTTTTTCGTTCTCACAAAACTGACGAATTTTCCTTTTATTTTTCTATGTTTAAGCTCTGTTAAATCTTATTGCCTTCTCAATTCTGCTTTCTAAAGTAATTGTTGCCTTTACAATCCGCAATGATTTTTAAAAGCCTAATTCCAAATATCTGCTTTTCTTTTATTTTAATAGACTTTTTTTTGTTAATTAACAATAACCGTCGGCTATTGTCTACGCTTGAAGCGTTTCTCTTTGAAAGTCTTCTCGCATCACACTGTAATTGATTTTTATGACGAGGTTTATGGTAGATGTTGAAATAAGAATGTTCAGATTGAATTGAAATCCGTACTTGTTGATATAATTGAAAATGATGATCCAAAAGTGCTGCTTTTAAATAACTTTCCTAAAATATTTCAAATATTTCCTTCTCACCAAATTATTTCTGATGATATTTCAAACTTCTCATAATTTTTCGTCGCTTTCTGTTTAAAACAGAATTCTTTTCTAGCAAACAATTGCGTGTTGCACGTCATTCTAATATCGACTGTAATTTTCCCTAGGTGAACGTGGGAAGTGGATGATGAAACGAGTAAAAAATATATAACCGAAATATGTATGAATTACCTACTACAACAAATGTTTCGAAATTAATCCCACTAAAAATAAGAGCCTTTGATTGTTAAATGAAATTCTTGCGTTTTCCGAGTGGAAATGAAAAATTTATTATTGAAAAAGAAAAAGGAAGAAAGAAAAATCTTTACTTTTCTTTTATTGTCGAATTAAAAATATCTACTTAGTTTTACTTATTTAAAGAATAAATAATTAAGTGAGTGAATGAAACGCATTAGGGAATAAATTGACTTCAAGCAATTATTCATGTTAAACTTTCAGATTTCTTCACGTAATATTCACATGCATTATTAGCATTTCTTGCTAAAATTATTTCAAAGCCTGAATTACCTGCTCGAAGGAGTCATGTTTTGTTGTATTAAACTCCGAAAATTAACGAGAAATTATAATGAAAATGTTGGAAATGGAAACCAAACAATAAACCTTACAGTACTGCGATAAGTTACGCTTGAGTTGATTACAAAACGCAACATGAGTTTCTCACCCACAATCATAAATTTTCCTGTTGCTAAATACAACAAGGACCGCGAAAAATGTTGCTGCTGGCTAGTTTATCGATCAGCTTCATTTACGTTGTTGCAATATGTATTAAATTCAAATTTCTGGTTTTTTTTCTTTCCTTCCTTTTGAATTCCCGACAGCTCGACTCTCATTAAGAGTCATTTGAGTTGCTTTTTAACACAAAACGCGACTCAAATATACATTAACATTACTTATAATGAATTATTGAAGTGGCGAATAAATATTTCATTGCCATATTGTTATATTGTTGAGTAACTTCCGCTTACACGTGCAAAAGCGGCGAGATATAATTCAGCAAACCTCCAGGCACCTTCTCTCCACGTTTTCCTAATTATGAGTGAATTCAAATGTTCATAAAGGACATTCATAACAAAATATGAAACATTCACTTCATCATGATGAAACAACAAATATCTAAACTTTCTTGATTATAATCGATAATCATGTTCATTAAAATTATGCTCAGCTCGTGTCTTTTCTCAAAGTACTTTTTGAAGACTCTTTGACTTGTTTAACACTTGTCACGAAGGAAGAAAATGCTTCAAAAATCACTTTTAATATTTCGTGCGAACGTAAACAAACTTTTGGGTGGACGTTAATGACTTTGCGTACTTTTACAACATTTTTTTAACTGTCAGTTCTTATGATTTAGTGGCTCTGATCATGTTACAATTTTTCTTCCTTATCATCATGGAAAACTTTTCACTATGTAGATATTAAGTTGATGTTGTTATTGTTTCTATCGTTGTAGGAAGCCTTGAAATGATGGGCGTGCGAAGAGATTGTTATATTATTAATGAAATAATTTGATAGCAGAAGAAGACTTAGTTGTGACATCCAACAGGTGATGTCAGCATATTTTAGTTTCACCTCTTCAAATAAATATTTTCGAAGCGAACACTTTGCTTAGGCTTAGCAAATCAACTTAAGGCACTTTCAATACTCAAATTCTACCTTATTGATTTCTAAAACTGCTCAAAGGCTTGAATTAAGTTTTAATCAAAAGAAAATCACCCTTTCCGATTATTTGATGAAACATAAACAGAAAGCGAGACGAAAAGGGATAAAATTGTGTTGTGAAATGCTACACCAAGATAAGCAACAGCCACTCAAGAGGATGGAATATTTGTCCAATATCGTCCATGAACCCAATTATTTATTTCTATTTTTTTTAGTGCTTTTAAGCTTCTGGTGAATGATGATATTCAAGTATTTCATTTCAGACTTTAGAGAACCCTTGACTATCAAAATCCAGAGTGAAAAAAGCATAGAAAAAATATTTTTTTCTCATTTCTGGTGCTTTTAACCTTCACATGTGCCGCCTTTCGTCATGAGTTAAGTCGAAGTTGTCTCCAATTCAAAGGAGGGTAAAATCAATATTCGTAATTTTAAACAGAAAACTTCTTTATTTCTCTCTTGGCGTGGGAGGAGACTTGAAAAGAAATCATGACTTGGGGATTTTATGTGAAAACACTTTTGCTTTTTCTCGATTCTTTTAACCCAGCGTCATATGGAAAGTGGAGAATCAATAAAGAAAACTTTCTCATGTGTACCTGATGCTGTGCTACCCCATAAATTTCAAATTTGTGTTCGATTTCGAGACATCATAAACGGGAAAGAAAGAATTGCTTGAAATCGGAAATTTATTGTGACGCATGAAAAGCTTGCAGAGAATTTATTTGTATTTTGGTTTGTTTACTTGTTTGGATGTCAATAAAAACATCAGTGTGAAAACTATAAAATGGAGTGGGGTAATGTGAATCCCTAGATTGCAAAAGCACTTTGGACTACCTTCAAGATGAGTTGTTATCTTAACAAGAAGACATGGAGAATGTTCAATTGGTTTTTGTGACACCAAATCAAGCATAAAATGAATAAATGATTCATTTTCTCTTAGCACATCATACACTTTACTCGAAACATGTTTTTTGCTTCCATTTCAAAAATTCCAATGTGGTCTGTCACAGTGTCTAACTGAAAACGGAAAAAATAACACATCAGTTGATCGCAATATGTTTCATAGGTGAAACTTTTTTCATTTCGATGAATTTTGTCTTCTTCTTCCATCTATCTACATATATACGCAATGTAGGAAAGCAACAGTCTGTTTGCCTGCCTCATCTCCCAACATAGTTCAATATGAATGTGTGGGCAAACAGAAAGGAAGAAAACAAGAAAAAAACTTTGAAAATGTTTATGAAAATGTAGTTTTTGTGACCTTTCCATTCTGTTGCAAGATATCTCTGTATAAAATAGATTTTTTGTTTCATTTTAATGTCCTTAAAATTTACTTGAGTCGAAATTTAAGAATCAAAACAAAGGCTAATAATTTGCATTTGAATTGAGATTCATTTCTAGCAGAATTGCTGCTTTCCCTAATTTTAATTGCAAATATTTTACCCCAAACATAACAACAACAAAATTAGTGTGAAGCATTTGTTGCTTTAACAACATCTAAATATATTAAAACATTCGAAAATCGCTGCCATTTTGAACTCGAGAAGCACTTGCGAGGAAGATTTATGGGATTTCACTCGCTTAGGGAACAAGAGTCAGATTTACCCCTCCCCATAGTCATCTTCTGAATTGCACTGCGATTTATAATAATGAAAAAAATATTTTCGACCAAATGTTTGAATCACATGTTACAAAACATTCTCTCTCCATCATGACTTTTTATATATTTTATTTTTTCGAAAAATAAAACGAAGAAGGATTACAAACAGGTTGCAGAAGACGAAAAAAAATGATATGAAAACTCATTTTTCTCTATCCTGGATATTTAGGTTCATATATACTGATGTAGAAGGAAACAGCATAAATCTTATGCTTCAAAGTGATAGTTGAAAAATTAGGTTTGAAGACCCGTGCAATGACTAATGCTTTCTCATGAATGCTTCTAAGAAAAGCTTCGAAAAAAATAAGAAACTTTAGAATTTCTTTTCTTACTCTTGGTAAATCTATGTAAATTTATTCAATGACGTTCTTTATTTTCCTATTGCAGTGATGTCGAGAAGCATGAATGGAAGAATTAATGTGATACTGAGATATTTCTCCTTCGTTAGAGGATTACGTTGTTGGATGGTAAATTTAGCTTTAATGATTATAAATGAACTACTGATGGAGAAATCATTAATTACACACATTATATTTAGATTAATATTTCTTTTCCTACAGTGTTATGTGGGAGGATGAGATTGAGTGTGTTTGTTTGTTCACTTATTTTACGAGAAGATAATTTATTAAAGAGTGCAATTAAAAAACATAAAAACTTTGCTTTCATTCAATGGCTTGTTGCTTCTTCTTCGACTTTAGCTTTGGTTTGATTTCACTATAAATCGATAAAAGGTTGTAGTAAAAGTAAGAAAATTCTTTGGATAAAGAGACGGGAATATTTTATGATTGAGTCAGCAAGAGACTTAAACCCTAAATATTTATATAAAAAGAAGAAGAAAACTTCAATTTCAAATCACACAACATCTATAAAGATTGAATTATGTATGATGGGAGCGTTACGAGAGATACGTTACGCAGTTGAATCCCACATGTGGAAAATATTTCTCGGGAATTTGGGGTAAAAAGAACGAAAGAGAAAAAAACTTCAAAAAGCACTTACCACTTTGATTCTCTAGTGTATTATTATAACAAATTGAAGCATACACTTCCTTCGGACTGATTGGTGTATCGTGTCGTTTCAAGGCAACATTGGAAGTTTTTGGTTGCCAACTTGGAGTCGTGTTGCCATCACCAAGCACCGGCTTATCCTTTACTGTCGATTTCGATTGATTGGCATGTTTTTTCAATATATAGCAACGCGGCATAGTTTTTATTCTGCCTCTATAAACAATCTCTGCTGCCTATTTGTTATTATATGTTTTGGATTACAATTATTTATTTATATTCCAATTAAATACTTTTTTATGGAGTTTTCTTTTCAAATAATATTTTCAGTATCGATGAACAATATCTGGTTCGGTTCGAAGACTTTTCAATTTTTTAAATCGGCACTCTTTCTATTTTTTGATTGTTTCTTTCTTTCAATCCTCGACATTCAGGAAAACAATTGTTTTTCACTAATATTATTTTTCATTGTTTTCGATTTATTATGTTCTACACAAAAACCAGCAATCGACTTCATAAATGTAAAATTTTGAGATGTTAATTACATATTATTGTTCAGAGAATTGCAATAAGCAGTTAAGCATTTATTTGTAAGTGAAACACTGCTTTGACATGTAAAATTATTTATTTGTTGAACATTTATTTGTGGATGTCGCTGTTGATGTTCACTGCCTTAAGTCAAGTATGGACAAAGTGGAGGATTATTGAATCGAAAAGAGCGAAACACTTGTTGTTATTTATTTGTAAGTTTTTGTTTATTTTTACAAACCTTCCAGAAATTCTTTTTTTTCACCTTCGACACTTAACAAATAAATTTTCTTTCCAAAAACATAAAATTTCGTAATTATATGATTAATTTTTGATTCATGTACTTTTCTTTATGTTTATGTTTAATTTTATTCACAGGATGGCAATATTGCTTTCGTTGTTTATCTTAATAAAACTGTAATGAAATAAATGTTATGAGAAATTAAGAAAAGTTTATGTTTCGAACAAAACAAGAGAGATTTTTAAAAAGCAACAAGCATCGTTATTTAATGAACAATCAACAGCAGAAGCAACTGCTGACTGAGACTATTCGTAAGTAGCATCTTCAGAATAATTTAAATTTGATGTGAGACGATCTTACTTGAAAAAGGCTACGAAAAAGGGTTCTTCGTCGCTCAACAACATATTTTATTTATTTACGCAAAATTTCCTTCTATTCTAACGCTCCCTAACCATTCTTGAGAAATGAGTTAGCTTCTTTGATTACCTAACATGAAAATAAGGATTAGGGAAAGTTTATGTCTCATGTGAATGTGACAAATGCTCAATGGGGGTTAAGGGGAGAGTGGGATGAAGCAGTTCGAGTAATAAAATATCGATCGTCTGCTTAATATGACATTTAACACAATTTTCCGCTTTAATTGTACACACAACAACAAAAAAAAAGAAGAGAAAAACATTTATTTTCGGGTAAATCTAGATATTTGGATTGATGGAGAACAACTGGAACGAGAAAACCGTAATCGACAGACGAAGCTTTTATGTGCAGGCAGATGGAATGATTGTTGTGTTGTATTGTAAGGAGGGAGGTTGAGAGATAAGCGATGAAAATATAAAAGAAAAAAACCGTCAACAGACACAAGAAGTTTAACCAAAAATATGTTGAGAGTAAATTCGTCATGATATATTATTTACACACAAAGCGGAAAGCTTGTAGTAGCAGATTTGAACGCTGTTGCTAATGCTTTCCATCACATAATATATAATTATGTCCCACCATACACGGCTTGTAAACGACGGCAACAAGCAGCACACCATACGGTGAACATCACAAAAAATTTACTTCAAACATTTCTCATACTGCACACAACAAGAATTCACCTCTCGTAGAGAGCTTTCATTAAATGAAGAAACAAATACGAATACACTTAAAATGGTAGATAGAAATTCAGCAGTGCTCGGTGTAGTTATTAATGATGGCATTTTTCAGTTAAAGAAATACAAGCGAGCATAGGAAGTGAGAGAGCAACAAGTAGCTGTAACATCAAACAAAAATGTATGTTTATGCCCAAAAAGAAAATAAAAACGAAGGAGAAAGAAAGAAAGAAAAGCGAAAGACGAAGGAAAGAAGAAAATCCCTCTACCAACATCCGTAATACGGAGTCGAATGGAAAATCATGATGGAATAAAAAGCCACAGGTACTTTTCTCATTCCATCGTTATATTTATACACTTTTCTCAACTTTCGAGTTTGAATGCAGTGTTGGAATAATGAGGGAATAACAACTTTCCTTATAATAATGTATGAGCATGAATAAACATAAAAAAGAAAAGTAAGTAGTTATTAAAAGTGCAGAATCATGTGGAGAGGTAAGAGCAGAGGTTTATTACAGGTTGAAAACAGAAAAGTATTTCTTCAACTTATTTTTCTTTCATTTTTTATATTTGAAAAGCCAATTTTCTTTGAATTGATTGACTTGTAATTGGAGTTTGTTTTATATTATTTGAAAGGAAATGGAACTTGAACTATTATTGAAGGGGTTTCAGGTCGGTTGTTTAGTGAATAAGAACTTATAACTCAGCACTGAAATGGCTTCATGTCAGTCATTGCACCTGCCTAAAGACCTTCTAATCCAATCATTCCATAATACTACACGATAAGAAAAGTAAAACTTGATATCCCGAATGAAGCACTGCAATAAATTCTTTCTTTTTTATGAATAATTCATTGTTCATTCATTTTGCAGCTTGGATAATTTACACCGGGCAACCATTATTTAATATTTTGATAGGACTTTTACAGTTTTACTACTTTACAAAAACAACATGAAGAATATTAGATGAGCGACGATGGAAGGAAGAAATGATGCAATGCTTGTTGTCGTAGTGTTTGTGTCACTCGCATACATCATAAAAGTAATTTTCGTATTCATGTATTTTCATCTAACTTTCCATGGAAATTACACTTCGAAATTATTTTTATGAGCTATTTAAACGGAATTTCTTATAAAGATATTTCACAAATTATTCACGTACACACACAAATTGTTGAAGTGATCCAAAGGGAAATCTTTTTTCTTGCTGCTTTTCCGCTCCAGTTGAAGGTTACATAAACTTTCCGCACTGATATTTTCTTTTTTCCTCCTTCCTTCTTAAACAGGACACAAAATATTTATTTCACCGAAATCAAAAGAAAAAAAACATTGAAGGAATTTTTCACACCAGTTCAGACCGAAATTTGTTGACGTTGCATTGAAGATTCTTTATCAAAATGAAATAATATCGAATAAAAAACGGAAGCACAGAGCACAGAGTTCTTAATTGGATTTTTTAGTTTAGAGTAAAAAAATATCATGTCAACTATGTTGTGAAAATGGAAACAGTGGTTGTTTCTGCGTCAAGATTTTTCCATTCAAGATTTTCAATGCTTCGCGCAACTCCTTGTCAAGTTGAAAGCTGTAATTGTGTTGGAAATATTTATTCAACATCACAAATACAAGTTTATGGAAACTAGGGGTGAAAATGATTGCGCATGTGCTTCATTTCTCACCGAATGAAAGAATGATTCACTTGTTCACCACTGATTGCTTCTAAAAAATGTTGAAATGTTGAACCAAGTCATAAACGGTTTTCAAAATATGCTTCAATTATCTCATCAACTGAAGCTTAACACTGATCTGATTAACTTTCATTCTTAAAAATAGAACATTTTCTGTCGTCCATAATAACATATTCTTCTACCGAAAAGCGAACTTCAATAGCAATGAAAATCCTATTTAATGATAAGAATCTAGATACTTCAAGATTTATTAATGCCAAAAATTATCGACCAGAAGAAACCTTTCTCCCCAATGGAAAACATTATCGAAATGGCAAAGCTAAAATAGAAACTAACCAGCTTAAACTGTTGAATATTCTTACAAGTATAATTTTCTTTCAATTCCATTTCTTTCATTGCTGCTAATGCTTTCATATTTTCTGTAATTTAGGTTCTGAAAGGAAAGGCCGTTACACAAAACACAAATTAATAATGTCAAATTTTTATTAATTTCGATATTACAAGCGACCAAGTAAAGTTGAATTTGGACACGCAATTGAGTAACTCGACTTAGGAAATTGACGTCGAGAGCAGAACATTAATAAACTTTTCCTTTTATTTTTACCCTTAATTATGGTGATTTATTTTAAAACTATTTCGTTAACTCAATGTTTTTGTTTTTTCGTGATTCATAAGATGATTTTAATTTCAAAAGCTTTATTACCTTTTTGATAAGAATTTTTTTTCTTATTTCTTCGTTCGTGTTAAGGTTTATGAGTGGGTGGAGTGAATGATATTTTTGCGACAAAATTTAAGGCTTTTCCATATTTTATCGCTTTCAAATATCTTTATGAATTTATAACTTTAGTTTAACAATAGCTTATTTGACAATCGCTGGTATCTTTCATGAAAATAACTTGAACATGCTCTCTATCAATCGATATTCTCTAGTTTTCATATTAAAGAAGTGCACTTCTAGTTAGAAGTTTTTGAGATTATACAACAACGCAAGCTACCATCATCATTCCTTTAAAATCTCTTTGTGAAATGCATTTTGCAAGTAATGCTTTATTAGTGAATGAAAAACATTATGTAGACTAAAGAATTATTCTCTTGTAAATGATGCAACATGAAAATGCCTTTGAAATTTTCAAAGGAAATATTTTTTATGAAAAAAAGAAGAAAATGAAAGCATGTGAAAACTACGGAAATTCTACTCTTTATCTTATGAAATCATGATAAAGTGTCAAAGTGTCATAGTATCAAAGAGATTTTTCTTTATTAAAATTACCATCAATACTTGAGTATTTGGCGGAAATGAGAAATTTCTCGCGCGCCCCTAAAACGATATCCTTTGTTTCGATTTCGAGTATCTGTTGAGCAAGAAGCATACAAAGACGAGTGAACTTCTTTTTTTTTGTTCTCAAAAGTTTCCCACTCTTCGCCTCTTGTGTTTTTCATTATGAATAAGCTGAAAGAAGGAAATAGCAGATGCTACGTGAGATATAATAATTAAAAAATGGTCACATATGCAAGCGTATATGGGAAAATAAAAGGAATTCGATAGCAACTCTTGAACAGCAGCAATTTCATGCTTTTCGATTGACGCATGAGAAACAGTTGAAATTTTTGTGTGCTTCTCAATTGCCAGAGCTACAAATTGATATTCGTGTATGAAACAAAAGACTGAAGCATCCATTACATTCACTCAACGATTAATAGGAAATTTCCTTCTAATAGCTTCAATGTAAACTTCTATTTTACTGCCACTAATTCTGTTATTATTGATCTCATCATTTCGGCTTAATTTCGTGTATATTTGATGCTCACAATTAAGTTGACAGTCGTGACTACTGACTACTTACAGTTACTTGTCATTTATTATTAAATAAAGAGAATACTTATTAAGTGTTTATCTTTCTTACTATTCCAGTTGCTTGTTTGTTTTAAAAGACAATTTGATAAATAAGTTATTGATGATCCTACTTTTGGTAAATAACTTAATTGATCTTTCTATGGTCAATAGCTTGCACATGTAAATTTATTTCTTCTTCCAGAGATTGTGAAGTATGGGAAATGGTTTTTTAAATTGGAGATGGGGAAGCTCCACATGGGGAGCTTCAAATTATGCTAACGCATAATTTTAAGTTACTCCGGCCGGTGCGGAGTTTCCGACTGCCCATGGACCTTCCGACTATCCATGGACCTTCCGACTATCCATGGACCTTCCGACTATCCATGGACCTTCCGACTATCCATGGACCTTCCGACTATCCATGGACCTTCCGACTATCCATGGACCTTC